TCTTCGAAAGCAGCGGGATAACTGGTTCCAGTTAATTGTTGTTCGCGCAGCAAGCGATTATCAATGTTTCACACTTTTAGGCACACAAAAGCCCAGTCTTATCGCTGGAAGCACATATACTCTCCCAAAAAGGAAACGCATATAGGAATTTCAACTGTATTTTTATGTTTATTTTGAAACATCTTGTAGGCTTTATGAGTCAATAAAATATAGCGAAATTGCACACTGGGAATGCAGACTTATCCGTCTTTGGCACCAACTCGAGGAAAGTCAGTTTGAGTGTCACATGGAGACGTGTGGTGGCGCTGAGTCAATACCTCGTGTGACCACCGTGGGCATCCACAACTGCACGGCATTGCCTCGGCATCGAACGAATAAGTCTCAGAATCTCGTGTTGCCCAATCGCAGCCCACTCTGCCTGTATTGCCTGTGCGAGTTGCTGAAGTGTCTGGGGCTGAAGGTTACGGCGTCGCACCCGTCTGTCCAGGGCATCCCACAGATGTTCGATCCGGTGATCTTGAGGGCCAGGGGAGCACATTGATGTTGTGGTTCTGGAGGAAGTCTCTAGTGTGACGTGCTGTGTGGGGCCTGACATTGTCCTGTTTAAACAACTCCCTCTGGCGATCAATGATTGGAAGGAGGTGTGGGCGTAGGATTTCATCACAGTACCGTTGAGCTGTCAGGTTGCCCTGGATCATCACCAAATCACTTCTACGGCAGGTGATCTCTCCCCACGTCATAACACTGCCCCGGCCGAATCTGTCCACCATGGGAACGCAAGCGTCGGCGAAACGTTCACGTCGACGTCTGTACACCCGCATTCTTCCATCGCGTCGTTCCAATAGAAATCGTGATTCATCACTGAACCAGATTCTACGCCAATTCGGTAGGTTCCAGGCCTGAACGTTGGTGCACCATTGAACTCGATGTCGACGATGTTGTCGTCGATGCACAGGGCCCAGATAAGGTCTTCTGGCACGTAAACCAGCCTCTCCCAACCTGTTCCTGACGGTCTGTGCAGAAAGCCTCCTCAATCCGGGTATTTGTCGAGCGGTACTGGTCGCCGTAGCTGTTCGATGACGCAGGTGATGTACCCGGATGTAGCGATCCTACGCCGCAGTGGTCGCTCGAGGTCGCCCACTACGAGGGGCATCTGCTACCGCATTCTGCCGGCGATATCTTCCCCAGAGCCGTGAAATGGTGCTTTGGTGAACATTCATGCGTCGGGCAACTGCACGTTGAGACCAAACCAATGGCCAGCTTCAAGCAAACCAATGCCGATATGACGGTTGGCTTCACTTAGACGTGGCATTTTGCGTTCGTCAACAATATTCCAAATACAGTGAATAATCGACAGACAGCGATCAACCTTTTATACCCATCATTGAGACTATCTGATCCCCAACTTTCACGTGCATTGCATCTGAATTGTGTATTCTGTGACAATACACGCCGAAATTGAACATCATGCTGTTAAATACGGGTATTTTACGGATGGTGCGTTTTGTTGTGATGTTTCAAAACATAAACACCATAGGACTCATAAACAGAGCAAAACCTTTTGTAAAATGAATCACGTTTTAATTCATTGCTACATGAAATTGCTATTTTCATGATGCGTTTCTTTTTTGGGAGAGTATATGTCTCACTGGCTCAGCTGCAAATCCAATTTGTCATGGCCTTAAGACACTTTGAGTTGATTTCGTTCGGTTTTGTGTCTTTGCATGTTTTACCTGTTTGTTTTTTTAAGCCACTTTGCAATATTCTTTTCAGCAACTGTATTCTGCGTTTTCCCTCTCGTTACAGATCAGGACGTCACATGTCATGCGCATGAGCAGTACTTAGTGGAACTTGAGAATGGTACCAATATGAACTACATTCAGTAGACTGATATTGTTTTCTGCTACCCATGTTTACCCTCGCTCACAACGGCATGTGTATCAGTTTTGAAAAATATACATTGATATACTGAAACTGTAGGCAGCAGGATACGGTAATTGTGTCAACACCTACTGTACCGAAATTAACATCAAAGAAATTGCTAAATATACTTCCCATCAAAAGTTTAGACTCACTTAAAACACTCACTATATATTATGTCTATATACATATGGTTACATCGAAGAATGATTTATCCACTAACCTGGGGGAACCAATTGCAAACCTTATGCAGTTTTGTGAATAATTCGCCAATTTTCCTGATATATACTTCATTTATTGAACTCATGACAATAATCTTTTCAACGTTACGAATTTCTTTTACAATACATCAGTTCATGTGTAAACAGTACCTTTAAACAGTATGGAATGTTTTGGAAAATTCAGTTTAGAACAGTTGCCTGAAGTAATTGGCTATATTTACACTAGTGAGTCTAAACTTTGTCTTAACTTTTGATGAGAAGTATATATAGAACAATGTTGACATCACTGCCGATGACCGATTTCTTACAAAATGGCGGGTTCGCTGGCATCTGTATGCAGGATTTGAGGAGGGACCCTTGATTCATGGAACGTTTGTCAATAAATATGTGATGTAATATTTAAGAAATCAGAAACATTCTGACAATCTGAGTATTGTTGCTTTTGGTTTTTATTGTTTTCACTGTAAGTAAGAGAATAAGTCAGAAATGCCGATAATTACCGTTGTCGTTCTGCGCGGTTTTGCGTCAGTCATTTCGTCTCGCTGCACAGAAATTGACAAATCATTGTATTGTATCTATTTTCGAATTCCAATTTCTTGCTTCGACACTCTTTCCATGCAGATTCTGAGCGTATTGAAAGAATAGACGAATGTATATCTGAAAGTTTGAGAAAATGCTACACACAGTGTAAATACTGATTCTTTTTCTTTGTTTAAATTTCCAACAAGCGCAGTTTTACGAGCACAGCGTTCGTTTTCACATCCAGTAAATTTCGTTTGATTCCATCCCAACACTTGGTTTTGGTGACAAAGACCATGTGTTATTTAATTCTAAAATGTATGAGGAATTCAGTGATGTAAGTGTCGTAGCTGAGGGTGGAATATACATGATGTAATCAACCTCTCATGGCTGGCCTTCGCGAAACGTGATTTTGAAAACGCTATCCAATATGGCAGAAAACTAACTTCGGCGTTCGTGTTTGTGTATTTTCAAAAACATCCCGAAAAGGTTTATCGGCGACGTTTAAGGATTACCATTATTGATGAAGAACAGATATCAATGATAACTAATATGTTATTTTTTACGATGTACCTGCATTTGAAAAGTCATTTTCAGAATTTTTGCTTTGTCTAAGATGTTAGTGGATGAAACAATTACATTTCCCGCACAATTCAATTCACCACCTCATGCTTGAAAACAGTATAAGTACCTATACCGAAACATAGATCATCCATACAAACTTATTCCTATGAGTTTGGAGTAACCTTTTTCTGTGCATTGATTATATATTACCATTCATAAATATTATGTCAATTAGAAGATAGACAGCATATTTAGCAGATTAAACATACGAAACGTGTATATGTATTTATGATCCCCATGAGATTCTGTAGATTAGTGGACCTGAGAACCCCGTGATCAACATCATGAGCATCACTCTACGCAATTTGGATATGATGACATGTGTCAACCGAGTCAGCGAGCCTGACCACCCGATCCCGTTAGTCGCCTCTTAGGACAAGCCTGGGTCTGCTGGAGATCAATTCTAACCAGGTGTTTCTTGCCCTGTAAGACGACTAATGGGATCTAATCGGGTGGTCAGGCCCATAGGGGTACAATGTGTAAAGCCCATAACTATTGTCCCCCGCTCTGATTTTGCAGGAATATTGCTAATAGCTCTCTCACTAACCTACATTTTGACTACGTTGTTGAAGTAAATTTCAACAAAATAATATATTTGACTGCTGAATTCCATGATATTTTGTTAGTACCACACATGTGTCCAACATTTGATGAAATGATTAATTTCACCGGTCTCAAAAAATCCCTCACACTATTTGACATGGACACGTGTCACACATCTCTCTCTCTCTCTCTCTCTCTCTCTCTCTCTCTCTCTCTCTCTCTCTCTCTCTCTCTCTCTCTCTCTCTCTCTCTCTCTCTCTCTCTCTCTCCCTCTCTCTCTCTCTCTCTCAAGAGGCGACTAACGGGATCGGTTGGTCAGGCTCGCTGGCTTGGTTGACACATGTCATCGGTTCCCAATTGCGCAGATCGATGCTCATGCTGTTGATCACTGGATTGTCTGGTCCAGACTCGATTTTTTATAGACCGCCGCCATATAGCTGGAATCAAACCGAAACATGAGTCTCATTAACCTATTCAGACAATGACCTACTTTTCAGCCGATCCGAATTTTCTCGTGTGAAAGTGAAAAGAGACACCACAAACAACTATGGTTACACTGAATTCCAATTCCTTGTTTCGTAAGAAAATGGTATTAACAAGTTATTTTAATATTAGACTTTAATAACATCGTATTTCTATATTTTAGGGCGAGGTGTAGGCAGCATCTCATTAACGAAGACGTCACAGAATGCCCCTGTTTGATGAGGTCGGAAATGATTCACAATTCATCTGGCTCACTGGTTACACCTGATATGTGTTTTTTGCGCATATTCAGTATAGTTTTGTAACGTACAATGTGATTGATGTAATATCAAGTTCGTACCACATCGCCAAACCTTTCTAGCGGCAGAGCCTCGTTTTGAGTTTACCACGATTTCCAGATTTCCGTTTGTCAGAGCATGCTGTACGACAAAAGACGCTGCACGGCGTGTTTGCAAGGATTAGAAGAAGCGTAGTGTTGCAATATACAAGTGCTTAGATGTATCAAATAATACTGATTAATATTTATGTATCTAGTTGAATGAAATGGTCTCAAAATTCTGGACTGGTTATTATACGAAGTTGCGCAATAGGAAACGAGACTGTTGTCTAATCACTGTTTTGACTTGTTGTTGAGTGCGGCGTCAAACTAAACTCACTCACTCACTCAACATTAACAACAAACAAACTGTCTTTCAAAAGCAGGTGTTTATGTGTGATACATACGGGAAAACAATTCATGAAACGTGACAGTTACAAAAAAGGGTTCACTAACAGAAGTTAACAAGCATGTGCTCTTGGCTTGAAGTGTAGAAACTATTTCAAGATCAAACAATAGAAACAACTCAGATGAATATATTTTTATTAAATAAGATAACAACATAAAATAATATGGTTACCGTGGTTACATGGTTTGAAAATAAAAACCTCAAACGGAACTTGCCCATATATTCTTCAATGAGACACAAATATGCCATTTTTTTTCAGACATCTACATTGAACAAATAGTTAATGATCATGAATATTTTGGGGCAGACTTTGATAAAAATTGTCTGCTCAGGCTTTACTTGCATTTTTACAATCTCAGAAACGGGCCGAGTTCCGTTCTGTCGTAACATTTGACTTTTCAACATTGTATCCCAAATGACAAACTTAAGGAGAAACTTCATTCCTTAATCCATGGGCATTTGGGGCGAACACAGATGTACATACATATGTATCTTCAGAGGTTCAGGAGAATTTGTCAAAAATGAAGGCAAATGTAATTTGAAGTTTATTGAGAAAACAACCATTATGGGCATGAGTATATATGCTCATGATATTTATAGTCACAATTGTACAATCAACTCTGCTTTTAGCAGATATTGCAGATATTGCTCTTCAAGTTTTGTCGCTTTTATTTGCAAGAAATATCCCCGAAAAACTATTCATGATGTTGAACCATCATTAAAAGCATCCATCTTTTCACAAATGAATCAAATTGAGCCCAAAGAGACAAAGGTTTGGAGCGGCTGTCATCGTCCCATGATAGCGTGGACGGCTGCTCCCAATCACTGGATTGTCTGTTGAAGAAATCCATTATTGACATAGATCAGTGTTTTAGCCATTACCAAACATTCTGACTATCAGGATTCCTATATTATTGTGAAGCACAAAACGACTAAACTGCCTGCAAATATTGGCATTTAAATCTTTTGAAAACCATTTAATTACAACACGAGTACCAAAATCTGAGAGGTGAACATATAGTAACACAGGATTCTATATCAGGAAACAAGTAAACTTTGAAGTAATGAAACACTGTTTAATTTACTTCTTGCTGAACGGTAAATTCCTTACGTGATGGTAAAGGAGCTAGATTCCATATTTCTCCTTGAGCTCTTCAACTACAGCCACATACTCGGCTCTGGCCTTATCCTTAGAGAGACCTGAAACAATAACAATTATAACAATAACATCAACAATAATAATCCAGTCATTTTCTAATAATATAGGTATGGCACTTTGACTCGACAAATGTAATACTCTTCATTTGAAACATGACAATGAAGTAAGGGATAATAGGTCTTTTATTGCATGAATAGGACTGACTGACTGACTGAGTTTGGTTTTACGCCGCTTTTAGCAATATTCCAGCAACATCACGGCGGGGGACACCAGAAATGGGCTTCACACATTGTACCCATGTGGGGATTCGAACCCGGGTCTTCGGCGTGACGAGCCAACGCTTTAACCACGTGCACTAACTAGGCTACCCCACCGCCCTGCATGAATAGGAAGCCAAACTGAGTGCATAGGCCCAAACATTTACAATATAGGCCAAAATAATGTCGAAAATATGTGACATTGTGCCTTTAAAATATGCTGTGACCTATTGAGATCCACCAAAATGTCATGCTCCCCCAATGACAAATGAGGGTTAATAAACACGAATGTTTTTTAAATGTGAGAAAATATGTATTTCAGGAAAAGCCCAATAATACTTCACCTATTTGGTAAATGATAAACGTGATACAATATTCAAAATACTGACTCTAAACTGGTTATAGCGCTATAGCATTGCATGAGCATTAACTTCTGTGTTTACGCCATACGCTGTGGAGCAGAAATTGGGAAAAGAAAAGGTTGTGGGTCCACATATGCTCTGGTGCCATTTGGTTATGGAACTGAGCTACTTGTACCCCGCCTTTACTTCATTGCCATTGGGTACCTTCAATTCAGTGAAGACTCAAAAATGATAGTATTTCTTAATGTCCCAAAAGATCAAAAGTAACCAGTGTATCACTAGCCTGATCTGCAACTTTCGTCTAGAAGTATTGACACCCGACGCTGGCTCTCCTAAACAACACCCATGAACACTGATACCACCAGCCACGTGGGGCGAGAAGTCCGTGCTTCAACACAAAAACACACAAACACACAAAAAAACACACACACACACACACACACACGCACACACACACACACACAAACAATAGCAAATATGGCAACAAATACAGCCAATATTGTATGCTGACAGTAATGCAAACCTACCTTGATGATATTTAATCCTGATATAACACTCAAGAACATTTGACGATATCTGACCCCCCAAAACACCAAGAGCGAGAACGAACGACAACACACGTCTGGCCTCGCAGACTCTCTTCATTGCATGAGTCCATTAGCTGCTAAGTTGTCTCCCTTTAAACACTTTAAAATGCCCTTGGTCATATGAAGTGGATCAGAATTTTGAAAAACGTATTAGGGTGCACACAATTACTGAGTTATTAAATGTCTTGGCTTATGAAGCAGTAATAGGATGAGGTGTCTGAAACTAGAGTCATCAGAGGGGGACATTTTCCCAACCTCTGGTGCCATTAGCAATTGGTTATGGGGTTGAGCTACGTGTACCCCACTTTTGGTTCATTGGCTACCTTCAATTCAGTGAAGACTCAAAAATTATAGTCAGGATTTCTCAACGTCCCAAAATATCAAAAGGCACCAGTGTATCACTAGACTGGTCTGCAACTTTCCTCCAGATCTTTTTGATCCAGAAACGGACATTATCCAATTAGAAAAATACCCACAACATTTAAATCCCATATCAACACCAAAAAGATACGAGTTCACCACCAGACTGATCGATAGAGCAACTTCCATCCAGAAATATTCAACAGTTTTATGTATGCTCAACACAACGAGCCCTGTCCTCTAACTTAAAACACACAAATAAAAAACATTTTAATCCTAAATCAGCATCAAAAGGCACCAGTTCACAATCGCAAACGAAAACAGACGGTGAACCTCCTGGGTCTACCAGAACTTACCTTTCTTGTCGTTCCATGCCCCCCACTTGGCGTTTGCTATTACGTCAGACGCGCCAGGTTTGGCTGGAATGAACAAAATCAAGATCAGACAAAAACAAGGCAGGGCTGAATTTATAGAACATGATTTACCTAGAAGTTTATGCCTATTGGCATGGACCCGTGAAGATCCAAGCTAGAATTGACCTTCAGCAACCCGTGCTTGTTGTTAGAGGCGAATAATGGGAATCGGGTGGTCGAGCTCACTCACTCACTTGTCATAGTATCCCAACTGCGTAGATCAATGTTCACTGGATTGTCTGGTCCAACTTCGATTATTTACAGACCGATTTATTCCCATATAGCGGGAACATTGCTGAGTACGGCGTCAAGCAATCCAAAGCATGTTGGCATGGAAGTTGCCAAACCAGTTTCCACTGTGGTCTCATAAGTTTATCAAAGTTTTCAAATGCAAATAACTATAAATTACATTCTACACATAACAAAGGAATTATTGCACATAACACAGGGATTATTACACAGGACACAAGAAAGAGGGATTATTGCACATGGCACAGTGATTATGACACATAACACAGTCCTAGCTGTTTTCCGTCTAAAAATAGAAATTGTGTTATTTATCACTCACAAGATGGATTATATACAAGCTTGGAGAGATTTTAATCAACGCTTTGTTCTGACAAACAAACCCTGTCAACATGGTCAAAACTTATAATTTATTTTGTTCATTTTAACTGAACATAAAAAATAATACATCAACTGCCGAGGGCTAACACGAATGAACTATGAGGAGAATATTATACATTATCACGATTATAGTCTGTTTGCAGTGAAATCGTACCGATGAATTTCCCTTTAAACAAAACAGTAAATCAATTAAATTAAGATTGCGAATCCTCATAATTCTACCTTGCCAAATGAACATTTAAATCTCAGAATTTTATTCAACTTAGGATAAAAGTTGTTTAACAAACGATCATAGATTCAAATCGCTATTATTGGTTTGTATTACAAGGCGGTAAGCGCAGTAGATGGAACAGTGAAACAAATGCACGTGCGGTACGTGATGAGCGTTAACTTAGACCAGCCCTACTTGTTCTCGGTGTTTCATCTAATGTGCTTACCCCCTTGTAATACAAACCAATAAAATCAGTTTGAAACCATGATCGTTTGTTAAACAACTTTTATCCTAAGTTGAATAAAATTCTGAGATTTGAATGTTCAATTGGCAAGGTAAAATTATGAGGATTCGCAAGCTTAATTTCGCTTTAATCGATTTCCTTTTTTGTTTAGAGTGAAATTCATCGGTACGTTTTCACTGCAAACAGACTATAGTGGGCAATGAATATGGATACTGGCGAGTACAATAACAAATCCGCTGTTGAATAATAGCGTAACATTTAGTGAGACAATAACAAAAGACATCATTTGACATGATTGATCATGTTGACGTTAATTTTTCATGACAATGGCCTGTGACCACTGTCAGATTAAATGCAAATGAGTATTGAGTAGGGCTGCGCAATATAACCGGTTTACCGGTTCAGACATGAAAAGGATACGTATTGCGATACGCTGATCGAAAACCGGTATTTTGACTTGCATTCGGAAAACTTCGTAACACTCGGAAATTTTCGGATATTTCCTTGTTTCGTTTGTGCCAAATATTATTCACACTTTTATTTTATCATGATTAAAAGTTGTTATTAAAGCTTAATCAAGCATAGTGATTTTGTTGTGTTTTTGCTCTATAAATCAAGCATTAACTCGATTATAAGTAATTTTTTGTTTAAAAATACTTCATGCAATATATCGCAATATGAAAATTCTCTGCAATACCCACCCCTAGTATTGAGTACATTGTGAACAGTGAATTTTGTTCAACAACGTGGTCACGGAGCAGGGTAGTGAGAGGGCTTTTACCAATATTCATGTAAAATGAGGGTAGTGGACACTACATGCAGTTATTGGCTTTACACATTGTACCCATTTGGAGTATTAAACCCAGGCCTTCAGCGTGACAGGCGAATGATCTATTCATGAATACATGGGTGTAGTTTCTTGTGCTTCTTCAAGCCAATCATGCTTTTATAGGACGAGTCCACTGAAATACCATACCACGGATCTAAATAGACCGATCCAGTCCCGGGTGTTGTTGTACAAAACAACCTTAGCACTAAGACGACCTCAAGTCTATATTTAGATATGGGAGTTACGTCACCTTAGGGCTAAGATCGCTTTGTACAACGGCACCCTGGCCGATAATCCCGCCCACAAGCTCTCGCCTTCGTGTTTGATGTTTCATGTCCTGACTAGCGTAGATATATTTAATTTAGAATATTCCGTTTTGAAAAATACGAGTTAACACTCAAATTCCACTCAACAAACTTTATTAATATGATTAATAAATTATCGATTATCGATTCTAGTGATCGCGAATAACGAAATGAAATCACGAAGGGACACTGTTTGAATAATCGAACATGCCAGTGAATTGCAACAGCCCTTCCGCTGACTTATTCTCTACCCATTAATAGGGCTGCGCAATATAACCGGTTTACCGGTATTTACCGGTTCAGACATGAAAACGATACGTATTGCGATACGCTGATCCAAAACCGGTATTTTGACATGCATTCGGAAAACTTCGTAGCACTCGGAAATCTTCGGATATTTCCGTTTTTTTGAATTGTTCTTTTCCCTGTTTCATTAGTGCCAAATGTTACTTACATTTGTATTTTGTCATGATTTAAAGTTTTTATTAAAGATTAATCAATCATAGTGATTTTGTTGCGTTTTTGCTTTATAATCAAGCATCAACTCGATTATAAATAGTTTTTGTTAAAAAAAAATAATTCTTGCAATATATTGCAAATACATATCGCAATATATGCTTCCGCATCGCAATATATCGCAGACAAGCATGGGTTGCTGAAGACCAATTCTTACCCGGATCTTCCCGGGTCTCGGTAATATTACATGGCGGTGGTCTGTAAATAATCGAGTCTGGACCGGACAATCGAGAGAGTGATCAGCATCATGAGCACTGATCTACGCAACTGGGATACAACGACAAGTCAGCGAGTCTGACCACCCGATCACATCAGTAGCCTCTTGATTTCCTGAAGACCAATTCTTACCCTGATCTTCACAATTCTTACCCTGATCTTCACAGGTCTCGGGGATATAACAGTGGGAGCAGGGAGTAATTAATTTTAGCAAATGCACTGTTTTGTATTGATACAGAAAACACATTTGGTATCCGGTATCATGATCATAGCTCACAATGCCTCTGGTCACAGATGTGTCGTTACAAAGGGATTCCACGTTACCATCTGGAAGCAGCAATAATGACTCTGTCACATGGTCGACATTAACTCAACCTTAATGAGACTCATATCAATTAGTGTACAGTGGACGGTGATGTAATGTCTGCCTACCTGTGTTACAGTCGCCAGCTGTTGCTTGTTTGTAAAGAGCGTACATCTCCATCAATTCCTCATCAGAGGGTTCGGATTTCAAGTTATTGACTTCTTCAGCCGCCATGTAGAATGTCTGTTGAAAATAATGGTTGATAATACAATTGGGTAAAATTAATTAATTTCAACATGTTGGACACCTGTGTGGTACTAATTATGTTTTTAAAAAATCATGGAATCCAACAGTCAAATATATTATTGTGTAGAACTTTTGTTCAACAATGTAGTCAGAGTGTAGGATATTGAGTGAGCTTTTAGCAATATTCCAGCAATATTCCAGCAATATCAGGATATGAGACATTTTTTATGGGCTTCACACATTGTACCCAAGTGGGGAATCGAACCCGGGTCTTCACCGTGAAAAGAATGCTTTATTCATGAATGCATGGGTGTAGTTCCTTGTTCTTGGTTTAGTTAAAGGCACACCACACTTCTCTAAAAATAAATAATGCATTTCTCTCAATAACATAAGGGTAACGCTATTTTTCAGGGAATCATCATCTGCAGAAGGTCGAGGTCTTTCATTAACTGCCCGACTAAGGACGAAGGATTACAGCGGCCCGCTCTATCAGCCCTCAGGGAAGCTACTATATAATTTATTCCAAAATAACTTACGTATTTAGATTACAATATTAAATAAATAAGTTCGAATCAATTGATGCAACGTTGCATTAAATTGACTCTCGCCCCCTCTACCGGCCGAACATTATTTCAAGCGAACCCCATAGCGCGCTTTACGAATATCCAACCCACAACCTGTGATTGAAACCAGTTCGGTAAACACCGACAACACCGCGTGCAACAGTTTTCGATGTACGGAACAATTGTTTACATTCCATACATTGCAAGTGTTCTCTGTTTAGGAGCTGTTCGCCTCCAAGGTTTCAATTATTGATTTCAGGAAAGTCGTAAGGAATTATAAGTCTTTTATTGCATGAATAGGAAGCTAAAGTGAGTGCATATGCCCCAGTATATATAATACAGGCCGAAATATTGCTGAAAATGTGTGACATTGTGCCTATAAGCCCACTGAAATACTATACCACGGACTTAAATTGACATCAGCGACCAGGGTGTCGTTGTACACAGTGATCTTGGCACTAAGGTTATCGTAACTCCCTTTCTTAACATAGACCTGCAGCAGTCTTGGCACTAAGGTTATCGTAACTCCCTTCCTTAACATAGACCTGCAGCAGTCTTGGCACTAAGGTTATCGTAACTCCCTTTCTTAACATAGACTTGCAGCAGTCTTGGCACTAACGTTGTTCTCTATAATAATAATAATAACTTTGGATTTATATAGCGCTAGTATCAAGTGATCACTGCTCAAAAGCGCTTCTAGGAGTTCTGCATTGACTGGAGTCTATGCCAACGCATCTCTCGTGAACATATATGTCTTAAGATGTTTCTGGAAAGTGGCAACATCTTGAATGTTTCTAATGTCAATGGGGAGGCTGTTCCACAGGTTAGGTGCAGCTGCTGCAAAGGACCTATCTCCATACGGTGATTTGCGAGATGATGGCACACAGAGCAGATTCTGATCACCCGAACGAAGAGTTCTTGATGGTCTGTAGCTGGTTATGAGACTTTGCAAATACTGTGGTGCAAGACCATGTGTTGCTTTAAACACAAGGAGGGGGATCTTGTACTGAATCCTACTGGATACAGGCAACCAATGGAGTTGACGGAGAATTGGACTTATGTTATCAAATTTTCTTGTCCTTGTAATGAGTCTTGCGGCTGAATTTTGAGCAAGCTGTAACTTGTTAACGAGACGTTTAGGGAGACCAAATAGAAGAGCGTTACAATAGTCCAGGTGTGATAGGACACAGGACTTGACGAAGGTTGTTCTCTACAGAGGCACACCTGGCCCTGGGAAGAGCAAAAAATAGGGTAGCTGTCTACAGGGTTTTCTAAACAGCAATATAAGCCCCCCCACAGAATACAACTGAATTAGCGACCAGGGTGCCGTTGTACAAAGTGATATTAGCGCTAGGGTTCTTGAAACCCCTACCTTAACAGAGACTTACAGTAGTCTGGCCACTAAGGTTGTTCTGTATGGAGGCATCCGAGGCTTGGTTTTATATCCTAATGGGAAGAGCCAGGCTGGGAAACAAGAACTCTCTATAGGACTGCAGAGACAGCAATATATGCCCCAAAAGCTGTACATTGAGGCCCCTACCTGTACAACCACTCACACACACGTTAAAGCAACACAAAAATATAATTTAGTAAAATAGTGCTTATTCACTTATTGACAGGAAGTCACACTATACATCGATTAGCGTCGAGCCTTTGTTCTTGGGGACCCTGAGCAATGTTTGGTATGATGCGAACAGGGTCACAACCACACAACATCTGCTCTTCAGGCAAATGTTCCGTCGAGTAGAATACTGATGTAGTGAATGAGTGAGTGAGTTAAGATTTAAAGTCACATCGGCAGTATTTCAGCCATATCGGGACTAAGTCAAGTTAGAGATTTATAGTAATCGAAAGTATTTTTTGTAAAACCTGTCAACGAAGGACAGTAAAACAACTAGATTATCACAGATATATATTTAAAACTAGTAATTAAATCTGAAACATTTTAACTATAGATTACAATACAACATCAAAACAGAAAATAGATCGCCATCAACTGAAGGTAGATCACCATACTAGGGACCATGGGGACTTACAGTACATTTGCTTCCTGCATGGACCCTAGCTGGATTTACACCATCCCTTAAGATGTTAGCAATTTTTGACAATCTAGCCATACATTAAAACAACATATATACTGCGGTTAAAAATAGTAGTACGTCTAAATTTACTTTAATTGTTTTGATACTGACGTGCCCTCTCAGGAGGACAATAATTTTACAATACTTTAACCCCCTTTGAGGATACTGTCCTGAACAGTCTCAGCTGTTAATTTAAACTAATAATTATAGAATATTTATCTATTTACACAACTTCAATCAAAATTTATCCAATAACTCTAATTTTTTTTTAAAAATGACATGATTAAATCTGAATTAACAATAAAAAGATCCTTCAATGACATTGAACTATTTATGTTTGACATTGAACAACTTATGCTTGACCGTGATTCTTTCATCACAGGGATACAAAACGGAGGATCCTTACCTTTTAACAGGTAGTCATGGGAATATCGAGAATGGCCAATACGACATCGTCGTATTATGACCTCCTCACATCTGGATTGACAACCAAAGTAGGTGTAACCGATAGTTGGTTTAATTGTACGTAATGTTTTTTATACCTACTTGAGTGTCCCACTTCTTTTTCATTAGATCACGGATATAAGGCCTAATGGCAGCTTTGTAATCAGAGTATGGAATAGGAAGTGTTGTCACAGATTTGTTGAGTGCTGCCTTAGCAGCAAAGTCGGCCCTTGTGTTATCAGAGATTCCTACATGACTGGGTAACCGACAGAGGACGATGTCGTACTGACCAGTAGTAAAACAAATATAATGTTTATATTTAGGGTGTTTTTTAAGTTAGCGCAGCTAATATGGCATTTGTTGTGAAATTATCACAACAACATTATGTACAAGGTATTGTTCTGGATCTAACAACAGTGGCACAAACTACTGCGCCACCATCCTTGGATCCATCTGTAAATAACTATTTGTATGTATTATATTTACTTTCAATTGATTAAATTCTTGTTTCTAATGTAATTCATTAGTTTCAGATTTTTCAAAAGTTGTCAGTGTTAGGTCAACTTGTAAGCTCACTAACTGCCTAGGAGGAGAAGAAAGAAGACGGGAAGAAGATTTATTTTCTAGCTCATTGCCAGCAGCAGAAAGGAAAGGTTTTATCCTTATTCCCAGAGGCGGAATAAGAGATGACTTCTTCAGGAGATGTTCTAAAGGACCAAAGACAAAGTCTTAGACCTTTGTGGTGGACAGACTCTAATAGTTTTAAGTTGTATTTGCAGGCTCCACCATATACGATGGAGCCGTAATCTAGTTTCGAACGGATGAGTTATCTGTATAAGACTGGGGGGTAGTTTGATCACCTCCCCACTTAGAATTGGAAACGACTTTCAACAAGTCAAGTGCCTTCATGTATTTATTTTTAAGGTATTTGATATGAAGAAGAAAAGTTTAATGGGAGTCGAAAATCAGACCCAAGAACATGGGCTCCTTGACAACTTTGATGGGAGTGGGTCTCTATGCGGTTTATATTTACAGCTGAAATGTATGCAATTGGTTTTCTATTTAGAAAATTTAAAGCCGTTTTCAAGACACCATACATTTATTGTTCATTTGTGTTTGTTATAACTGGGCCTAGATTTTCGAAGCTGTCTTAGCGCTTAGATAGTCGTAAGTGCCACACATTAACATTAACTTACGGCTATCTTAGCGCTAAGAGAGCTTCGAAAATCTAGGACCTGTAGTTTAATGAATTAGATGTAATCGTGATAATCTTCAGACCTATTTGCTCTTTGACAGTTTTTCATAAGGATATACATATATGTGGGTGGGTGGGCTTGCCTGCGTGTGTGTGTGTGTAGCGTCTCTTGCCTGTGTTAAAAAAGAACCAAACGAAAAATGCAGATTATACTAAAATACCACCTGTAGACCAGCATGGCCACATCACATATAATCTCGGGATCTGACCTCGGAAGTAGAGAATATGGATCTGTAACCCAATGGGTCATGTTCTCGGGCTTAAATACATTTATGTTAGTCTTTTAAACAACAAACTCGAGACTAAAAAATCACTCACTCACTCTTTCTCCCGTCGCCCATTTCTCTGACGCACACTACGACAGACAATGTTGTGCAATACAATACCAATTAAATATTGATATACTCACTGCTTCGTCTGCCATTGTGTCGGTGTGAAAACAGTTACCACAACCCACGTGCACTATGCTCAAACACAGAATGGTGAATGGTGAGACGCTTTGGTTACGGTTCTTATATTGACTGTGGACATTGGAGCAGGTACGCAGTTACCTCCCTTTGGTCTTTGAATGCCGCATTCGTCAACCTTCGTTCCTTTCCGTAACCCGCACGAAATTGCTATTCGGTTAGTCTCGTAGACCTAGTCTCTGCAATGAACATATTTTACAAAAAATACGTTTACAAATTATATTCTTTAACCTTAACAATGTAAGAGACGTTCTCTATTTTCCTAAAACTGTGGTAATAGAAACTTGCAGTATAGTCTAGACCTGCAAGGGCTTTATTGGGTGTGTTTGTTTCAGGGTCTGTTACACTCGAAATGACAGGAGTTGGTCGAGAATGAAATGTGACTGAAAAGCTAGAGAGGGTTATGCCCCTTTGTTGCAGTGAAGTGGGGTTATAGAATACTCTCTTTGAATGACATTTGGTTCGTGAATCATAAGAAAGATGTGGTACTTTATAGATGACAACTTCTTCATTATGTTATGATACGAGGTTTCGGTATAGATTCTTACAGGATGGTGGGGTAGTCTAGTGGTTAAAGCGTTCGCTCGTCACTCCAGAGACCCGGGTTTGATCTATACTCTTGCTTGACAACGGTGTAAGAACCTTAACCAAAACGTCGCATCGTAATGTAAACAAGAATTTACTAACATAAAGTACCACACCTTTCTTACTGCTCTTGTACAACTCTGTAACTTTGATTATGTGAATTATGAGATATAATAGGCCAACTAGGTTTCACAGCGTATTCTATGAAATATTCACTTTTGCAATAACATTTTTAAAATGTGAACACATGGAACTTATATTTTAAGGAAAAATACAATGCGTGAAGCCCATTTCTGGCGTCCCCAGTGGTGATATTGCTGGAAAGCTCCTAAAAGTAGCGTAAAACTAAATTCACTCACTCATCCATGTACACCGCAGCTGCTGTCGGTAGATGTATTAAAATGATAAAAATACCAATATCAACCATTATTATTATTATATTGCTACTTATATAGCGTTATAGTCCATCCCATGCATATGCTCAAAGCGCTAATTCTTAATTTTTAAAAAAAATTTTTTTGAATTTCCAAAAAGAAATTTACAGTTCATTAGAGAATTGTTAATTAACGAGTCACAGGTTGTAAATATATATAAAAGGTATCCTCCATTTGAACTCTGAGACACGGTACATATAAATAATTAAAACAACACACTGGAAGAAAAATAGATAGAAACTGGTGTGAGTGAGTGAGTTAAGGTTTACGCCGCACTCAGCAATATAGAAACTGGTTTGAGTACAACACATACATTATAATTATATCGACGGCCAAGTTGTTTATGTATATTGTAAACTGTGTTGGAGACAGTCTGCATCCCTGTCTAACTCCGACTATAACAAGGAAGGCATCAGTGTTAAAATCATAACATTTCAACGTTCATCAGAGCACCGTATCTCGCCTTTGGGATCGTTTCCTGCAGACCAATTCCGTCCAATATCGCCCAAGCCCAGGACCGCTACATCCGGGTTGCTCACTTGCGTCATCGTCTTGCCAAAGGCGTGAAGACTGCACAACGCATCTCAGGTTTGAGAAGTATTTCCGACCAAATTGTCAGGAATCTATTGCATGAAGTGGGGATTCGACCAAGAAGGCCAGTTGTCATCCCTGTTTTGAGAGACTTCCAATCGCTTACAGTGGAGTCGTAGAGTCTGGAACCTTAGAAACTGGAGGCGAGTCTGGTTGACTGATGAATTACGCTTTCTTCTTCACCGTCGAGTCTGAGGACAGCGTGTTTACCGTCGGAGAAATGAACGTTTCGCCCCTAATTGCATTCGACAGGTCGACAGATTCGGTGGAGAGAGTGTGGGGTGCGATATCCAGCACATAATGATCTGATTTAGTGGTGGTTCAAGGAATTTGACAGCAAATCTGTACATCAACGAAGTCCTTCTACGTCACATGCTTCCGATTATGGACCAACAGAGGGAGTTGTTCCAGCATGACAACGCTACTTCTCAGACAGCACGCGTCACGATCTGCTACCTTGCCAGTTCTAACGGAAATGTCTTGCAATGGCCTTCCCCATCACCAGATCAAAACCAAACAGAACAACTATGGGATGAACTCGATCAACGTGTACGTCAACGTCAAAATACGCCCCAGACACTTCCACAATTAGCCATTGCATTGCAGGGAGAGAGGGGAAGAATTCCGCAATATCGACTTCGTCGACTTATCCAGTCTGTGCAGAGACGGTACCGAGCAGTAATTGCTGCCAATGGTGACCATACAAAGTACTGACTTTGACGTCATCTTGTGGACTCAAGTAAACAGAAACACAACAATACAGGCTGCTGTTGTGTTGGCGAGCTCTTTGTCTACAGACGTTGGAATTTTCACCTTTTTACCTTTGAAATTACATGAAATAAATGACTAACGCAATAAATTCTTCTAAGTTTGGCTTATGCGTTTCATTTTTTGAAGAGTGTATTTTACACTGTCTTTCTGCCAACTCGACATAACTAAAAAAAACCTCCCTCCCTTAATCTCCAGTCGTCCAAGCCTCTGTCTTAAATATAATACAATTTATCAAGCATGGCATTTAGAAGTAATACACATAAGGAAGAGAGTTTTATGGATTTCAACTTCTTATTATGAGGAACACAACGTTTCCTTACGGAGGATTAACAAACTGGTGGATTGTTGTTTCCGGACACATTCTACAAGCAGGGAGCCAGAACGGAGCCGGGTGAAATTCTTCACCTCTCCTCAATATCAATGAATTTTTTAGCTCAAATTACGAGGAATCGACCCCAGGAATGAAAATTTGTAACGTCTTCATCAGAACAGGTTTCTAAATGTCTAAGTTTTGAACCAGTGGGTGAGAGAGCTATGTTGAATAAAGATTGTTCGTCAATGCTGCTCCCCACCCGCCATGGAGTGTCAACAAGGTCGGTATTTAACTGCATCGGACATCCATCATGCAAACACCAGGGATACAGGGTTGGTGTACTCCAGTAAATACGACATAAATAGCTATTTTTGATAAGATAAGATACTTTATTATCCCGAAGGAAATTTTGGTTAATTGTGCATACCAAATTAAATGTCAGGCTGGTTCTGCCTATGACAAGTAATTGGACACATATTGAATTTGGAGGTCAACCTCACCAGATTGGCCCATTAGCCACCGCCTTCTGGAAAAGGACTTTAGGCAATTTAATATTATCAATAACTTATACATTGGAAATCCAAAAGACCAAGACCCAATAATAAGCTTTATGTGCAAATATTTTCCCCATGCACAGGGCTTGGCGTGACCAGCCAATTGATAGAATCGGGCCCATTCTACCACCCGTCCAGGTGAAGTCTGGGCCAAAGTGATGCGTTGGGCAAAAGGAACACGGTTCCAGGCTCCTGTTGCCCTCAACCACCAGAATCCCGTCTTCCACCGACACAGGGGTCGCCATTACGACCAGCAATGGGGTGCTGTGGACATGTTCTACCCGGATCCCCACGGGGCAAGAGCTACTAGCGTTACCCAGCACCCACCACGAGGAGGTGGCTCTTCACAGGTGGCAGCATTCGAAAGGTCATTTTTATAACATTTTAAAAATATTAGTGGATGAAACAGGAAATTTCCCGCAGAATTCAGTGTCTGATGTATTTGTTATTTTATTCGATTTCTAAGCGAAGGTTGAAGAGAAGGGACATATATGTCCCTTGCATCCAGGGGATAAAGGGCAAGTGCATAAGAATTTTTGGTCTTGTTCTTTTTCCGCATGACTCGTTAATGACAAGTAGTTTCATTGCCAAAACAGAACAGATATGACAAGCACGTACATGATCTATTTTTGCATCACATCGATTCATCTTTTGCTCATTTGCTGGGAGTTCTATTCCCACATTGTAAACCAAAAGTCACTGTGTTCTTTAATCTGATTGGTTAAAAAACGGCCGGCCGATGACACTTTCACTGCTGAACCCGTACTCGATGCCAATGAGTGCAGGCAGAAAAATGCGCGTGGACCTTTTGGTTTACTTCTGTGTTTACAATGTCGATAAACAGCGCGTGCTGGCCAATTTCCGGGTGTTATTGAGTATTGAAGCACGGAAATTCATTTGGAACCGACGGCGTTAGCCAGCACGTGATGTGTTGGGTGTTGACAACCGAAAATACTGTGATGTATGGCTGAATACTACCGTTTGTTGAAGACGAGCCATGGTATATGTCGGATGATCATTTTGAGCAGCTGCTATGACCCAAAGCTTGTGCCATGTTCCAGTGAATGACAAACACATTTGGTTATATTCCCGTATCCGGTATGCAGTTATAACGGCTATTGTTATATGCATGGATGCATTAGAAATACTATGTTAATGTTTCGGCATCAGATGGACGAGTGAGTGAGTTTAGTTTTACGACGCACTCAGTAGTATTCCAGCTATATAGCGGCGGTCTTTCGAGTATGGACCAGACAATCCAGTGATCAACAGCATGTACATCGACGCACTTGGAACCGATGACATGTGTCAACCCAGTCAGCGAACCTGACCACCCGATCCCGTTAGTCGCCTCTTACGACAAACATGGCTTACTGAAGGTCAATTCAAACCCGGATATTCACGGGTCTAGATGTACGATAGGTACCAGAATTTAATCGTTGTTGACCAAATGGAATCCAGCATTCTACAGCATCAATGACAAATTTATAGTATAAAATGCCTGGTCATCGTGGGAGAAAATGTGAAAAGGTTTACCACATTCGGAGATCTCTCAAGTGACGGCTTTGACTGCTTGGCCATCTGTCCCGTTCAACATTCAAAGAGTGAGTGAGTATGGTTTTACACCGCGTTTAGATATTCCAGCAATATCAAGGCAGGGGACACCAGAAATGGTCTCCACGCATTGTACCCATGTGGGGATTCGAACCCGGGTCTTCAGCGTGACGAGCGAACGCTTTAACCACTAGGCTACCACACTGCCCAAACGGTCAAAGACATGCAAATACCTTTCAATTTCCGCTTATTTGGTCTCTTTCGTTTCCATACCACCAGTCAACGGATTTTGGCTGGTTACGCAACGATATCCTTGTGTACCCTTAGGTTTCAAACTAACACTGTAATAACTTCTGGGAAAAAACGTATGGAATTAAAACTCAACCCTACATTTACTGATAGGATTTCAAGTCTACATACTTATAATACACATGACATTGTGTTATTTATAATGGCCCAACCACTTTATCAGTCAGATACAATCTCAATCTGTGGCAGTCACAGCTGTTATTTACTCAGACGGAATACATCGTGTTAAAACGGAGCAATGGAATCGTTGAGGAAGGTCGGTTTTTGTTATTATGTATCGCAAAGTTAGTTACATGTCTCTGAGGACTACCTATGGACTTTCACATATTCACAGTATGTACACAGCACATACACAGTGCCTCTTGTTTTAACAGTTATGGGAAGTTTTGAAGAAATGGGTTTTAAATTTGTCCGAAATGTTGATGGCGTTTCTGAATACTTGATGTGGTCTGGAAGAGCCTTCCACATAGATGCTGCTGTGCATCTGATCACCCATAGCTGTTTTACAGTGAGGCTTTTGGAGAAGGTCCTTGTCTGGTGAGTGAGGCTGAACAAGGGCTTTGAGATAAGAAGGAACAGAGTCTGTCTGGAGGCATTGGAAAGTGTGGAATAGGATTTTGAACTTGATTCTGTTGGAAATTGGTAGCCAATGGAGTTGCTTGAGAAGAGGAGAGATGTCTTGGTGTTTAGTTGTAGGTAGAAGACGCTGACAGACCAGTGCAGAATGGACATGGACAAGGAGGGACGGGTATTGACCAACCGCGTGTTGTTTGAAGAGTGCCAGAGGTGTGTTGCTAACTGCTGACACTATTGACAACTTGTGTGTTGTGTCTGGGCATGATGACCTTACTAACTGCCAACACTATTGACAACTGGTGTGTTGTGTCTGGGCATGATGACTTTACTAACAGCTGACACTATTGACAACTGGTGTGTTGTGTCTGAGCATGATGACCTTACTAACAGCTGACACTATTGACAACTGGTGTGTTGTGTCTGAGCATGATGACCTTACTAACTGCTGACACTATTGATAACTGGTGTGTTGTGTCTGAGCATGATGACCTTACTAACAGCTGACACTATTGACAACTGGTGTGTTGTGTCTGAGCATGATGACCTTACTAACTGCTGACACTATTGACAACGGGTGTGTTGTGTCTGAGCATGATGACCTTACTAACAGCTGACACTATTGACAACGGGTGTGTTGTGTCTGGACATGATGACCTTACTAACAGCTGACACTATTGACAACTGGTGTGTTGTGTCTGGGCATGATGACCTTACTAACCGCTGACACTATTGACAACTGGTGTGTTGTGTCTGGGCATGATGACCTTACTAACAGCTGACACTATTGACAACGGGTGTGTTGTGTCTGGGCATGATGACCTTACTAACAGCTGACACTATTGACAACGGGTGTGTTGTGTCTGGGCATGATGACCTCACTTACCGCTGACGCTATTGATAACTGGTGTGTTGTGTCTGGGCATGATGATCTTACTAACAGCTGACACTATTAATAACTGGTGTGTTGTGTCTGGGCATGATGATCTTACTAACTGCTGACACTATTGACAACTGGTGTGTTGTGTCTGAGCATGATGACCTTACTAACTGCTGACACTATTGATAACTGGTGTGTTGTGTATTAGCATGATGACCTTACTAACTGCTGACACTATTGATAACTGGTGTGTTGTGTATTAGCATGATGACCTTACTAACCGCTGACACTATTGATAACTGGTGTGTTGTGTATTAGCATGATGACCTCACTTACCGCTGACGCTATTGATAACTGGTGTGTTGTGTCTGGGCATGATGATCTTACTAACTGCTGACACTATTAATAACTGGTGTGTTGTGTCTGGGCATGATGATCTTACTAACTGCTGACACTATTGATAACTGGTGTGTTGTGTCTGAGCATGATGACCTTACTAACAGCTGACACTATTGATAACTGGTGTGTTGTGTCTGGGCATGATGATCTTACTAACTGCTGACACTATTAATAACTGGTGTGTTGTGTCTGGGCATGATGATCTTACTAACTGCTGACACTATTGATAACTGGTGTGTTGTGTCTGAGCATGATGACCTTACTAACAGCTGACACTATTGACAACGGGTGTGTTGTGTCTGGGCATGATGACCTCACTTACCGCTGACACTATTGATAACTGGTGTGTTGTGTCTGGGCATGATGATCTTACTAACTGCTGACACTATTAATAACTGGTGTGTTGTGTCTGGGCATGATGATCTTACTAACTGCTGACACTATTGACAACTGGTGTGTTGTGTCTGAGCATGATGATCTTACTAACTGCTGACACTATTGATAACTGGTGTGTTGTGTATTAGCATGATGACCTTACTAACTGCTGACACTATTGATAACTGGTGTGTTGTGTATTAGCATGATGACCTTACTAACCGCTGACACTATTGATAACTGGTGTGTTGTGTATTAGCATGATGACCTCACTTACCGCTGACGCTATTGATAACTGGTGTGTTGTGTCTGGGCATGATGATCTTACTAACTGCTGACACTATTAATAACTGGTGTGTTGTGTCTGGGCATGATGATCTTACTAACTGCTGACACTATTGATAACTGGTGTGTTGTGTCTGAGCATGATGACCTTACTAACAGCTGACACTATTGATAACTGGTGTGCTGTGTCTGGGCATGATGATCTTACTAACTGCTGACACTATTGACAACTGGTGTGTTGTGTCTGGGCATGATGACCTTACTAACAGCTGACACTATTGATAACTGGTGTGTTGTGTCTGGGCATGATGACCTTACTAACAGCTGACACTATTGATAACTTGTGTGATGTGTCTGAGCATGATGACCTTACTAACAGCTGACACTATTGACAACGGGTGTGTTGTGTCTGAGCATGATGACCTTACTAACTGCTGACACTATTGACAACTGGTGTGTTGTGTCTGGACATGATGACCTTACTAACAGCTGACACTATGACAACGGGTGTGTTGTGTATTAGCATGATGACCTTACTAACAGCTGACACTATTGATAACTGGTGTGTTGTGTCTGAGCATGATGACCTTACTAACAGCTGACACTATTGACAACTGGTGTGTTGTGTCTGAGCATGATGACCTTACTAACCGCTGACACTATTGACAACTGGTGTGTTGTGTCTGGACATGATGACCTTACTAACAGCTGACACTATGACAACTGGTGTGTTGAGTCTGGGCATGATGACCTTACTAACAGCTGACACTATTGACAACGGGTGTGTTGTGTCTGAGCATGATGACCTTACTAACCGCTGACACTATTGACAACTGGTGTGTTGTGTCTGAGCATGATGACCTTACTAACCGCTGACACTATTGATAACTGGTGTGTTGTGTCTGAGCATGATGACCTTACTAACAGCTGACACTATTGACAACTGGTGTGTTGTGTCTGAGCATGATGACCTTACTAACAGCTGACACTATGACAACGGGTGTGTTGTGTCTGAGCATGATGACCTTACTAACAGCTGACACTATTGATAACTGGTGTGTTGTGTATTAGCATGATGACCTTACTAACCGCTGACACTATTGACAACTGGTGTGTTGTGTCTGAGCATGATGACCTTACTAACAGCTGACACTATTGATAACTGGTGTGTTGTGTCTGAGCATGATGACCTTACTAACAGCTGACACTATTGACAACGGGTGTGTTGTGTCTGGACATGATGACCTTACTAACAGCTGACACTATGACAACGGGTGTGTTGTGTCTGGGCATGATGACCTTACTAACAGCTGACACTATTGATAACTGGTGTGTTGTGTCTGGGCATGATGACCTTACTAACAGCTGACACTATTGACAACTGGTGTGTTGTGTCTGGACATGATGACCTTACTAACAGCTGACACTATGACAACGGGTGTGTTGTGTCTGAGCATGATGACCTTACTAACAGCTGACACTATTGATAACTGGTGTGTTGTGTCTGGGCATGATGACCTTACTAACAGCTGACACTATTGATAACTGGCGTGTTGTGTATTAGCATGATGACCTTACTAACAGCTGACACTATTGATAACTGGTGTGTTGTGTCTGAGCATGATGACCTTACTAACAGCTGACACTATTGACAACGGGTGTGTTGTGTCTGAGCATGATGACCTTACTAACAGCTGACACTATTGATAACGGGTGTGTTGTGTCTGAGCATGATGACCTTACTAACCGCTGACACTATTGACAACTGGTGTGTTGCTAACAGCTGACACTATTGACACGTGTGTCCTGGCATGATGACCTTACTAACAACTGACAGTATTGATAACTGGTGTGTTGCTAACAGCTGACACTATTGACACGTGTGTCTGGGCAGGATGACCTTACTAACAACTGACAGTATTGATAACTGGTGTGTTGCTAACTGCTGACACTATTGACACGTGTGTCTGGGCAGGATGACCTTACTAACAACTGACAGTATTGATAACTGGTGTGTTGCTAACTGCTGACACTATTGACACGTGTGTCTGGGCAGGATGACCTTACTAACTGCTGTTACTATTGAGAACTTGTATGTTGTGTTAACGCAGTATTTATATTTTAAGAAAAGCAACCTTAAAAAAGATATACCCTTTCCTCCAGCTGGTTCTCTGTGTTCTGGTCTGTCACGTGACAGCCTGGATAAACCAGTTTGATCAAGAATTCACCTTCACCTGCCCAGCTGAAACCTCACTGGTCCACGTCGTCAGTAGCCATGACAACCGCTTTGAAGACAGAGTGTGGGAGTTCTCCTGTAGAGCCCCGCCCCACAGCGATGCAAAGATGACCAACTGTGAGTGGACAGGTAAGGTTCTATTGCCAGTTAACCTATCATAACAAGTCAGAGATCTGTGTAGACCTGTAAGCTACTATAAACCGGTAAACCTCTACCGACAGGTAAGCCAATACAGACTGGTAACCCAATACAGACATGTAAGCCAGAAGAGACCGGTAAGCCACTACAGAATGATAAGCCACTACAGACAAGCCGGTATAGGCGGGTCAGCCACTACAGACAGACGGTACAGATTGGTAATTGACTACAGACAGGTAAGACAGTACATATTAGTAATTGACCACAGACAGGTAAGCCACTACAGACAGGTAAGCCACAAGAGACTGGTAAGCCAATACAGACAGGTAAGCCACAAGAGATTGGTAAGCCAATACAGACAGACACGCCACATCAGACCGGTAAGCCACTACAGAATGATAAACCACTACAGACAAGCTGGTATAGGCGGGTCAGCCACTACAGACAGACGGTACAGATTGGTAATTGACTACAGACAGGTAAGACAGTACAGATTAGTAATTGACTACAGGCAGGTAAGCCAATACAGACAGATAAGCCAATACAGACAGGTAAGGCAATACAGACAGGTAAGCCAATACAGACAGGTAGTCCACTACAGACTGGTAAGTCACTAAAGACAGGTAAGCCAATACAGACAGGTAAGCCAATAGACAGGTAAGCCAATACAGACAGGTAAGCCAAAAGACAGGTAAGCCAATACAGATCGGTAAGCCACTACAGACACGTAAGCCACTACATACAGGTAAGCCAGTATAGGCATGTAAGCCAATATAGACAGGTAAGCCACTACAGACAGGTAAGCACTACAGAATGGTAAGCCACTACAGACACGTAAGGCACTACAGAATGGTAAGACACTACAGGCAGGTAGGCCATTACAGACAGGTAAGCCACTACAGACAGGTAAGCACTACAGAATGGTAAGCCACTACAGACACGTAAGGCACTACAGACAGGTACAGACCTATAGATAGGTCACTCTAGACAGGTTGTAGTAATCTACAAGCGAGGAAGAGACAAACCACAGACTTATTCAAAGCCTCTGGTAAGCCACTACAGGCAGGTAAGCCACTACAGGCAGGTAGGCCATTACAGAATGTTAGGCCATTACGGACAGGTAAGCCACTACAGACAGGTAGGCCATTACAGAATGTTAGGCCATTACGGACAGGTAAGCCACTACAGACAGGTAGGCCATTACAGAATGTTAGGCCATTACGGACAGGTAAGCCACTACAGACAGGTAAGCCATTATAGACAGGTAAGTCACTACAGACAGGTAAGCCACTACAGACAGGTAAGCCACTACAGACAGGTACAGACCTATAGATAGGTCACTCTAGACAGGTTGTAGTAATCTACAAGCGAGGAAGAGACAAACCACAGACTTATTCAAAGCCTCTGTCAGAAGAAAGCAGGAACGGTCCAATGGCCTCCCCCAACGCAAGATCTGCTGTTTTCATTCCACGCCGAAAAGAAACCAAAACAACATCTTTTGTAAAAGAAAATTGATCATTTGGAAAACACCCTTCTTTATGTATGTGGAAAGCAAAACTGTACATAAATAACACTGCTAAATTGAATTACCGTTAAATAAAAACGAAAATGTCATTTTCTACGTTACTGAGGATACGAAGAACGGACTTTCAAAATGCCGATATCTAATCTTTCAAAACCACCTGTTTTAATCTCACAGGATACGAAAATGAATTTGATCGACCCTTGACCTTCCAATGTGCACGTGATGGTATCATTGCGGGAATCAGTAGTTACCATGAAAACAAATATGAGGATCGTCGTTTCAAGTTCTACTGCTGCGAAGTACCAGGTAATGTGAACGTTTAACAATTAAATCTTTGTTCCACGAGGTTTGATGAAGATTGGACATTTCATCTCCACTTTATATGGATAAGAGCACCAGTCAGGTGTGAATGGTCTCCCTAGTTACACTACTACATTTGTACAATGAAACTAATTTCACACATGTCAATGAACCCGTGAATATCCGGGTTAGAAATGATCTTCAGCAACCCATGCTCGTCGTAAGTGGCGACTAACGGGATCGAGTGGTCAGGCTCGCTGATATGGTTGACGCATGTCATCGTATGCCAATTGTGTCGATCGATGCTTATACTGTTGATCACTGGATTGTCTGATCGAGACTCAATTATTTACATATAGTTTGAATATTGCTGAGTGCGGCGAAAAACTAAACTCACTCACTCACATGACAATGACACCTTGACCTACTTTTGAAATTGGCGCATGGCCAAGGACTGAAGGGGGATACAATAACCAATTAGGATATACATGTACTCGATGTAACGGGAAAAACTCGAAATTTCAGAAAAGAATGAACAAATAATTAATGAGAAATGTACGTTGAAAGAATAATTTGTGGTACCAAGGTGGCAACGTGAGGCTTTCCTTCACAACATTTTAACATTGTTTAACTTAGAGTTTGGTTTGTATATGGGTGATAAATTAAAAACCCTTGAATATTTCTAAAACAAACATTCTGCATAGCTAACGGACTGATACGCGAGCCTGTTCCGAAATCGGAAGTTTTGTAAGAACACCAGACGTATAAATACCTCAATGGTTAGTGAAATAAAATAATGAGGAATTTCTGTTTGAATGCGTGCCTTGGAGCCCTAATCTTGGAGCAAATAATCTTTTTCATATTTTTTGTTGTTCATGTTGTTATTATTATCAAATGGTCCAACGCAGGGTACATAACTGGGTCCTGCTACTTCACGCCCTACGTCAACAACTTCGACGAACACATGGACTACGTTGTGCCTTCTGGGAAGGTCATGCGCGGCATCGACAGCTACCACGAGAACAAGGAAGAGTGAGCTGTCTTTGATATATATACCGACATATGAATTTTGTTGTATTTGTGTAGCCAAGTCGTTAAGCTATCGCCGAATGCCATGATTCGATTCGTTTTTGTGGACACTATGTTTGGAGCCCGTTTCTGGAGCCTGGTCCCGTCCATGATGTTGCTGAAAGTGACGCCGAGCCCTACTAACACGTTGACTCTTATACTTCAATAAGGCAGTGATATTTTACAGGTGCTTCTCTGAATATTTGCCATTTTGAATTGTTCTTATTTTTTGCCGTTGAGATGGGACATTGCTTTGTGACTCTTCCTTACAACATGAGATGGCGATATAACGTCAATCATTATCTCACCTTGTATGTTCATGTGATATGAGAGACTGTTACAATAACCTAGGAAACTATTGAATTGTTGGTTGTAAAAGTTTATAATTGTGTAAACATTTAAGACCTCTATGCAATTATCTCATTCTCAGGGACCGCCGTTTCAAGTTCGAGATCTGTGACCTTGTTGCGCATGACACGGGGACACAAGTTTAGTTACCCGGATGTAGATGACTCTAGCAAGCAATAAAACTAGACGCGTGTGTGCGTGCACCCGCTTTGTTGTATGTCTAATACCAAACAGAGAAAGAATCTGCATTTGACTCCAGTACACCACCCACAAGCTTCTGACTCGCAGGTTCTCAGGTTCTCTTGCTTCCATTACAGTCCATGAGCCAGACCAGCTCTACCTACCAAAGGGACAGATAACCAAGTTGAGCTTCAGCAGCCTTACGTCTCAGCTGTATGTCGTATTGTGGTGGGCATTTAAATGACACAATGTCACACCGCACTTCTCTAAACATACATGATGCATATCTCTCAATAATACTATCAGCCCTCAGGGAAGCTACCATATAATTTATTCCTTATTATACGTATTAAGATTACAATATTAAATGGGAAAGTTCGAACTAATTAATGCAACATTGCATTAAATCGACTCTCGCGCCCTCTACCTGACGAACAACTCTCTCTCTCTCTCTCTCTCTCTCTCTCTCTCTCTCTCTCTCTCTCTCTCTCTCTCTCTCTCTCTCTCTCTCTCTCTCTCTCTCTCTCTCTCTCTCTCTCTCTCTCTCTCTCTCTCTCTCTCTCTCTCTCTCTCTCTCTTTAGAATACCTGGGACCCCCATCTGAAGTGACAGCTTTGATTGCTGTGTCAACGCCGTGCCCCTACAGATTTCCTCTCATTCCTTTCCATCTCTCATATGAGACTCGAACCAGACAATTATTTTGGTCTGGTTAAATTTGGATCCTCTTTCGTTTCGACTCTTGGAACATCCCCATAAGATGTCTGTGTCAGTTGTTTTGGCTGGTTATGATCGCGACTTGGAGAATCCCGACTTGTCAGGGAGGTCATGATAGAATAGTTTTTGTCCCAAGGTTGCAAACTAGCACTTTAATATACTTAAGACGAAACGTATGGAATTCAAACACCAACCTACATTTACTAATACGATTTTAAGCCTACTTGAGTAAAATACACATATGTTTTATGTAATGGCGCATTGTTGCCAAACGTCATATCAGTCTGACACAATCACGAACTCTGGCACTAACAGCTGCTTTTTACTCAGACCTAATACATCGTGTCAAAAGGCACAGTGGATTTGTTTATGAAGGTCGGTTTTATTTTTGTGTCTCGCAAATTTAGTTCCACTGGTCGTCAGCATCCGCAAATAGCCAGATGGCTATGGTAACTCACGTGAAATTATACGTGCTTCTAAACTATAAAACTCTCTCACATAATCAATTTAATTAACACTCATCTGAGAAAATTTGCCACTGGCAGACACAAGGTGTGACGACCGCCTCCGTGGTGCAGTGGTTAGAGCGTCCGCCCGGAGAGCGGAAGGTCGCGGGTTCGTTCCCCGGACGCGTCATACCAAAAGACGTTAAAACATGGTACTTGTTGGTCCATGCCTGGTGCTCGGCATTAATGGGTACATCAAGGACTGGTCGGCTCGGAGTCAGTATAATGTGTCTGAGTGGGGTATTCATGCTTCACTGCGGCATGGTATCTCAGTGGCCTAGCACTATAAAACCAGCTTCAGTCTGGGCTAGTACAAGCAGCCGCACATACACATACACACGTATGCACGTCGTCATATGAGCGAAATATTTTCAGGCACGACGTTAAACCCAATTTCACCTCACCTCACAGAGTGTGACTGTTTGTACCCCATGGTTTGTACCGTCTCTGATGACTACCCAAGGACCATTCAGGTCAACTAATGTGGCTGAAGCATTGTCGAATAATCTCAAAAGGATTGTGAACCATTTTTGATCACTAGGTGATGTCTGTAGACAATAACTGAAATAATGGCTGACACTATTAACGACGTGTGTTGTGTTATGTGTCACACTAGTTGTCGTGTGCACGTGTCAGACATATGTCAAGATCGTGACCAATGACCAGCAGATTATGTCCATGGGAATTGCCGACCAAAACAGATTGTTAGTCGTTTATCAACCTTTAGGGGAAGACGAGAGACAGCGGAGTAGCCGGCACGCAGGGAGGGACAGACAGACACTGTCCAGTCAATCCAGGCCACCTGCTGGACAAGTGTCAGCCTGACTTCATCGCCTTCCCCTGGTAGTGTCTGTCGGACCCTTTGTACGCTATTAAGCCTCGAGTTGTGTGAATAGTGTCAGAGGTATTATACCTTGCATAATGACATGCATAAACGTTAAAATAAACTAATCTTTACTCCAGCTTGTTCTCTGTGTTCTGGTCTGTCACGTGACAGCCTGGATAAACCAGTTCGACGAACCATTCACCTTCACCTGCCCAGCTGAAACCTCACTGATCCACGTCGTCAGTAGCCATGACAACTATCATCAAGACAGAGTGTGGGAGTTCTCCTGTAGGGCCCCGCCCCACCACGATGCCAAGATGATCAACTGTGAGTGGACAGGTAAGCTTCTATTGATAGGTCACCAATCTTAACTAGTCGGTGTAGATCTGTAAGCTACTATAAACCGGTAAGCCACTACCGACAGGTAACCCAGTACAGACAGGTAAGTCAATACAGACAGGCACACCACAACAGACACGTAAGCCACTATAGACAGGTAAGTCACAATAGACATATAAGTCACTACGTAAGTAAGCTACTATAAACATGTAAGCCACTACAGACGGGTAAACCGTTTTAGACCAGGAAGCCACTGCAGGCAGGTAAGCCAATACAGATCGGTATACCATTACACACTGGTAGCCGCTCCAGGCAGGCCATTACAAACAGGTAGACCACTACTGACAGGTAAGCCAGTATAGGCATGGACAGCCACTACAGACAAGTAAGTTATAAAAGAAAGGCAAGCTGCTATGGAGAGATAAGCCACTACAGACAGGTAAGCCACTGCAGACATGTAAGCCATTATAAGCAGATAAGTCGCTATAGAAGGTAAGCGTTTTAGACAGGTAAGCCGCGATAGACAGTAAGCCACAATACACAGGTAAGACACTGTAGACAGATAAGTCGCTATAGACAGGTAAGTCGCTATAGACAGGTAAGCCCCTATAGACAGGTAAGTCACTATAGACAGTTAAGTCACTAAAGACAGGTAAGTCGCGATAGCAGGTCAATGGACTGATTCCAAGCTTCTGTCATAAGAAAACAATAATGGTGCATCAGCCTCCACTGTTGGATTGAACTATTACTCAATAAAAAACGAAAACATTTTAGTTTTTGTGGATACGAATTTTCGCAATACCGTTATATAATCTGTCAACAACGCCTGTTTTCATCTCATAAGATACCAAAATGAATTTGATCAACCCTTGACCTTCCAATGTGCACGTGATGGCCTCATTGCGGGAATCAGTAGTGTCCGTAACGACTATCATGAAGACCGTCGTTTCAAGTTCTACTGCTGCGAAGTACCAGGTAATTGTGGGTATTTAACAATAATGGGTTTTTTCGAGAATGTATCATAAAGTTTAATAAAGATTAATCATTCCAACTCTACTTTATTTACATAAGTTCACTAGTCAAGTATGATCTTCCCAGATGCCCAACCCTAATTCTCTACTTGGCAAGAACAATTCCCCATTACCATCCCCCACAAGGGACAGGGATCTTGCAGCCAATTTTTCAGCCTACATCTCAAGTAAAATTGAAAATATCAGGAAATGCTTTGACCAAATATTTCCTGACACACAGGGACGTCCAACATGTCCACCCGATGATAGGATCTGTCTGGACAGCTTTGAATCTTTCACAGAATGTGAGATAGCTGCATTCATCAAGTGGTCAAAAAAGACATTGTCTCTTCTCGATCCAATGCTAACTCATCCATGAAGTAATTGCCTTCGTTCACTGACTAACTCTTGATCTGGCTATCTGTACAGCCTCTGGTATGGAGGAATCCATCAATTGGAGGTCGTCCGCAAATGCGTGATGATTCTCATCAAAGTTACCAATGACCTTCTTCAAGGAGTTCGTGTATAACACAAAAAGAAGTGGACCAAGGACTGAGCCCTGGGGTACACCAAACTCTAGGATCGTTGACTGACTGACTTTCAGCGACAAGAACTGACTGACTCCTAGTACTCAGATAGGAATGGAACCAGGCCAATGCATCCCCTTGTACACTAAACGCCAAAAGAAACGTTACCCTCCTACCTTTATGACCCATTCTCTCCGCTCCCAGAATCAAGGTCTTCTCTCAGTTCCCCAAGTTCATCTCAAACACTTTGGACATAGCTCATTCAAATTTGCAGCACCAACCCAGTGTAACAGTCTTCCTTCTCCCATCAAAAATGCTTTTTCCTTAGAAGCATTCAAATCGGGACTCAAAACCTTCCTCTTCAAATAATTGAGGATGGTCATTTTGACGTACTGTCATATTTTCCTCATTAACTCTAGCGACTGTTTTATATGTAGCGCTTTGGGCATGCTCTGGATGGACTACGGCGCACAAGAAATATCCATTTATTATATATAATTACTATTTCACACATGACAGTGACACCTTCACCTATTCTTGAAATCGGCACAAGGCCAAGGACGGCTGGGGGATACAATAACCGATGGTGTGTGTGTGCGTGCGTGCATGCGTGCGTGCGTGCGTGCGTGTACTTGATGTAAGGAATATAACTCGAAATGTGAGGTACAAAAAGAACAAATACTTGAATTAATGAGAAATTTAGGCTCATTGAATAACTTGTGCTACCAAAGTGGCAGCGTCAGGCTTTTCTTGGCAACAAATTATTTAAATAAGAGTAGGGTTTGTCATATAGGTGATAACTAAAAACTGTTAATTATTACTGGAACGAACTTTCTGCACAGATAACGGAGTATACATAAATGTATGTCTTTTGGTATTTATGATTTTTATAATGTTTTCCATGCTGTTAAGGATTTTTGTTAAAGAAAAGTCAATAAACCCTTTTTTAAGAATTAGTAATATGATTATTTTTAATGATATACTAGTATTTCTAATACCTGAATCCTTGTTTGGCAAAACATGATCTTGCCTGAAAATTGGAATCTTTATTGATAAAACGAGTTTAGACCTTTAGACTGATAGGCGTGTTTTCGGGAATCGCAACACCACACGGTTAAATGCCTCAAGGCTGTGTGTGGCGTGAAGAAGTTCTGTACCATGCATTTGTTTCTGTGTAGCCAAAACTGGGCCGTCCAAATGGACCTTCGTTTGTGTGAAACTGGATAATACAAAACTTAGAAGCGTGGTTTGGAGCCCTATCTCTCCCATTGCAGATATATTCATTATAATTTGTGTTGTCATGTTGTTATTTTTATTATTAACAAATGCTCCAACGTAGGCTACATCCCTGGGTCCTGCTACTTCACGCCCTACGTCAACAACCTCAACGAACACATGGACTACGTTGTGCCTGGCGGTAAAGTCATGCGCGGCATTGACAGCTACCATGACAACCATAAGGAGTGAGTTCACCTTGACTTATAGGGGCGGATAGCCTAGTGGATAAAGCGTCCATCGTCCCGCCGAAGACCCCACATGGGTACAATGACTTACAGGGGCGGATAGCCGAGTGGATAAAGCGTCCATCGTCCCGCCGAAGACCCCACATGGGTACAATGACTTATAGGGGCGGATAGCTTAGTGGTTAAAGCGTCCATCGTCCCGCCGAAGACCCCACATGTGTACAATGTGCAAAGCCCATTTCGGGTGTCCCCGCCATGATACTGCTGGAATATTGCCAAAAGCGGCGTAAAACACTACTCACTCACTCTTCGACTTATATTTCAGGTTAAAGTGTAAATATATGCATTATCTATTGACCCCGACATATTGATTTTGTGAGAGGATATCCATGTTGTATTTGTGATCATTAATGACTTCTAATTCTCGTTCTCAGGGACCGCCGTTTCAAGTTTGAGATATGTGGCCTTGTTGCACATGACTCAACAATCCTTGGATAGGTAAACCGGAAGTAGATGTCTCTCGCAAGCAATAAAGCACTTGTGTGTGTGCACTTTCGTTTTGTTGTATGTGATGTATGCTTTGTTTGTTTGTTGTTTAACGCTGCACTAGTCAATATTCCAGCTATATGGCGTCGGTCAGTTAATAATCGAGTCTGGACCAGACAATCCAGTGATCGACAGCATCGGCATTGATCTACGCAGTTGGGATACGATGACATGTGTCAACCAAGTCAGCGAGCCTGACCACCAATACCGTAAGTCGCCTTTTACGACAAGCATGGGTTGCTGAAGATCAATTCTAACCCGGATCTTCAGGGGTCACGTCCAGTATGACGATTTGTACCATCCACTGTATGAGGAAATAAGTTTGATATAAATCAAACACACTTGTCGACATCTCACCATGAAATGAACGCCATCTGAACAGTGCAAACACAGACAAGATGTGCAAGACGAGGCACTCGGCAAAATTCCAGCTATATGGCAGTGGTCTGTAAATAATCGAATCTGGACCAGACAATCCAGTGGTCAACATCATGAGCATCGATCTACACACTTGGGACACGATGACATGTGTCAACCAAGTCAGCGAGCCTGACCACCCGATGCCGTTAGTCGCCTCTTACGACAAGCATGGGTTACTGAAGATCAATTCTAACCCGGGCCTTCACGGGTTAAAGACTTGTGCACCTAATGTACATATCTTTAAGTGGCATTTAGAAGCTGGTATGAAGAGGAACACTTTTATGGATAGACAGCTTCTTTATTGCAATAGATGAGTTTCGGTGTAGATGCTGACATCGTCATTTGCTTGATAATTAAATATAAATTATGGCAACTAATTTACATGTATGATTTAAATGTGTCGAAAAGATTTTTTATACCCAAGAGGTGGTCAAATGACTACAGATTCGACACAATGTATGTGTTGAAAGATGACAAATTTGTTGTTCAGCAGCAAAGAGGTTAAAGTGGCGACAGGTGAGGTGAGGTGAAATTGGGTTTTACGTTGTGCTTGAGAATATTTTGCTCATATGACGACGTGCATGCGCGTGTGTGTATGTGCGGCTGCTTGTACTAGCCCAGACTTAAGCTGGATTTATAATGCTTGTCCACTGAGATACCATGCCGCAGTGAAGCATGAATACCGCAATCAGACACATTATACTGACTCCGAGCCGACCAGTCCTTGTTGTAACCATTAATGCCGAGCGCCAGGCAGAGACCAACAAGTACCATCTTTTAACGTCTTTGGGTATGACGCGGTCGGGGATCGAATCCGCGACCTTCCGCTCTCCGGGCGGACGCTCTAACCACTACACTACGGAGGCGGTTGTGGCGACAGGTAGAACAACTGGTAAAACGTGGGATTACAAGCGATCGTAGAGCGCGAGTAGCTTAACGCCGTTTTTTAGCAATATTCCAGCAGTATTACGATGGGGGACTCCAGCAATGGGGTTCATACATTGTACCCATATAGGGAATCAAACCCGCGTCTTTGGCGAACGAACGTTTTAAGTACTTGGCCACCCTTCCACCCTGATCGTCGAGCACGTAGGTGAAAAGATTCAAATCGATTCGAAGCTCTCTTAGCGCTAAGATGGTCGTAAGTCCCATACATTAACATAAACTTACGACTATCTCAGACCTTTGCATTTCTTCGCAAATGTATTCTCCATTGGTCTAAAAATAAATATAATAAGAAATGGTCCCTTAAATCATAACTTCCCCGCTTTTAAAAATACAGGGTATTTTAACAAGAGCCGGGCCTCTAATAAGCGCCGGGTCTGGAGGTCCGTTGAAAAAAATACGCTTATTAGAGGAAATAAGGTACTTCAATTATGTCTTCGTACATGGTATTGATTACAATAGTCCCAACATGCACGCACACACACTTAAATATTACATATATTGGTTAATTGAGACATTGCCTGTATTGTATACACTTGAAAAAAGTATCACAACCCCCACAATTTTCACAAATCAAATTGTAACCATTAGCCACAGACAGGGAATTCATCCAAACACAAATTAAACTGTGATCCTCAAGAAATACATAAATGGCAAATCTAAAAATCGAAAAACACGACAAACTACACACACATAATTGATCCTAAGACATTAATAAGTGCAGTCATTTTCAAGTATCAGTTATGGAGTATCAGTATCTGGCCCCGATTTCTCGAAACAACTTAAGCATGAGTTTTGACTTAAGTTCCAGTTTTTACTCAAATTTAATAGATGAATTTCCAAGACTGAACTGAAATTGATATTAAACTCAAACATAGGACTGTTAAAGTCCTATAAACAGGAGACAATTTGAGTTTGGTGGATAGATTACTTAAGTTATGTGGGGATTTTTTATTTCAAATATGCAGTAGAGTAAAAAATTCAACAGTTGCAAATTGTCAAAAAGAGTTTGAAATGTGATTAAAAACTTAAGTTTATTCCCAGAAACAGGGGCCTGGAGTATTGTTTTCCACTCTTGATAGGGGCTTCTTCCATTACATCAAGACTGAACAGAAGGATCTTTCTAGCATATTCTGGCACCCATAATGTCCCAAACATGCTCTGGCAGGTGATGGTGGAGGTGATACTGACTCCTGACGTATGAAATCACCAAATCACCAACAGCACGTGCAACATGTGTCCTAGCATTGTAATGCATGACCTTGTGTTATAGTGCATAACCTTGTGTTGTAATGCATGACCTTGTGTTGTGATGCATGACCTTGTGTTGTGATGCATGACCTTGTGTTGTGATGCATGACCTTGTGTTGTAATGAATGACCTTGTGTGATAATGAATAACCTTGTGTTATAATGAATGACATTCTGTTGTAATGCATGACCTTGTGTGATAATGAATAACCTTGTATTATAATGAATGACATTCTGTTGTAATGCATGACCTTGTGTGATAATGAAAATGACCATGTGTTCAGGGGATGGTTATTGAAATGTGGTACAACAACCTTGTCTAGGGTATTATTATTATATGGGTATTTATATTACTATATGGGTATTTATATATCGCTATTGCCCATCCCATCTACATGTATGCTCAAAGTGCTTTGTTTTTTCCCTCGATCACTGGATGTCAAACTCAACTCCCTGGGGATCATACTACTCAAGCAGCCACTAGGCGCACCAAGTTAATGTGGCTTTCCCATCCTTACGAGGTACCCATTCATAGCTGGGTGGACTGGGACACATAGTCACAGTACTTTGTCCAAGGTTTACTGCACGTTGCTGTACCCGCAACTAGGTGTTCCCACGCATTCATTTGGCCACCATCTGGTAATTAACCCATGGATTTGTGGGTTCTTTTAAGTGCACAGGGTTGTGTACTGTACACTAGGGGTTGTGTACATAGAGAATACTACACGAGGTCTCATTACATACAAATTATACGAAACGAGTGTCACGAGTTCATATGTAATGAGACCGAGTGTGGTATTTTATTTATTACCAACGTTTTACATGCATTAAATCGACAAAATAGCGTATTTTTGTTATTTTTTTGGTTTCAAACCGAAACCGGTTTAATAAAGAGGTTGCGGAAGAGTTTTGTACTGTAGTACAATATTTGCATGACGTCACACTGTAATGACGTCACTGCCTTGGTAACCGACGTCACGATGCATGTCAGTTGTCATCGCCTCGTACAGCCTCCTACAGTAAACTATTCCGTAGCACCCAGTTTCTTGGTTTGCAGTTGCTTCATTTGGCTAACATCCCTGGTGGAAACATTGCGTTTATGTTTTTCTCAGTTCGACTCACAATTAAACAGCGACACTGCAACGTTTGCAATGTTTACATTCTCACAATGCATTTAAGTTGTAGAAATGAATGAATTCATGTGTTTGTTATGAATTGAGAGGCCATCGGTTATCCAATCAAATCGTTAGAATATCAGGTCAAGTTATGACACAGGTCAACACTCGTGTGACGTACGAGATTAGTGTGCAACTACCCATACGTTGACCTAGTGGGTAATAATGTACATGAGGGGTTGTGTACTGTACACTAGGGGTTGTGTACTACAAGGTTTCTACACCCGGTCACAGGTTGAAGTGGAAGCTGGCAGGGGTAATGGAGGTGAAGAATGATTTCATATGGCGACAGAGTTACGTAACCTGTCTGTGGTTTCGTTGGCGGGCGAGAGTGAAGCAGGCCACTTCTTGGCAACTTTTAATCGCTCCGTATTAATTAACCACAAGTTTTTAAAGAATGAATTTGGTGTTCTGCATAAGACTAACCACAAATCTTTTATATGTAATGGTTAAAAGAGTACAAAAAAACAAAGTCTAGTTGTTCTTTAAAATGTTGAATTAAATATATGCTGTATAATTATATATGTTGTATGCGAGTAATTATTAAATATGAGGTTGGAAATCTGAGAGCACAACCCTGTGAGGACTTTGTATTAGCAGTGTGCCCATAGTTGCATCTACAGTTTCAATCACACATTTGGAGAGTTGTTCTCAGCTTTAACATTGCATCAATAGTGTCTCTAATACATGGAGCAGTATCATAGATCTAACATTGCATGAAGAGTTTTAACACAGTAATGAAGATCCCAATGGCATCAAAAACACTATTTTCGCACACATCCGTCCAGTATTAGGTCTGAGGTCAGCTGGTCTTGGCTGCACAGCCCCTGGAGGTTCACCAGGAGGTGATTCAGGGCGCTCCCTGGGGACGAAGATGAAGATGTGGTCGAAGTCAGCATCTGTTTGATGTCCTCTGAATGAAAACAGAGTCTTCTTCTCAGCAGCTTCAGTAGCTTCTCCATGGAGCTCACAATCTTGTCATCATTCTGAAAGAAAAGGATTATTCAAACTTGATTTATGAAACCTAAACAAAGACAAAGGACGGTCAATTACCAATTGCAGCACATTTCAATTACATGCTTCAATGACTTGGACTGGGAATCGAACCATGGACCTTCTGATCTGGAGTTTGACGCCTTGTCCACATGACCAAAGATGTTAACCCAGTCAGCAATCTGACAAGGTTAGGATGTCATCTGTGGGATGAATCCACGCCCTGCTACATTTCTTGTAGTGATATTTAGCAGTTTTACATCCAAGTGCAAAACATTACAGTCAACAACATTCTGCAGTTATCTATGAATATAGTTTAGTACCTACATGACAATATGTCCAAGCAAAGTGAAACAAAATCATTACCGTTCAACTAATCATTATTTACCTGAAATGTTTCAACTTTACCAGCACACATTAATCCCAAAACAATTCTCCTCTCTGTGTGATATGTGACCTGAGTCAACCCATGTTTCTTCAAGATGGCAACAAGAGCATCAGTTACAGCCAGGAAGCTGTCTTGTTTGAAGGGGCCATCTACGATGTATGTGCATATCTTCTCTACACCAAGTCTCCTTGCTGATCTCACACAAATCTTAGAGAACTGAAAGCAATGATGGTTGATGTAAGTACATGTCATGCTGGATACACAAACCTGGTCATGCGATGTCATGCTGGATAGACAAACCTGGTCATGTGATGTCATGCTGGATACACATACCTGGTCATGCGATGTCATGCTGGATACACATACCTGGTCATGTTATGTCATGCTGGATACACATGTCTGGTCATGCGATGTCATGCTGGATACACATACCTGGTCATGCGATGTCATGCTGGATAGACAAACCTGGTCATGTGATGTCATGCTGGATACACATACCCGGTCATGTGATGTCATGCTGGATACACATACCTGGCCATGTGATGTCATGTTGGATACACATACCTGGTCATGTGATGTCATGCTAGATACACATACCTGGCCATGTGATGTCATGCTGGATACACATACCTGATCATGTGATGTCATGCTGGATACACATACCTGATCATGTGATGTCATGCTAGATACACATACCTGGTCATGTGATGTCATGCTGGATACACATACCTGGTCATGCGATGTCATGCTGGATACATACCTGGTCATGTGATGTCATGCTAGATACACATACCTGGTCATGCGATGTCATGCTGGATAGATAAACCTGGTCATGTGATGTCATGCTAGATACACATACCCGGTCATGTGATGTCATGCTGGATACACACCTGGTCATGTGATGTCATGTTGGATACACATACATGGCAATGTTGTCATGTTGGATACACATACCTGGTCATGTGATGTCATGCTAGATACACAAACCTGGCCATGTGATGTCATGCTGGATACACATACCTGATCACGTGATGTCATGCTAGATACACATACCTGGTCATGTGATGTCATGCTGGATACACATACCTGGTCATGCGATGTCATGCTGGATACACACCTGGTCATGTGATGTCATGCTAGATACACATACCTGGTCATGTGATGTCATGCTGGATACACATACCTGGTCATGCAATGTCATGCTGGATACACACCTGGTCATGTGATGTCATGCTAGATACACATCCCTCGTCATGTGATGTCATGCTGGATACACACCTGGTCATGTGATGTCATGCTAGATACACATACCTGGTCATGTGATGTCATGTTGGATACACATACCTGGTCATGTGATGTCATGCTAGATACACATATCAGGTCATGTGATCTCACGCTAGATACACACCTGGTCATGTGATGTCATGCTAGATACGCATATCTGGTCATGTGATGTCATGCTAGATACGCATATCTGGTCATGTGATCTCACGCTAGATACACACCTGGTCATGTGATGTCATGCTAGATACACACCTGGTCATGTGATCTCATGCTAGATACACACCTGGTCATGTGATGTCATACAAATCCATATACCTGGTTGTAGAGTAACGCCAGACTCAATAATATTATGGCTACGTGATGGCCATCTTTAAGCAATCTCGGCTGGACAAGATAATCCATAGGTTGACATCATGACCATCAATCTATGCAGAATGGACACGATGACACGGTCAGTGAACCTAATTAACCAATCCCGTTAAGTCGCCTCCTACTACAAGCATGGTTTGCTGACAACACCTCCAACCTGTATCTACATAGGTATCTGGTCATATGACGTCATACAATATAGATGTTGATGGTCATCATGTGACCAACCAGGTACACTTACCTGGTCATGTGATGTCATGGACGTACCGGGAAGGAAGGACTGCTGCAGAAAAGGACGGAGGAATTTCTCCTCAAAGACATCATCAGCAACAAGCGAGCTGGGACTTAATCGGCACAATATCTGAAACAACAGCCATAAGCTGCATAGAACATCTCGACCATGTAAAATTCCAGCAACAGGAACCGAAATATTTTAGATGGAATCCTGTTAGTTGCTCATAAAAGCATGGGTTTCTCCAGACCAATTCTATCTTCGCAGGTACACTCATGTGATATCCCTTCAGTCACAGTCCGTGACAACATTACCTTGTGGCTTCACATGACAAGCAACAATGTGACAAGAAGCATGAGGCACTGGCAGAAAATGACATGAGTGCCTGTGTCTCAAAATCAAACCACGCACCAGGTCACCCAATTTAAAAAATATGATATTTAAAACCCATGATATCTCAGTCAAAATGGGCCCACATACAAAACTGTTTCTCTTCCATGTTTGCAACATGCATAGGGAAGTGATGAGTTATCTCCCCTTATTAGCTACCTCATCCTTGACAAAAGACTCAAGTCGATCTAAACTCAACTTACACTTGATTACCCTAGTATCCATCAAAGCCCAATTCGTGACCCAATGCAAAGATGTCCACCAAAATTGATGCTTTGTAATAATCATGCAATTAGACACATTCTCTTATGAACATATTTCTGCCATTCAGGATTGAAATCATGGCGGACATTGGTGAGCATAGTCCTCTCCAGTCACAGTTGTGTGAAAACTGTAATGGTTGGCATTTCTGCCTGAGAGGGTCTTTTGGTGTACATTTTTTAAATGAATTTAGAGAAGAAGTGACAACTATAAATTGAGGTTATTTGGTGAGATACCCACCTGTGCAGAGATGCGGTCATCTGGGCTGGTACAGGACATGGCGAACAAATCACAGATCATGTCCAGCTCTTCCTGAGTCAGACCCGGCTTCAAGAACATGATATGGAGTGCTGCTGACTGCTCAAACTCTGACACAATCTGGAATGAATGGCAGTCATCAATATTTCAGCCAAATCACTGTAGTGAACGAGTAATGTTGTATACCACTTTCAACAAAATTTCAGCAATGTATAACTAGAGAGAAGAAAAAGGCTTCTTACACTAGTTATTCATTCAGCACATGGAGCTGATACGTTAACCATGAAGCTCCTCCAGTTATGTGTCATATTGGGGACAAAACTGGGTATTGGGCACTCTGAGAAATAAGCTGACATCCTAACTTTACGTCAAAAATATATTTGATATATTTCTTTCTCAAATACAATCTGTAAACTGCAGTCTAAGTAAACTTAGGCTCAGTATTATCCGTTACACTACTATACTGAGTCTAACAAAACCTTGTGGAAGGTCGCGTCAGGTAACCTTTGAGCAACCTATGACCGTCCAATCAAACGCAAGACGACAGAACGGATTTAACCAATCAGACAACGGCTACTATTTAGGGTTCAGCGGGACTTACAAAATGGATTTACTCTTCCCCGGTCACCAACACTGATCTCACAACAAATGAAAACCTGCATAACATACAGATATATGACCTGCAGAATATACGCTTATGGGTTTCTGTTGACATGTTTATCATAAGCTAATATTTCCACAAGCTGACATCCTTGAATACTGACAAAAGGTTATTTGCATCGCTCGGAAGGGATCGTACGGAAAATAGCATTTCGGAATCACGTGACAAAACTTTTTCGAAGTAAAAGTTAAAAAGGTATGTGCAAACTTCCGCGATTTGGTAAGCTGTGTTCTGATTGGTCAATTAAAAACGTTACCTGATGCGACCTTCTACAAGGTTTTGTTAGACTCAGTATAGCAGTGTAACGAATAATACTGAGCCTAAGTTTACTTAGACTGTGTAAACAGGAAAATGCTTCACTTCAACAGTGGCCTACTGAGCATACACAGACTCAGAAAGACCTACTAAATGGTAAATGAGATTCAGAAACAAATTAAGATAAGATGCTGAAGCTTGTTTCTATGCAAGTGCTACACAGTCTCACCTGTGGGTTGCTGCGATATTTGCTTAACAGATGGTCCCATATGGCAGAGAATGCTGGGTAATCCTCCTTGGTTGCCATGGTTGCAATAGCTGCCAAAGCTTCTGCCCACTGTCTCCATACAGAGAATTTCTTGCGCTTTAGACCTATTTGAACCAAGTCAAGTTGTGTAAAATAAGGACAACTCACATGGACATGGAACAGTTTCAAACATTCAAAAAGACAGCCAATTAACAACAGTCAATTTCCACATATATACATATATATTGAAATAGCTTATTTCTCCTTTTCAGTTTTGGCAGAGTTCAGATTTTTGGTACACATCTTATATATCAACATATCAATCACATGTCGTTTTTGTTTAAAACATAAATATGGTAGGACCCAGGGGTCAAGGTCAACAATGAAATATCACTGTTAAATCCGCAGGTAGGGGATTCTACAAAAACAATCTCAGTTCTACTACTGTCATAAGTCGTGTTAAAGAAAGTATATGGGTAAAGATGACCTTATTACTTTTTACAATAGCACCGCGGACCTCGTTTCAGTCATGGTACTATTATTTTACTGTTCTTCATGACACTTTAATACACAAGAATCCTAGTAATGAATGAGGGAGTTTAGTTTTAGGCTGCTTTTAGCAATATTTCAGCAATATCACCACAGGGGACACGATAAATGTGCTTCTCACATTGTACCCATGCGGGAAATCAAATCTTCAGTGTGATGAGCGAATTGAACCCAGGTCTTTGGCGTGAACACGCAAACACTTTAACCACTAGGCTACCCCACCAGCCTTGAAGACTTTCATTTGGTTCGCATCATAACATCATTACAATCTCACCTGGTTGTAAATGTTCCATAAGTGGCCTGATGTATGGATGAGCAGCCTTCTTCGTATGATAGACAATACTCTGAATGGTGGCGAACCCTGCTTCCTGTACAGCGGGCGCTCCACTGTCACAGAGCGTCTTGACATACGACAGGACAGACTCTACACCAGAAGTCTTTGCTATGACGGCCACAGTGTAACTGTTTGCATTTGAAACCACAGCAGTAGGGGAGCTTACATCTGGTGTAAGATGTGACAGGATTTTCATTGAGCCGAACACCTAAAACAAAACATTATAAATGTTGGTACTGCCATCAAGCTGTCCCAGGTCCACATGTATTGAGAGAACCATGTACGCATGCTGTATAATGAAACTGGGATCTAACAAGGGTACCATGATCCACCTGTACCAGCTGTTTGGAGGGTACTGTGATCCAATATGTGTGAGTCCTACCACGATCCAGTGTGTTAACTGTACCATGATCCACTTGCAGGGTACCAGACAATCCAGTGATCAACAGTATGAGCATTGATTTACCTACTGGGATACGATGACATGTGTCAACCAAGTCAGCAAGCCTGACCACCCGATCCCGTTAGTCGCCTCTTTACGACAAGCATGGGTTACTGAAGATCAGGAGGGCACAGTGTGTATTGACGGTACCATGATCCAGCTATATCTATTGTAAAGCCATAACACACACAGTAACGACTAGATCCAAGGCTAGAGATTTCTGATAAGCAACACAACACTTGATGAAGGCCTTTACCGATCTGAGAGTTCTGGTATGACTCAACAGTTAATATTCAAGCTGCATGACAGCGGTCTGTATCTGAGCCAAGAGCACACAGTCAACCATGTTAATTTTCCCACTTGAACTCTATAACACTGGATTCCCATAACAATGGTGCAAGCACCTGTTGACCAATGATTCTCAATATTGTTTCTTATAGTCCCTTTACCCATTAAACCAAAAGTCACTGTGTTCCTTAATCTGACTGGTTGAAAAACGTGATCAAATGGTTTTCAATTCCCGGAAATTTGCTGTGTATTAATACATACAAACATCGCTTATACCATTGTATTGTTACATCGTCAGCTGTGGTGACATCATTAAAATCATATTGTGACGTCAAGTTCGAATGACGTCACAAATGAGCAGTTCCAGATGCTACCATGGGAGACAGATGAAACAGCCGGCTGATGACATTTCACTGCTGTACCCGGACTTGATGTCAATAAGTGCAGACACAAAAAACGTGTGTGGACCTTTTGGTTTACTTTTGTGTTTACAACGTAGATAAACATCATGTGTTGGCCAATTTCTGGGTGTTATTGAGTATTTGAAGCATGGGAATATTTCATTTGAAACCTCCTGCTGACGCCGTCGGTTCCAAATGAATTCCTGTGCTCCAATACTCAATAACACCCGGAAATTGGCCAACACATCATGTTTATCTCCTAACTGTTTCTTTTAGTCATGTACCCATTCACGTTAACTATAATCAATTATTCAAGCCATCTTACCTTTGTAAGTTTGGAAATGATCCGGCAAGCGACCTGTTTCACCTGTTGTGTTGAATACAGTCCTCCTTGAGCATTGTCAAGGATTTGGTCAAAGACTGGGCGTGCATTACGTCCTGCCTTATATATGAGAGCATCAAGTGTTTCTATTAGCTTCCTCTGGTGTTCGTCAGTCTGATAGTCTTTGTGAAAAATCATTGGTAAAAGAAGATTGAACAATTTGCAGCAGTTGCCCCTCTTGGCCACATTCTGTAAGTCTCTCGTCGCCCCCTGCAATAAACAGAGTGAGTGAGTGAGTATGGATTTATGCTGCTTTTAGCAATATTCGGCACACTGCCAACACCAGTACCTGTCTAATCCGGCACACTGCCAACACCAGCACCTGTCTAATCTGGCACACTGTCAACACCGGCACCTGTCTAATCTGGCACACTGTCAACACCAGTACCTGTCTAATCCGGCACACTGCCAACACCAGCACCTGTCTAATCTGGCACACTGTCAACACCGGCACCTGTCTAATCTGGCACACTGTCAACACCGGCACCTGTCTAATCCGGCACACTGCAAACACCAGCACCTGTCTAATCTGGCACACTGCCAACACCAGCACCTGTCTAATCTGGCACACTGTCAACACCGGCACCTGTCTAATCCGGCACATTGTCAAAACCGGCACCTGTCTAATCCGGCACACTGCCAACACCGACACCTGTCTAATCCGGCACACTGCCAACACCGGCACCTGTCTAATCAAGCACACTGCCAACACCAGTACCTGTCTAATCTGGCACACTGTCAACACCAGCACCTGTCTAATCCGGCACACTGCCCAACACCGGCACCTGTCTAATCCGGCACACTGCCAACACCAGTACCTGTCTAATCTGGCACACTGTCAACACCAGCACCTGTCTAATCCGGCACACTGCCCAACACCGGCACCTGTCTAATCCGGCACACTGCCAACACCGGCACCTGTCTAATCCGGCACACTGCCCCTTTCACAAGGGACAAACAATCATTAATTCCAGGTTGTGAGTAAGGCATGTTCTATTTACCCATATACCCGAACTCTTTTCAAAAGAAATTGTGACATTCTTACTCTCAAATAGAAACATCAGCTATCATCATCATCATCATCATCATCATCATTACAAATGAGTGTTTTAGTTTTACACCGCCTATAGCAATATTCCGGCAATATCATGGCAGGAGACACCAGAAATGGGCTTCATACATTATGTGAGGAATCGAACCTGGGTCTTCGGTGAATGAACACTTTAACCATGAGGCTATCCGACTTCCTTAAGTTGAAATGATGTCAGATAAAACCTCTATGAAACCATGAAGAATGGGTAATGCGTAATGCATTAATATCATGCTGCTATAGAAGTCAGAAGTCAAGTGGATTTTTTAAAACACCAGCATCTAAATACACTCATTATTAGAGGGGACATATCACATGGCTGCACTTGTCCATCAGTGCCATGACTGCAGTCTTGTTAAAGGGACACTGATCCAGAGCAATTTCCGTGGATTGGTTGTTGCTTTTGTTATTGTTTTTCTCCAGTGAGTACCACGGATGATATCCCAGAATTTATGACTGGTTCACTACCTCTGCTGCGCCACCCTCATGCACAAGTGATAGTATAAGTATAGACTGATCAACAAAGATGAAATCTTTTTTACTCGATAATCTGATGTTGATTTTGTTGTAAAATTATGTAGACTTTGATGAATAAGTTGGTTTGTTATAAAAATGCTGATTTTGATGTAAAATTTTGATTTCATAGTAATGTTGACTTTATAAAAATGTAAACGTAAAAGGATGTAGAATTCGATTTAAGAAATAGTTTGACCTTGAATTTGGTGAGAAGCCTGATATAATAGCATTGTTTTGAAAGTAAGGCTAACTAAGTACATGGGGAGTCTTAGGGAGAGTAGTGAGCTTGCGTTCACTACCAGTCAATCTGAATGTTGTATTAAATGGCATTATATTTATATCAAATGAAAACATTTTAATTTTAACCATCTGCCAGTGGCAAAAAATGTTCGGACTGAAATAACGAAGTCAATGTACATCTTTATATTTTGTATTATAATCCTAATTAGTTTATTATCATATTTGTATGCATTTTTAAACTTAATAAAATGCACGTGATCTGCTTATATTTAGTGGATTTACAACATGATTGTAATATCTAGACATTTTATAGATTGCCAATGTGTATCATATTTCACACACACGCCCTGAGTGAGACCTAGTGTATGTCTCATTACACTCCAAGGCAAAAACAAATGATTCTGTTGAATGCCAGAATAAATAAATAAAAACAAAATGAAAATATTAAAAATTAAAACAGACTAAAGTTATAGTAACAATATCAGGCTACTGCCTTGTTAGGGGAATGTATCCATCAATATCCACATAAAGGAACGAGATTCATCTGCAGCTGACAAAGTATCCTGTTCCATGACATGTGTCTTTTAACAGTCTAATATGTGAAAAAGTGATCTATTGTTTCAGGTTTTTCACACTGGTGTATAGTCCCATTGGTCACCCAATATACCACACCTGGCAACTAATTGCATGATGTCCACCATTCTTTAAAAATGTAATTTAGTAAGGCAATAATGAGTAATCAATGAATGTATTGGCGGTTAATCCTTTGAAGGAAGGACGTTGTTTTTACAAAGAGACCTTATGACGGTTTTATGACAGGGTGTATTCAGTATAGATTAGTAAATCTACATACATAAACACTTCCTTTTGACAAATCCGCTGTGCAGGATAAAAGCAATTAATAAATCAGCGTGTTATCAGTTAATCCTTTGATCGATGTTTGTTTTGTAACTGAGCTGATAATTCCTCTCGCACTTCCTGCTGCACTTACATGCGCATATTACATAAGATGTAATACATTTGTCACATCAGGCCTCAATTCATAATGATGAGTATTTACTTCAGACACAAGAAATGCCAAATGGGAACCTTTGTCGGGTAATCTGAGTGGTGTTATCAGTAATTATACCTGTTATAAATTCATTAACTGACCATCAAGTGAATGATGACAAATAATGTGTAGGTTTACCACCTAACAAGGGTTACAGCAAGAGAGTAATTCTCGTTGTATAGCACGCAAGTTTTATTGCTTGAAAAAACAACTTATGGGCAGACACTGTTTTGAGGATACGAACAGAACTTCATTGTTACCTAAGAAATATATATAAGCATTTGCTGTGTACTTAGTTAAAAACTGTATATACCTATGTACCTAAGTAAAATTTCAGATATATTTGCAATGGCAAAGTGGGGTTGTTTAGTTCATGGATTCAAATATATCAAATGTGTGTTTTTGATATCATAGCATACGCAATAGACATAATATTTTTACATGATTAAATATTGAGGTAAAAAACAGAGAAATAGGATCAAATTGGATCAGTCACTATACCATCCAAACATTTGAAAATCTGAAAAAGCCTACACTGCTGGGATATTTTATTACAATCAGACAAGAACTACCGGGGATATTTTCAAATAACGGCATCTGATGGGCATCCCCCCTTCCTAATGTCCCACTGATTAGATTGAAGAAATTCTGCAAGGGTGGACAGTAGCCCAGTCCCCGTGTCCGTCACGGTCGAGGGAGCAGAGGCTGACCAGCTTGCAGCTAGGTTTTGTAATTAGACTGTTGGCTGGAGACAATAATCGCTCTGGATCAGTGGCCCTTTAACAGGTCACAATCACAAATTTGGTAAATGTTGTCTCTCACACAAACCATGTGATACAAAAACTTTCCCCTTTGTGCTTGTAACCCAAATAAACATTTCACAGTCAACCAGGTGTTTTCACTTTTTTTTTGGTGTTCTTTTTCTTATAGAAAATAAAAAAAAACTGCAAAAGTTACCAGTAGAAGGATAACTGGACAATGGAAGGACAGATGGACTACAAAGGGGCTACAAAATATATCACCCAAGTGAGCCAGACATTTCAACCACTTAACTTAAAGGCACAATGTCACACCACACTTCTCTAAAAATACATGATGCATTTCTCTCAATAATACTAAGTATCAGCCCCAAGGGAAGCTACTATATAATTTATTCCCAAAATAATTACGTACTTAGATTACAATATCAAATTAAAAAGTTCAAATGAATTAATGCAATGTTGCATTAAATCGACTCTCACGCCCCCTACCGGACAAACATTATTTCAAGCGAACTCCATTCAGTTATGTCCCTTGGAGCGCTCTTTACGAATATCCTATAACCAAACTTGTAATTGAGGTCAGTTCGGCAAACACTGACAACACCACATGCGTCAATTCTCGATGTACGGAGCAATCGTTTACATTCCATACATGGCAAGTGTTCCCTGTTTAGGAGCCGTACGCCGCTTCAATTATCGATTGTAATGGATAATAAGTATATTATTGTATCAATAGGAAGCTGAAGGGAGTGCATATGCCCCAGTATATATAATATAGGCCAAAATATTGTCGGAAATGTGTGACATTGTGCCTATAAGTGTTCAGTAAACAATTCTGCCATCAGACTCTTATAAAAGGACGTCAGATTTTACCTGTGCAACGGCAGGTGGTCCATTCTTTATCTTCAGCACGATTCCTATCAAACGCCTTTTTTCAACTTCTGCCTGGGAGATTCCAGGGTCTGATAAATTGACGCTTCTCTGAAAAAATAAATACGCAGTTACACTCCTCCGGTAAGATATGCTTATGTGAGTTCATGTATGGCAGTAATACAGCGATGTAGTGATGGTTCAATACTGACAGCTTACTGAGATACAATGCCACAGTTAAACATGGATAGCCCACTCAATCGCAGGGTACAGACTCAGAATGGAAAGTCACTTTCTGATCCCAATACAGAGTCAGTGAGTTGGGTTTTACTCCGCTATTATAAAATAGCAATATTCCAGCAATATCCCAGGGACACCAGAATGGATGGGCTTCACACATTGTACCAATATGGGAATCAACCCTGGGCCTTCAGCGTGATGAGCAAACGCTCTAACAACTAGGCTACCCCACTTTTGTTGTTGTTGCTGTTGTTGTTCAATGCCACGCTCAGCAATATTCTTGCTATATGGCGGTGGTTTTGTAAATAATCAAGTCTGGACCAGACAATCCAGTGATTAAAAGCATGATTATCAAACTAATTTGAATGTCAGAACATGTTTTAGTATGTCTGAACATGTTTATATGTCTGAACATGTTTAGTATGTCAGAACAAATTTAGTATGTCAGAACAAGTTTAGTATGTCAGAACATGGTTAGAGTGTCAGAACATGTTTAGTATGTCATAACATGTTTAGTATGTCAGAACATGTTTAGTATGTCAGAACATGTTTAGTATGTCAGAACATGTTTTAGTATGTCAGAACATGTTTAGTATGTCAGAACATGTTTTAGTATGTCAGAACATGTTTTAGTATGTTAGAACATGTTTAGTATGTCATAACATGTTTAGTATGTCAGAACATGTTTTAGTATGTCATAACATGTTTAGTATGTCAGAACATGTTTTAGTATGTCAGAACATGTTTTAGTATGTCAGAACATGTTTTAGTATGTTAGAACATGTTTAGTATGTCATAACATGTTTAGTATGTCAGAACATGTTTTAGTATGTCATAACATGTTTAGTATGTCAGAACATGTTTTAGTATGTCAGAACATGTTTTAGTATGTCATAACATGTTTAGTATGTCAGAACATGTTTTAGTATGTCAGAACATGTTTTAGTATGTCAGAACATGTTTTAGTATGTCTGAACATGTTTTAGTATGTCAGAACATGTTTTAGTATGTCTGAACATGTTTTAGTATGTCAGAACATGTCTTAGTATGTCATAACATGTTTAGTATGTCAGAACATGTTTTAGTATGTCAGAACATGTTTTAGAATGTCAGAACATGTTTTAGTATGTCAGAACATGTTTAGTATGTCAGAACATGTGAACATGTTTTAGTATGTCAGAACATGTCTTAGTATGTCAGAACATGTTTTAGTATGTCAGAACATGTTTTAGTATGTCTGAAGAACATGTTTTAGTATGTCAGAACATGTTTTAGTATGTCAGAACATGTTTTAGTATGTCAGAACATGTTTTAGTATGTCAGAACATGTTTTAGTATGTCAGAACATGTTTTAGTATGTCAGAAACATGTTTAGTATGTCAGAACATGTTTTAGTATGTCAGAACATGTCTTAGTATGTCAGAACATGTTTTAGTATGTCAGAACATGTTTTAGTATGTCTGAACATGTTTTAGTATGTCAGAACATGTTTTAGTATGTCTGAACATGTTTTGTATGTCATAACAAGTTTAGAATGTCTGAACATGTTTCAGTATGTTTTTAGTATATCAGAACATGTTTAGTATGTCATAACATGTTTTAGTATGTCAGACTGACTGACTGACTGAGTTTGGTTTTACGCCGCTTTTAGCAATATTCCAGCAATATCACGGCGGGGGACAACAGAAATGGGCTTCACACATTGTACCCGTGTGCGGATTCGAACCCGGGTCTTTGGCGTGACGAGCCAATGCTTTAACCACTAGGCTACCCCACCACCCTAGTATGTCAGAACATGTTTAGTATGTCTGAACATGTTTAGTATGTCAGAACATGTTTAGTATGTCTGAACATGTTTTGTATGTCAGAACATGTTTAGTATGTCAGAACATGTTTAGTATGTCTGAACATGTTTAGTATGTCAGAACATGTTTAGTACGTCTGAACATGTTTAGTACGTCAGAACATGTTTAGTATGTCTGAACATGTTTAGTATGTCAGAACATGTTTAGTATGTCTGAACATGTTTAGTATGTCAGAACATGTTTAGTATGTCAGAACATGTTTAGTATGATTACTTACAAGCACACGTCCAAAGTAATTCATATCATCATCCTGGACAAAGGGAAACAACTCCGGGTCTACAGAATCCAATGTCATGGTATCCAGCCTTGAATCAGAACTGGAGCTTGATGTTGAAATTCTTCTTCTTTTCTCATTTGTAGAAGGTACAGACCCTGATGTCGATTCACTGTCATGTGATTTGGATCCTGAATATAACCGCCTTCTTTTGGGTGAAATACAACTTGATATTGATCTTCTCCTTTTTCTTCGTCTTCTTTCCAGTGAGTTTGACCCTGAGAATGATCTACGTCTGGGTGAAATAGAGCCTGTTATCGATCTTCTTCTTCTTCCTCTCCCATATGGGCTAGATCCTGAATATGATCTACGTCTGGGTGAAATAGAGCCTGTTATCGATCTTCTTCTTCTTCCTCTCCCATATGGGCTAGATCCTGAATATGATCTACGTCTGGGTGAAATAGAGCCTGTTATCGATCTTCTTCTTCTTCCTCTCCCATATGGGCTAGATCCTGAATATGATCTCCTTCTGGACAATGATTCGCATGATATCGATCTGCTTCTTCGCCTTGCATGCAACCTAGACCCTGAATGTGATCTCTGCCTTGGTGCGGATCTATCGCATGATATCGATCTGCTTCTTCGCCTTGCATGCAACCTAGACCCTGAATGTGATCTCTGCCTTGGTGCGGATCTATCGCATGATATTGATCTGCTTCTTCGTCTTGCGTGCAACCTAGATCCTGAATGTGATCTCTGCCTTGGAGGGGATCTATCACATGATATTGATCTGCTTCTTCGTCTTGCGTGCACGCCAGATCCTGAATACGATATCTGCCTTGGAGGGGATCTATCACATGATATTGATCTGCTTCTTCGTCTTGTGTGCACGTCAGATCCTGAATACGATATCTGCCTTGGAGGGGATCTATCACATGATATTGATCTGCTTCTTTGTCTTGCGTGCATGTCAGATCCTGAATACGATATCTGCCTTGGAGGGGATCTATCACATGATATTGATCTGCTTCTTTGTCTTGTGTGCATGTCAGATCCTGAATACGATATCTGCCTTGGAGGGGATCTATCACATGATATTGATCTGCTTCTTCGTCTTGTGTGCACGTCAGATCCTGAATACGATATCTGCCTTGGAGGGGATCTATCACATGATATTGATCTGCTTCTTGTCTTGTGTGCAACCTAGATCCTGAATATCGATATCTGCCTTGGAGGGGATCTATCACATGATATTGATCTGCTTCTTCGTCTTGTGTGCACGTCAGATCCTGAATACGATATCTGCCTTGGAGGGGATCTATCACATGATATTGATCTGCTTCTTTGTCTTATGTGCATGTCAGATCCTGAACGTGATCTCTGCCTTTCAGGTGATCTATCGCATGAAACTGATCTGCTTCTTCGTGTTGCCTGCAGGTCACATCCTGAATATGATCTATGCCATGAAGGGGATCTATCATATGATATTGATCTGCTAAATCGCCTTGAATGTGACCTAGATCCTGAATGTGATCTCTGCCTTGGTGCGGATCTATCGCATGATATTGATCTGCTTCTTGTTCTTGCATGCAACCTAGATCCTGAATGTGATCTCTGCCTTGGAGGGGATCTGTCACATGATATTGATCTGCTTCTTGTTCTTGTGTGCACGTCAGATCCTGAATACGATATCTGCCTTGGAGGGGATCTATCACATGATATTGATCTGCTTCTTGTTCTTGCATGCAACCTAGATCCTGAATGTGATCTCCGCCTTGGAGGGGATCTGTCACATGATATTGATCTGCTTCTTCGTCTTATGTGCATGTCAGATCCTGAATGTGATCTCTGCCTTGGAGGGGATCTGTCACATGATATTGATCTGCTTCTTCGTCTATCATGCAATCTAGATCCTGAATGTGATCTCTGCCTTGAAACTGGTTTGCATCGACTTTCATGATGGTTAGAATCTGAATATGGAGGGGATCCATCTTGTGATCTTCTTTGTCTTCTGACACGTGAGGTAGACCTTGAACATGATCTCTGCCTTGATCGAGATCTACAGCGTGATGTGGATCTGCTTCTTGTCCTTGGTCTCCTGTCATGATTATTAGACCCTGAACATGATCTCCGCCTTGATCGAGATCTACAGCGTGATATGGATCTGCTTCTTTTCCTTGGTCTCCTGTCATGATTATTAGACCCTGAATATGATCTCTTTCGTCTTCTTCTCTTCCCCCTGAAATCTTTTGCTGAATCTGTGGTTTTGCCAGGTGAGGCTGTACAAGAGTTGTGTGTCCTTTCTGATGATGATAACATGGTTGAGCTATGGTGTTGTTTTGCAAGGTTTTGTTGAAAAGTCTGTATCACTGGATGACTGTCACTGGATGATACAAGGTCCATATCGGAATCATCTGGAGTCCTGTCCCGTTGTCGGGACAGGAAAGATGGTGGCAGGGAGCTGCTCATTGCGCATATATCCTGGTACTTGAACTGTCGATCTGATGACGCCTGTATGCAATTAGAAATATATTTGTTCACACTATATAATCATGGCATCCACACACCCGACCCACCCATCAATGCATCCATCCACCCACCCACCCATACAAACACACACACACACCACCCTCATACATCCACCCATCCAACTCATTCATCCATCCTATCATCCACCCAAACATACATCCACCCACCTCATCCATCCACCCACCCACCCATACATCCACCCACCTCATCCATCCATCCATCCACCCATACATACATCCACCCACCTCATCCATCCACCCACCTCATCCATCCACCCACCTCATCCATCCACCCACCCATCCAACTAATTCATCCATCCTATCATCCACCCATCCACGCACCCTTTGAACGTGCCAACTTATGATATGGGGCCCACCTTACTTCCGGTACCAGATTTCCGGTGACAAGCATATATTCAAGAACCAGTACTGGTTCTAATTTCCTCAACCGCCAAATAGACTGGACCAAGTGTAAAACCATGTTTGTCACCGGAAGTACTAAGGTCTCGCGCAGTGCCATGACCTACTGATGGGCCCGACATCACAGTGATTGATTAGGTGAGTTGATTTTTACCACTTTTAGCAATATTCCAGCAATATCCCATGTGGGGAATCGAACCCTGACCTTTGGCATGACCAGTGAATGCTTTAACCATTAGACTAACCCACCACCCTGACAAATATATATATAACAATATCAAGTAAAGTATAAAAAAAGTTAAATACTGTTGTTTTTCCACATACCAAATTCTGCCTGCAAATCAATTCAATCATAACTTGAAGGTGTTGACAATGTGCAATAACCAGGTTGTTTTGACCATGTTTCTTGAGTGACAGTTGTTTGGTATTGTGCAGTCATTGTTCAATTGGTTTGGTTATTGTTTAACGTCGTAGTCAGCAATATTTCAGCTATATGGCAGCAGTCTGTAAATAATCGAGTCTGGACCAGACAATCGAGTGATCAACAGCATGAGCATCATTCTATGCATTTGTGATACGATGACATCTGTCTCACTACAAGCATGGTGAAGATCAATTCTAACCTAGATCTTCACGGGTCACACTGTAATGGAGTGATAACTAGACACGAAAATGGATATATCTCGACTGTATTCACTTTATTCAAGCATACCGACAGGGCTTCATTAGGACAGTCTTCTATTATTTTGTAATAAGCTTACAAGTTTCATACAAACAAGAGAAACATTTAAACAGGTTCAGCCATCACCCTGGATGTGGTCGCTACTGCAAAGGGAGGTAAGCTAAGGAGCTACTGTCCTTTGTTTATGACCAACGTATAACAAGGTACATCAGCATCACATGAGAAATAAAGCATTAGTCTGTGGTTCGAATCCCATAACACTAGCCTCTATATATTATATGGTTAATGTCAACATCATCTATTCACATATTTTTGCTGAAGGGGTTGTTGTTGCCCCAGGTGCTACACAAATGTACCCTAAACAAAGTGAAAATACATAAATGTACCCTAAACAAAGTGAAAATACACAAATGTACCCTAAACAAAGTGAAAATACACAAATGTACCCTAAACAAGTGAAAATACATAAATGTACCCTAAACAAGTGAAAATACATAAATGTACCCTAAACAAAGTGAAAATACATAAATGTACCCTAAACAAAGTGAAAATACACAAATGTACCCTAAACAAGTGAAAATACACAAATGTACCCTAAACAAGTGAAAATACATAAATGTACCCTAAACAAGTGAAAATACATAAATGTACCCTAAACAAAGTGAAAATACATAAATGTACCCTAAACAAAGTGAAAATACACAAATGTACCCTAAACAAAGTGAAAATACACAAATGTACCCTAAACAAGTGAAAATACATAAATGTACCCTAAACAAAGTGAAAATACACAAATGTACCCTAAACAAAGTGAAAATACATAAATGTACCCTAAACAAAGTGAAAATACATAAATGTACCCTAAACAAGTGAAAATACACAAATGTACCCTAAACAAGTGAAAATACACAAATGTACCCTAAACAAGTGAAAATACATAAATGTACCCTAAACAAGTGAAAATACACAAATGTACCCTAAACAAAGTGAAAATACATAAATGTACCCTAAACAAAGTGAAAATACACAAATGTACCCTAAACAAAGTGAAAATACACAAATGTACCCTAAACAAGTGAAAATACACAAATGTACCCTAAACAAGTGAAAATACATAAATGTACCCTAAACAAGTGAAAATACATAAATGTACCCTAAACAAAGTGAAAATACATAAATGTACCCTAAACAAAGTGAAAATACATAAATGTACCCTAAACAAGTGAAAATACATAAATGTACCCTAAACAAAGTGAAAATACATAAATGTACCCTAAACAAAGTGAAAATACAGAAAGGTACCGGTGCCCTAAACAGCAGACAAGACCATATTCCTCTTATCTAAAACCGAAACTGTATGTAGTTGTTCCCATTCGCCTGATCACAGTATTATTTTATTTTTTGTATTATTATAGGATATTTATATAGCACACATATCCATATATCTAATACATGCTCAAGGCACTGACATTTTTTTCCCCTCGATCACTGGATGTCCATCTCAACGGCACATCGTATTATCAATCTCTACTCCCCAGGGAGCATACAACTCTTGCAGCCACTAGGCGCACCGAGTTATTGCGGTTTTCTCATCCTTACGAGGTAGCCATTCACATGGGACACATAGTCACAGTACTTTGTCCAAGTTCACTGCACGTTGCTGTACCCGCAACTAGGTGTTTGCACGTATTCATGTTGCCACCATCTGCTCATATACCAACAGATTCGTGGGTTCATTTAAGTGCACATGGTTGTGAACTATATGCTAGGGGCTGTGACAACACTGAAAGAGTCTTCACACAAAGTTGACTCCAAGGTTTTTTACACCCGGTCACAGGTGACCTCAATCCCGTCACCTCAAGCTCGCTGGATCACTAGCCTGGCACCTTAGCCAGCTCGCCCACAGCAATGACTGCATCGCGAAATATTTGTTACGGTGTATATTCGTTTCTTAAATAACCCAATCATATTCATCTAATACTACAGTATGACAGTTTCGATCGAGAAAACATGACAATGTGGAATATGGACTCATCCTTGGGTACTTTCAGTAATCTGATTTTGGCTAGGGTATGTTGTACGTGTACAGAATCGTACCTGAGGTACATATCTCTACAGTATCTGTGCGGACAACACCACCTCCAGCCATATTTTCAGTATCTGTGCTTATTTTTCATAAATTTATTACATATTCTATCTTTATTCGATATGTTTAATTTATCATTTATAGTACTGAAGACGTACTGTCTTTATCACATGACATCTGCATGGTATTATGGGTTCAGGCTAAAACGGCACCTAAGAAAAACGGCACCTGGCGAAAACGGCACGATTTGGAGATAACGGAACCTCTTGGTGAAAACGGCACAAATCTTATGGCGAAAACGGAACCAACTAAAATCTTATGGGGAAAACTAGTTTGTCATTAGGTAATCGGATTGGATGCTTGTTCCACCTGAAACAGGCAGTTTGGCGGAAATGTTGAGAGCTGGGCCTACAGTAGACTAAGGCTTAGTTTCTGAATATATATAATTTTGATAGTAACAAACAAGCCCATTTATATTGAAAAGGAGCCCTAGGGAGACCAGAGATTCAGAACCTGAACCTGAGGAAATCTAGACTTGCTTTATTTAGGGCTTTAGCACTGCAGAGAGGGCTTGGCAGTAGGGAAATTAATGTGGTTCAGGGACTGTGAGACAGACTAGGCCTACAGGTACGTACAAATTGATTATTTTGTTAACAATATTCAGCATACTTTATTTATAAATACTTTTATATAATTTATTCATATATTTATGAACTATTTCAGGTAACTTACATGGAGGAGGATGACATCCATAAGTTTGTGCAAAAGCCGATGTCGCTGCCATTTCTTCCCGCGGCAGATATCACAAAACTCTTTCAGAAGATTTCAGGCTGGCATAGGCGATTGAACAACAAGGTGGCAGAGCAGTCAATAGGGATTTACAGGCTCATCCCAGAGCTCCACTGTGAAACCAGCCTCTTACCCCTCCAGACCAGGGCCCAGTTTCACAAAGCGATCGCAGCATTAAGGTGATCGTAACTCCCATACTTTAACGTAGACTTACGACAGTCGTAGCGCTACGATTGCTTTGTGAAACAGGCCACAGGCTCATTCAAGAGGGAAGGTTGAAGGCTTACATCCGAAAGTCTTCATCAGCAAGGACCCGTGAAGAGTAACCCAAGCTTGTCATAAGAGGTGACTAACGGGCTTGGTTGACACATGCTATCAGTTCCCAATTGCGCAGATCGATGCTCATGCTGTTGATCACTGAATTATCTGGTCCAGACTCAATTATTTACAGACCGCTGCCATATAGCTGGAATATTGCTGAGCGCGGCGTAAAACTAAACTCACTCACTCACTGACTTCATCAGCAAAACAAGATGAGGTCTTCCAACTGTGGAGTTTGTTCAAGGATAGTGACTTGTCTCTGTCAGAACTCCTCTCAAGATGTTCTGTGATCCATGGACCAATCATTTAGTGAATGAATGAACATGACAATATGTGTAATGATGATGGTACTGTTATAATCTTGCTAGTGCGATTTTAAAGAAATGAGTGAGTGAGTGAGTATGGTTTTATGCTGCTTTTAGCAATATTCCAGCAATATCACAGCGGGGAACTAAAAAATATATATAAGTTGGTATAATCTTGCTAATGTTATAAGGAAATGAAACAAGCATTGTCACTAAGGTGACATAATCCCCCGCCGCAAATTATCAAATCAAACTTAAAAAGTAATGAAAGTGAAGGTCGTAATTTAAGATAAAGTTAAATGTAAACAAAATCATGACCAGTCAACCTCTCTTGATATCTTGCTCTGTAGTTGTTCAAACTTTGACACTTTGACCTTGACATGAATGTCTTAGTGTATGAAATAAGCAAAAATAGTAATAAAGAAATTGCTTATTGAAAAACATGCAAGGGAAGTCTTGAAAGTCTATGAAGAAAATCCAGTGAACTGTTCTTGAGATGTCTTGCTGACAATCTTAACATGCAGTTTCAGATGCTGAAATCTTCAATGTTCGCCGTGACATTGAACATTATGTGAAGGTCACCAAAATCGACAGGAACTTGCACCTTCCCCAGATGAAGCTTGGTGTCAAATATGAAGAAAGTCCAGTGACTGGTTCTTGAGATATCTCGCTGACAATCTTTACATGCAGGTTAACATGCTGAAATCTTTAAAGTGTCGCCGTGACCTTGAAAATTAAGGGAAGATTACCAAAGTCGACTGGGCCCTGCGCCTTCCCTCAATGAAGCTTGATGTTGAATATGAAGAAAATCCAGTGAACGGTTCTTGGGGTACCTTGCTGACAAGCTTAACATGCAGCTTAACATGCTGAAAACTTCAGAGTGTCACCATGACCTTGAAAATTAGACGAAGGTCACCAAAATCGTTTGGACCCTGCGCCTTCCCTAGATAAAGCATGGTGTTGAATATGAAGAAAATCCAGTGACGGAGTCTGATACTATATCCCCTGCTTCGAGCTAAACGCGCGGCGGGGGATAATAAAAAATACAAGGCAATGTTATACTTTGTTTTATATATGGTGCCGTTTTAGCCCAGAAAGCAGTAGCCGTTTTCGCCAAACAAATTTGGTGCTGTTCTGGCGTTCTGCTGTGGTGCCGTTTTAGCTATAACCCGGTATTATCTCAGCTTCAGGATATGATTCCTAGATTTCTGGCTGCATTATTTCTTGTCAGAACGTCTGTAAACATGATTTAGTTCCGAGTAGTAAATGTTCTGGTTCGGAATAAATGCCGTGAAATTGAGAACGGATGACACGAATAAAAATTCCGCACATACAGCAAATATTCCATCGAACAGGAACAAATACCGTAGGCCTAACCTATTCCAGTCATTATTGAATGCAAAATGCAGTCATCCAACTTGTCAACATCCGGGATGTCTACTAACTTTAACTTGGTTACATGTCGACTGTAACCTGGCTACTGACTAACTGTAACTTGGTTACATGTCGACTGTAACCTGGCTACTGACTAACTGTAACTTGGTTACATGTCGACTGTAACCTGGCTACTGACTGACTGTAACTTGGTTACATGTTCACTGTAACCTGGCTACTGACCAACTGTAACTTGGTTACATGTCAACCGTAACCTGGCTACTGACTGTAACTTGGTTACATGTTGACTGTAAGCTGGCTACTGACTAACTGTAACTTGGTTACATGTCGACTGTAACCTGGCTACTGACTAACTGTAACTAGGTTACATGTTGACTGTAATCTGGCTACTGACTAACTGTAACTTGGTTACATGTTGACTGTAACCTGGCTACTGACTAACTGTAATTTGGTTACATGTCGACTGTAACCTGGCTACTGACTAACTGTAACTAAGTTACATGTTGACTGTAATCTCAGGCTACTGACTAACTGTAACTTGGTTACATGTCGACTGTAACCTGGCTACTGACTAACTGTAACTAGGTTACATGTTGACTGTAATCTGGCTACTGACTAACTGTAACTTGGTTACATGTTGACTGTAATCTGGCTACTGACTAACTGTAACTTGGTTACATGTTGACTGTAACCTGGCTACTGACTGACTGTAATTTGGCTACATGTTCACTAACCTGGCTACTGACTGACTGTAACTTGGTTACATGTTGACTGTAATCTTGCTACTGACTAACTGTAACTTGGTTACATGTTGACTGTAATCTGGTTACTGACTAACTGTAACTTGGCTCCATGTTCACTAACCTGGCTACTGACTAACTGTAACTTGGCTACATGTTCACTAACCTGGCTACTGACTAACTGTAACTTGGCTACATGTTCACTAACCTGGCTACTGACTAACTGTAACTTGGTTACATGTTGACTGTAACCTGGCTACTGACTGACTGTATTTTGGTTACATGTTGACCGTAACCTGGCTACTGACTGTAACTTGGTTACATGTTGACTGTAACCTATCTACTGACTAACTGTAACTTGGTTACATGTCGACTGTAACCTGGCTACTGACTAACTGTAACTAGGTTACATGTTGACTGTAATCTGGCTCCTGCCTTACTGTAACTTGGTTACATGTTGACTGTAACCTGGCTACTGACTAACTGTAACTTGGTTACATGTTGACTGTAATCTGGGCACTGACTTGACTGTTAATTGGTTACATGTTGACTGTAACCTGGCTTTTGACTGACTGTTAATTGGTTACATGCTGACTGTAACCTGGCTACTGACTGACTGTAACTTGGTTACATGTTGACTGTAACCTGGCTACTGACTGACTGTAACTTGGTTACATGTTGACTGTAACGTGGCTATTGACTGTAACTTAATTGGTTACATGTTGACTGTAACCTGGCTACTGACTGACTGTAACATGGTTACATGTTGACTGTAACCTGGCTACTGACTGACTGTAACTTGGTTACATGTTGACTGTAACCTGGATACTGACTGTAACTTGGTTACATGTCGACTGTAACCTGGCTACTGACTGTAACCTGATTAATGAAGGTAACTTGGTTACATAATAACTGAACTCTTTTTAACACATGATTCATTTAGAATCATCAGTTCTGATTCTGGGGAATCTGCAATGTATTTTCATAAAAGATAATAAGGAAGTTTCACACATGATAATTGCTTCTTGATAGCCACATGATTTGTTCCATATGGAACAAATACAGTAGGAAATCTTTTTTTCCTTTCCGTTCCCCCCCACGCCTCAATTTTTAAGACCACCCCAACAAACAAAACCCTCTTTTAGACACTTTATGATGTGTGTGGAAGTTCCTCTTTACCGGAATATATTCTGTGTATGCGGAACGAAATAATTGTTCCGCATGCACTATTACAGGAACAAATGTTGGTTACATGTTCCGCCGGAACCTTTACTATGGGGGAACCAAATCTTTTTTACACGTCATGACATAAGCTTGCAATCATCCAAAATAAACTGTCAAACAAGTTCATATTCATCTGTTGAACACACGGCCACTGTCCCTTCGCATATGAACATGAAACCTTACCTCTAACGCCCTTTGGGTTTTGGAAAATCTTCGGCTCAGCAGTATTAACAACTGATAAGTGACTTCAAAAACGGTGTCTTATTGTTTTCCCTTCTTGTCATTTGTCTTAAACTTACGAATAGTGTTTGGGAACATTCGATGACAGTGTTCCATTCCTCTCACTGATCAGCTCCGTTTTAAGAAAAGCTAGAAACGTCCACACAACGTCATGCTTGCCCACCGACACACGCAATGTTTACATCGCATTCAGCCCCGATCGGGTTTCCTCGGTTTCTTTCGGAATGGTTACTCGCCTTGTTTTGGTATATTACATCGTAATGTACCAACAATACTACCACTGTGAATGTGGAATAACATTATTCATATAACGACGCATGACATATCCCGGGATACACGAGAAACGAATGTTTCCAGGTGGATATTCCATGACGTATTTTCGAATATAATGGCGACCTGATGCTATTTTTAGAACAGGGAAGCCATGGCGAGTGTGAGGACGTTTGGCCGACAAGGTGTCAGAGCTTTAAGATGTATACGGTTCAGCCAAAGGGAGGAGATTACCAGGTTTGTCGGAAGAGATAGTTTTTAGTACGATAAGTATTTTTCAGCTGATAGATTGTTTTGATCGTAGACTCGTCTGGTATAAACATTCTGACACAGTCCGAGAAATAGACACGGGCAAGGTCGTTGACCAATATTGCGCTGGACGTCAAAAGGAAAATTCGGTCACCCATCTCACTTCTTATCGTATTGTTTTGTGAAATAAGTATCGAGTTTTGTTAAAATCAAAGTAGCTGTTTAAAACTCACAGGTGATCACCAGTTGTCTATCTCCGGCTAATAGAAAAGCGATGTCATATATAACGGATACATTCGGTTATTTCATAATCAGGCGCTGGGGACGAAGCTTTCATAGTCAGCACGTAGATAGCTGGTAATCGGAATACTGTGTGTGATGTAGGTCATTGTGTGATGTAGGTCACTGTGTCTGTTGTCTCGCAAAGTAAAAAAAAACAAGAAATGTCTTGTCATCTTTGAGAAGTAACACTTAGTTAAAATGAGAATGGTTTCATAACAACTACCAACCATACAATCAGTAGGATCTATCTATGTGTCAAACCTCATCATTGTGTCTAAACTGTAGAGATTGCAAGTTATTCAGTCAGATAATATTTTTTCAGACGACTGGACATAATCATTGATTCTCTGTAACATTGACAGTCCAGAGTTTTATACTATGGTGAACAGTGAAAATGGATAACGTAAGATGAGGTCTTGGAATGGCATGTAGAAGTGATACACATTTATCACATTACAAATCCAAGGTTTAGTGCACTTCCACAGCACCCTTTTTAATATTTCAGATGAGGCTGTTGTAAATATTGGTATGCAGAAAAATTCTTGTCTCACCATTGTTTTGAATAATTTGTTAGTATTTGTGAGCGAGCTGTCTGGCTAGTGATCCAGTGAACTTGAAGTGCCAGGATCAAGCCCACCCGTGACCGGGTGTAAAAACCTTGGAGTCAACTTTGTGTGCAGGCTCTCACAGTGTTGTCACAACCCCTAGTGTACAGTACACAACCCTGTGCACTTAAAAGAACCCACGAATCTGTGAATATGTGCAAACACCTAGTTGCGGGTACAGCAATGTGCAGTGATCTTGGACAAAGTACTGTGAAGTCCTATGTGTCCCAGTTCACCCAGATGTAAATGGGTACCTCGTATGGATGGGATGTATGGTCCCCAGGGAGTTGAGATTGATAATACGATGAGATTGACATCCAATGATCGAGGGAAAAAACGAAGTACCTTGAGCAGCTGAGCTGGATATTGGTGCTGGACAAATGTTAGCATACTAGTAATGATGTTTCTGTGCTACTTTCCTGCAGGTGCTTGTGTGGAGCGTTGCTGACACAACAACCCAGGACGTGTGGAGACCTGATGCTGTCAGATATTCAGAGGCGACATCTCTTTTCGTTACCTAAAGTTGGTGGCGTGCTGTCTCCGTCGAACAAAAGAAAAGATTATTCAGAGCGGAGAATATTGGGGTAAGAAGTATACAAATGTCCAGATTTGTCAACATATCTATGTCATGGACGATTCCTTGCAGCAGGATTTAACGTGTGTGTCATCATGGTTATACATCTACAAAAACAAACACAGAATTATACTGTCATCCCTCACAATAACGACCTTTATGATATCGTGGTTTTTGTTAAACCCGAGGGTAATCTGTGGCTCCCATAAAACACCCCCAAATTTCCCCAGCGATCACACATCTTCTCGTCATCAGAAATAGCCTATCAACAAATCTGTCGTTATGCTCAGGTTAATCATGTTATAAACTAGAAAAATTCAGTGTGGATCACAATCAAAAGTGCTCATTGTACATAGTCTCTCATTTGGGTTTTCAGATGCTTTAGAATAATAATAATGATAATAATAATAATGCTAATTTTTGCTCCTAGAATCCAACACAATGCTGCTCTCTGGCGTTACATTATTACCCTGGCGGAATTGTACTTTCAAAGCTGCTACCAAACGCTTTGCGCGACCATATAGGTCCGTATATCCACTTCTAAGGTACCAATTTTGAACAGCTGGGTGGACTGAGTGTAATTTGGACGAGGTGCCTTGCCCAGGGACACAACACAGTATGAGAATTAGGTCACAAATTTTGGTGTCTCCACCGGGATTCGAACCCGAGCCTTTGGCGTGAGAGGTCAGCATGCTAACCACTACACCATTGTGCATTCTGGGTTTTCTTGATTAATCACACTAACAGCGGAACATCGTACTAACCTATAAAAGACAACTTTATCATAAAGACATGCCATCACCCGAGTGCTGACAATGTTTACTGTGATGCAATGTTCCAGATAAATCAAGGCTGTCTGTTAATGATATGTCTGGGACAGGTAAACCATGACACACTGGGGAGATTCCAGGTTTATGACATTTTCAAGGACTCCGCATGTTCAAAGCAGCCGAATATATTAACACCAATACAAATGAAACATTGATAATGATATGACAATCAAATCTTCTACAGTGCGTTTCTCCTATTTTTTCCAACTTACTGACCAGATTTTAATTATTTCACTTCATAGTGCCAAAGTATATACAATACAGTAGCGTTTTACATGTTTAACCCAACTGACATTTTCTTTTCAGCTACTCCATGGAGCAGACGGACACCGTGATTGCTGGCGTTGAACACTACAAGGAGTTCGTGCCTTACATGTTTAACCCAACTGACATTTTCTTTTCAGCTACTCCATGGAGCAGATGTACACCGTGGTTGCTGGCGTTGAACACTACAAGGAGTTCGTGCCCTACATGTTTAACCCAACTGACATTTTCTTTTCAGCTACTCCATGGAGCAGATGTACACCGTGGTTGCTGGCGTTGAACACTACAAGGAGTTCGTGCCCTGGTGTGTGGGGTCATCTGTCACACATACACGACCCGGTCACTGTCGAGCAAAACTGGAAATCGGCTTTCCTCCATTGCTTGAGAAGTATACTTCGTCTGTGACTCTCGCTAAACCCAACTTGGTCAGGGTGAGTTGGTTCAAAGCTAGACTATCACCTAGTCTCTGAATATATACATGATTTTAATAGTAACACATCAACCCATTTACATTGAAAAGGAGACCCAATCAGATGGGACATTCAGAGCCTGAACCTGAGGGAAGCTATATTTGCTTAATTTAGGGCTTTGGCACTGCAGGGAGGGCTAGGCTGCAGGGAAAATAATGTGCTTGTGTTAGTATATTCAAAGGTATATATATGTTGGTTTGTTTCATGTCACATTCAGCGACAGCAGTATTCCAGCTGTATAAACATGGTCTGCAAATAATTGACTCTGATCTGTGGGTCTGCAAATAATTGACTCTGATCTGTGGGTCTGCAAATAATTGACTCTAATCTGTGGGTCGGCAAATAATTGACTCTGATCTGTGGGTCTGCAAATAATTGACTCTGATCTGTGGGTCTGCAAATAATTGACTCTGATCTGTTGGTTTGCAAATAATTGACTCCGATCTGTGTGTCTGTAATTAACTGACTCTGGACCACATGATCTGGTGATTGACATTATGTATGTTGATCTATGCAATTGAGGTCAGAGGTACAGATCAACTGCGTATCTTCGTAATGTGAAAACCTAATTCCTATCACGTCTATTGCGTATAAGTACGCTTGAATTTTTGTAAATACTCAATAAATTTGATCTAACATGTGTACACACAAAAATGTCAAATCTTAGCTTGCATACAGTAACATTCAGCAGACCTACTAGAATTAGAAGTAAGCAGACCCATGAGCTACAGATGGAGGTAACTGAGGGTAGATAGAATAACTGAGGTGTATTGAGAGGTTCTATTTCAGCACATGAACTTGGCAACTTGCAGTCTTTCTTATCTTTTCTCATATTACAGATCAAATATAAATAACATACACGTAAACCAACATTTAAACTTTATTCTATTTTCACAAATAATGGAAAATGGTAAAATACCCAACTGAGTTTGAGAGAAGTGGGTATAATTTATTTGGTTACTCAAAAGAAAATTAGAATACCCAATTGAGATGAACACAAGCGAGTACATAACTCAATGACTCCAAAAGTTATCTGTAGCTCTGTGAGGCATACTGTAAATCGACAAAGTTCGTTGTCGTCAATGTTTTGCGTGATCAGCAACCCAAACAGTTCTACGTCGTGTTTGTTTTGCAAGTCCTTCCGTGAAAACAAGTCTAATTGTTGTCAATACATTTGTAAATACCACACTTCCCAAAGACATTAGCGATGTACATAAACACTCACTGGCTGCCATGTTTGATCACGTGATTTACCAAACTAAGTAGGAGATGCGTTCCGGCTGGATGTACAGGAGAATTGCAGGCAATGGATTTATCAGTGAACGCCTCTTTCAAGATTGCCATGAAAACCCACTTTACACAGTCGTATGCTGAGTGTGTTGCCCAACATTTGAAACAATGTTTTGATAAGTGTATAGACTTAAGAATATGTGTGATGAAAACAGTTAATGTCCAATGGATTATCACAAACTTCAACATGACCTTGTTCCGTGTTTCAGTCCGAGTGTACTGAGGGCCGGCTCTTCAACCTGCTCTTGACGACCTGGAAGTTCAGCCCTGGCTTACCTGGCAACCCCCAGACCTGCACCCTGGACTTCTCAGTAAGTCTTGCGATCATTATGATTGTCGGGAGGCTAAGAGAGGCTTTGTGCAGCTTTGGGTAGCAGTTGTGCAAAATATGATGAAAATTTGTTTGAGTCGAATTCACAATGAGAATTTCTCAAAAGGCGATATTACTTTTTACTGTATAGTTTTGACTATTCATGAAGCTCACGTACAGTGTACCACTACCCAAGCAAAGTTGTAAGCTAACGTTTGTAAGTTAAAGGTACTTGAAAAAAAGTCTAACCACATAACAGTACCACCTTCTTTTGCAGGTATCATTTGAATTTCGATCCCGCCTTCACTCACAATTGTCAACATTATTTTTCGACGAGGTAGTGAAGACGATGGTGAATGCATTTCTCAAAAGGGCCACAAAAATCTATGGACCTGAATCTATCAAAAGACAGAAGCCTAAAATAGTGATTTACAACTCATGATGTTGGCTGAATTTAGGAAATTTGGGAATTGTAAATATTGGATATTTGAGCAAGTGATCTAAGGGTTGATACAACCATGTCAACAGTAGAGGACTAAAACATGCTTGACTCCGCTCTTCTTACTCAGGACAACCCAAGATGGGGTCACTTGGTCCAAAACTGCCTCTCGAGTGATGTCTGATCTTCTGTACATTTCTGCCAGGTATTAAGTACAGTTCCAGCATTGCAGAAACGAAATGATCATTGTTACTTTTACAATGAAGGTCTTCTGCGAAACTTAAGATTGACAGAAATGGTGGAAAAATCTTTCGAAATTTCAGATATGAGTTAATTAATGATATGATGACTGTGACATTCTTTCTTGAGGTAGTTTGAGTTTTACTGATGGCAGTTAGAGGCAAAGCCTTTATTACTTAATTTGACTCTTGTTGCATTGGAAGCTGTTGTAAAATACCTCTGTAACTAAGAGAAGAGAACAGGAATTCTAGTGCCAAAAATGTATTTAAAAGGTGGTCTGGAAACTGAGTTTTTAGAATGCTATAGTCATATGAAATCTCCATGACACATTAACTATGATCATCTAGAAAATTAGGTGTTCTTAAACTTTTCAGTAGTATATTTGGCCATTTTCCTGCTACAATCATCACTTTTAACTTTAATAATCCTTAGAACTGGAAGCAAATAGGAATCTGATCATCCAAGAAAATAGCATCTCTTTCCCCAGTGTCGTGTCCTTCCTGAGACATCTGACCAGTTGTTGACCTCTGCAACTGACCAATATGTTTAAAGAGGAACACTCCTTAAGGTCACTTGAATGATGTGTGTTCCTCAAGATTTGTTATAAAATCGCGCAGTTGTGTTTTCGTATTCTTCTGTGTGACTTCTTACACCATGGGAACAAGAGACAGATTACTGGGAAGTCAGTTTGAAACATTGAGTTGGCAGTAACTGGTTTTTCATGATTTTAGTTTGATATTTTGTACTGAAGGGTATTGATGAATTTAAGAACTTTCAAATTTCAAGACTTGCAAATATGTGTGTTTTTTCATCTTTACATACTTGTAGGGTCAAAAGGGTAAGAACAATTATGTGGTCTGTTGATCTTTGAAAACACATATATTGATATTTATTATGATTGAAGAAAAATTTGTTTTGCATGTGTTGTAAAATTTCCATGGGGACAAACAAGAAGTGTGGTTAGGATTTAGTGACAACAAAATCTGGAAAACTAGATCCTGCTTTTCTTGGAACTTTAAGGTGTGGCAGATATTCAGTACATCTTGTATTGTGACAGAAACAATCACCTCATCTTGGAATTTATGAAACATTTGGACATACTTGATGTTACAATGATAAATAGTACAGTATGTTCAAGAAACATCAGTATTGTGAAAAGCTTCCTGATAATTCTTTTCCTATTTGTTTGTGTATATATACTAATATATTTATGTTATGTCTTATTGCCATGGTTACTGATGATTCCTGGGAATGTCCATCTAAGACCTGTCTGACCTTTGTTTGTTGATGTTTTTACTGTAAATGTTACAGACATGTTCTGTTTTATTTTACAACAAAAACAAATTGTTTATCCAAAGCACCAATCCATTGTCAAGAAACATTTTCATGACAAAGTCATGTTTTTTATTTCTAATTGAAAATAAAGAGCTGATATTGTGGGTACAAAATTTAATGATAACACCAGTGTCTACAAGTTTTATATACTTTAACATTTATCCCGGAGAAAAGAATTGTTTATACAGCTTTTTGAGCCTGAAGGTCAGAAAATTATATGTTCTGAACAGAGTTACCTCCCTTTGTCAAAGTGACATTGTTTCTGTTGGCAACAGGTTGTTCCTGCAATGGAGTTTCTGAATGATTCTTGAAAGATATGGTGAAAAGTCAAGTTTTATGGCTGTGATATGACTGTTAAGAGGCTGGTGACACCCTCCTGGTTTTATTAAATATCTTGTAGATATTTCTGTTGTGTCCACAGCAACTTTTCTTACCATCACCAAGTGTTGAAGATTGTTTGTTTCTGTTATTGATCATTTTGACTGATGACATATTGTCAAAGGTACAAATGGTTCAGTCAAGGTTTTATATTTAAAGTGATGAAAGTGTTCGCTTTTAAACATGTCATAAAATTGTTGCATACAAACTTGTGATGTTGCTGTTTTGTATATGGGTAGCATCTCCTGTTAGCACATCCTGAAACCTATAATTATTGGTTTGAATCCCACATGCCTTTGATCATGGTTTTTGGTTTGTTGGTGCCATACCCATGTCAATCAGTTTCCCCATAGGGCCTGTAAGTCTTGCAAGGGGCTACTTCTGGTATTGAGCTGGTTCCCTTTGAGCGCGTCAACTTGCGATATGCGAGATGGCGTTGGCTAATTTGGGGATGGTTAGATCGGAAATTTGTTATTCCTGCAAGAATTATCGTCTCCTTACTGTCAACTGACAACCATGAGACTTTTCCAAAAGGTATTAAAAGTTTGTCAACGGAAGTACTAAGGTCTCGCAAAGTGCAGTGACCTACTTGTGGGCCCTATTGGGTAAACATCTTGTCTACATTGCATTGTGGATTCGCCTTCAACATGACAAGTTGTGATGCCATTTTACTTAGATATAAGATCACAAACCTAAATGCTCTTCTTTTCAATGTGGCCCTCAATTCAGCAGTACAAAATTTTAATGACATATAACATATAATCAGTCATTTAGATCTTGGTAATTGATGATTGCAATTCAGTTACAAAAAGGCATACCTGAATTGAAACAAGAGTTATCTCCCCTGGACTTGTGATTACAGATATTGTTGAAATCATCTTTCAACCCATCTACTATACTAAGCAGCATAGTCAGTCTGGAATTTTCCTTCCCAGAAACGGATAACTGTAAACTCACTTAATGTTTTGATTGTATTTTTTTGACGACATCTCCAACTTTACCTGAACAAAGACATTCCTTCCCAAACTCAGAATTGACCCAGGAAATGGTCACAAAAACGCAACCTGATCTCAGAGATGGTGCGGTGTTCTCCATGTTTTTCATGCAAGTCATGCTGCACATGCTGTTCACAAGGACCAGCCCTATAAAATGCACCCCCAAACCTGGTTGAAACATTCACATTACAACGTCAGCAGGATGCCATGACTCACGACAGCTCAGAGGAACCAGGCGCTAGGAAGACTTGAAGCTGGCCACACTGCACAAGCCGTTGCCAATCACTTCCAGGTAAACGTTTGGACCATCTACAGGCTGCAGCAACGTTTCCGGGCCACCAACACCACAAATTATCGCCCCCGTACTGGCAGACCAAGGGTCACCACAAGACGACAAGACTGCCATGTTGTGCGATAGCATGTACAGAATCCCTTCATGCAGGCAGCACGAAACAGCACGCCAGACAGTGGGAACACACGGAAGACCAGTCAGTACTGATACAGTACGCCAACATTTTAACAGTGGGAACCTCCATTGCCGTAGACCTTACCGTGGACCTATCCTCACCCCTCGTCATTAGTATGAACGTCTACAGTTTGCCCTACAACACCAAAACTGGCGATACAGGCAGTGGAGAACTGTTCTGTTCACAGATGAGAGTCGGTACTGCCTATCAACTGCAGATCTGCGTATCAACAAGAATATGGTCAGCGTTATTCAGACCAATGTGTTATGGAAAGAGACTCATGGGGAGGTGCAAGCATCATGGTTTCGGGTGGCATAGGCCTGAACCAGAGAGTGGGTCCTGTGGTGTTCCAGAACCTTGGTCCAGGGAGAGGAGGCGGCATCACAGCGGTGTGATACATCGACCAAGTTCTCAGACACCATGTCATACCACATTTCGCTAGTCACCAGAACAACATTTCCCAGCAGGATAACGCCCGGGCCCATACTGCCAGAGCTACACGGGACTTCCTACAGCAGAACGGTGTCAACATTATGCAGTAGCCAGCACTTAGTCCTGATTGAAACCCAATTGAACATCTTTGGGATGAAATTCAGAGGAGACTGAATAATGACTTACCAAGGCCGAACACAGCCGATTTTATTGCGCCAGGCCTTTTACAGAGTGTGGTTAAAGGTACCAATGGCCTTCATCAATCAATTGGTGCACTCCATGCATAGACGCTGTGCTGCAGTTATTGCCCCTCGTGGTGGTCACACTAGATACTGAAGTCAAGAGTCTGAATGGCCTGCAAACGTTATTCATTGATGTGTCAAGATATTGTACACAAAAAATGGTTTTGATCCGCTTATGTCTATTTCTGTAATGATTTGATTACAGTGCCTATCTAATTTTGAATTCGTACTGCTGAGTATATATCTAATGTGAAAATATTTCAGTAAACTAGGGATGAGAATCTTCAGTGTGTATGAGTGAGAGAAGAGGATTAAACCCATGTTGGGAATCGAACTTGAGACCAGCAAACTCAACAACAAAAACAATTTGTAATTTGATGTTTTATTCATACATGATAACAACATGCTAGAAACGGAAACAAGTAGTCTCCACAGACAGATGACTCGCCCAGTAGAGCTGAGAAGATAAACTCGAGTAATACTGATACTGTTCAACGTTATATCAGGTTCAAGAAACATCACCTTTCTTTTACCAGCCTGCAAAAATTCTTTGTTCGAGGAAAAACTTTTGTTCAAAAAGCAACATTTCTTAGACGTGATTTTTAAATCGGACAAATAATGGGAAAATATATTCTGTGATTTTTTTCAGTTGAATTAATTTTAAAATTGATTTCTGAAGTTCAAAGTATGCATAACTGAGTTTTGTGGAACAGTATACCAAAGTTTGAAGGAACAGTTGTTTTGATATGATGTTTGAAATTTTAGGAGAAAAATTGGAAAAAACGTAGATTACATGTAACTGAGTTTTTGTAACAGTATTCCTGCTTAATTGATTGTATTGATCATTATTATTATCATTATTTCACCTGGAACTTGCAAACTTGAGTTGAGAAACTCTTGTTGTAGACCTCTACCACTTTGCAGAGTCCTACATGCATGGCTATGGTGCTGCCAAACCAAGGGTAAAAATCTGAGCAATCAGCAGATCCTGGCACAGCTAAGAGACAAGACTCTCCAGAGGTACATTGAGTAGTACATTTCAAACATCGGGGGATGAGGGTCTTTCTGAGACTTCCCACCCGACAATGTATACAACTGGCTGTACATAGATCTGCAATGAAGCAGAAAACCCAGTAAGCGCACATACCAAGTAATGAATATAACAGCAAAGTTGAGAACAAAAGTCTCAAAATAACTGAAAGTTTAAGAGACCATAATACAGGCACAATAAATATACCACTATTATATGGTATAGTATATAAGCCTGAACCAAATGAAACACAACGACGTGTCAAATACGACAAAGTGTTTTAATGGCGAAGTGAAAGTGTGATGGCGGGGACCGTGTATAAACGAGCGACATCACTACACAGAACTACTGAATGACAAAAAGAAAGTGAAAGATAATACCTACACTTCTCGTAGAGGTACAAAAACAAAATACACACAAAGTCAGTCTTTATTAATGCTTCACAAAATATAATCCCGTAGGATACAAGTTGAGCTGGCAAACAACACGTCTAACGAGGCGTGCGAAAAGCAATAATCTGAGGTGGCTGACGTCACCTTCCGGTGACGCATGCGTAGACGAGTAAGCAGCCGAGACCAGGAAGTGATTGCAGTTCTACGTCTTTTTGACATCGTCTGGCAAGCCACGCTTTTCGAGCCGTAAGCAATAAGTGCAGGAAGTAAGTAGTGCAGGATTAGTTAAAAATTTAAACACACATATGCAGACTGGAGATTCACAAAATGCCTCCAATGTATTCATATTGGTAACAATTACTGCTGTTTAAACAAACTTCTGACAGGGAAGTAACTCTTGCAGCTTTATAAACAGGGGAGACAACTCTATCACATTAGACTGAAAGAATGCCAAGCAGGATTGGCAATGGACAGTTATAAATAAAAATAATTATTCAGAGTATCTACTAATTAATTTTTGTGAGTCTTTTGAATTTTAAAAAAATTGACAAATTTCATTGAATACAAAATTCGGCAGAGAACATATTATTTAAAAAAAAAATTAGTCTAAGCTTTGATAACACTGCACATCTTGAACGCTATAGATGATTTTGAAAGTTTGTTAACCAGCAATTCAGACCATGAGTTACAACACATATTGTAAGTTAAGAGATAGAACTGAATCCAAAATCACAGATCTGTTTGTGGTGTAAATATTTGAATTAGAAGTCATGTTTACACATTTTGAAATTCCTACTAGCACCAATACCTATATATGAATGAGCACAACAGTATAGAAGATATATAGTTAGAATCCATCTAATAAGTAGGGTTTTCCCCGAGGTGTGCAGGTTCTGGGTGTTGATTACCAATCATGTCAACAACAAGCATTTGCTATGTTTGATTTGCTGAAGTGACTTGTATGTCGCTTTATTTGTTGATCTTGAGTATACGACACATTTTTTAATAAGTATAAGTACCAATAAAATAGTTTAACCAACTATCTGTCAAGGGCATTACATATAAACTTAAGTTTTGTAACAATGCATAATGCTTAAGTCTACAGTACTTGTTAGAAAACATTATGAACGTCCGTTTTGGAATGTTTAATGTTTCAAACTGCCGTCTTTAAAAAACGTTTCATGGTAAGTATTTATTAAATAAACATCAGTACAAACAGTATTGAAATACATTGTAGGTTATTAGGAATTTTTTACTGCTAGCTCATAAAGATTTTCTGACAGTCATTTAGTTTTCAGCATTAAGTTCATATTTAAAGCCCATGACACATCACCACAAACATGACTACAACTGTAATATGTAGGACTTCAAGTGAGCAATCAGAACATTGTAACAAAATAAACCAAATTTATGATGAATTTGTGTAAATCACAACATGAGATGTATATGTACACATGACCTACTCGTATGCATCTACTCCAATTTCAGGGTGAAACCACGCTAAGGATCCTACATCGTCGTCTACAGCTACATGCCCACCACAGTACAACCCCTCGGACGTCAGGCTACTTGTGATACTGGAATACAGCTGTCTGACACAGACCCATGATAAGAAATACTTGCAATGGTGACAGATGTTACACCTGTGCAAGAACATAGTGAGTGAGTGAGTGAGTTTAGTTTTACGCCGCTTTTAGCAATATTCCAGCAATATCACGACAGGGAACACCAGAAATGGGCTTCACACATTGTACCCATGTGGGGAATCGAACCCGGATCTTCGGTGTGACGGGCGAACGTTTTAACCACTTGGCTACCTGCGCCCCTGCGAGAACATAGACTTAGGATAAGCAAAGTATGGCATTAGCTTTGTTGAAAGAGTTTGAAAACACTTCGCTAGGCTACTACTCAAATCGTCATGAAACGGTATGTTTCTCTAGGAGCAGTGCATCCTATGTAACCACCATATGTGACTGAGGCATCTTTCTTGTATCCATAACAACCATTAGATTCAGGATATGACAGGGATACCCTTCTAGTAACCCTGGCAACCACCAGAGTTGGAATGTGACTGAAGCAGCTTTCTTGTAACTATAGCAACCATCATATCCAGGATGTGGCAGGGACACCCTCTTCGTAACCCTAACAACCACCGAAGATTGAGGACAAACATGCAGCAAGGTGATGCAGGCAGTTAAGGGAGCTAACTCTGCACTGCATGCTGCAACACTGCACTATCCCTGTCCTCAGCCATGTTCACTATCCTTGTCCGTATCCACTATCCTCTGCCATGTTCACTATCCTGTCCGTATCCACTATCCTCAGCCATGTTCACTATCCTTGTCCATATCCACTATCCTCAGCCATGTTCACTATCCTTGTCCGTATCCACTATCCTCAGCCATGTTCACTATCCTGTCCGTATCCACTATCCAAGACAGTGCCCACTACCTCTGTCCTTATCCTGACTGTACTAGACTCTGTCCACTCTACTTATCCATGGTCACTATCCTAGACTATCTCCACTATCCAAAACAGTGTCCATATCCTCTATCCTTGTCTTTATCCACAATCCAAGCCAGTGACCACTATCAAAGACAATGTCCCCTAGCCTAGACAGTGTCAACAATCTGAGACACTGCCCACGATTTCAGATCATCCCTTCTTGTAACTGGGATAGACTAGATCAGTAGCGAGTGAGTGAGTGAGTTTTGTTTGATGCCATTTTAGGACTACTGAAACCAATGCTACCACAATGGGGCTGATTCCTGACATTATGTTTAGCATAGAATAGAACCCAGGTATTGGCTTGTCAGGGCAATGCTTCACCCACTAGCTTACCTCAAAACCTCAGTACAAGTGAATGAAGGAATGAATAGGTTGTATCATATTGTATTGAGGGTAAACCACACTAAACAAAGACCTCATTGTATGTGTTATCACCTTGGAGAGATCATATCTGATATACCATATCATATCATCATGGAGAGATCATATCTGATATACCATATCATCATGGAGATATTACATCACCATGGAGAGATCATATCACCATAATTAGCATATATATTTCCTTATATATACGAGTTCACCTTGATATCATATCACCACAGATTTATCATACTGTCATGGAGTTATTAAATGATTAGGAGAGAAGATATGGGCTGCAACGATTCACCCAGACCTCAATTTGATTTTCGATATTGGACCTTTGATTCAATCATTTTCGATTCGCCTGTCATACAAGTGAAAACATCAGATTTCATTTAACTCCCAGAGTTGGCTTTTTTAGTCTGAAATCCATCGTCGACTTGGCGATGTCTATTGACAACAATTCTCATTGGATAATTAGCCAGGGGTCAACCAGCCATGTTTCGCCCCATTCAGCGCTCGAAACAGCTCAAGTTGGAGTCAAAAGTACGTTCTTGCTGTGTGGAAATAATTTAGATAGGTAGTCAAATATCAAATCGAAACAGAAACTGAGGAAACTAAGGTGTCAGATCGTTGCAGCCTTACTATACAGAAAATGGCCATTAATGTTATCACCTTGAAAGATATATGACATCACCACATACATATCATATCATTGGGATATCAAATCATTATAGAAAGCTCATATGATGGAGAAATCATAACTCCATTGATAGATAATATTACCATTTAGAGATAGTATGTTTACTATCAGCAAGATAAATCATATCACATTTCAAAATCTTAATTTTTCAGAGATCATTATCACTAGCGAGATACCATATCAAGAACATATCATCATGAGAGATCATAATCACCATGGATACATCATAATGTGGAGGTATTTAGACCCCAGTGTTGTGATCTAAACGTCCATCCCGCAACACAATCTTCATTGGTAGCCACAACCTTGCTGCTAACACTTCCACCAGTATTTACGAAATGGCTGCTTAAATAATACAAAAGCTACCTTATGTGTTTCAAACTTCAAATAAGCACAACAATCAGCCAATGCTACACATTACAACCACTTCATCTATTTCACCAAAACCTAAAACAATTGCTTCCTTATTGAAAGGGCTTGCATCAGCAGTTCCCAAAAAGTGATGAATCAGCAAAATTTAATACTCTAAAGAGGTACAATCAACTACTGGCCTTGGACATAGAGCGGCTACACTGAAATTCCTTTGAAGCGATCTGATCATGGAAAATATCACCACAATGTCAATCACAGAAGAGTATTTACAATATTCTGTGTATATGTAAATAGAATTTCATAATATTATTTGAACTGTTCATTTGTGATGATAAATAATCTGTATGTTTGGATACAACCAGTATGGCAATCATGCAGGTGGGGTGGTGCTCTGGACAGGGAAGATGGGCGCCAGAGGAAAGGACATGTTGATATGGGTAGCACAATAAGGCATATCTTCTCCATGACTGCAGGTGGAGCCGCGGGCCAGGTTGATCATTGCCATGATGAATCCGATTATGGCCACCAATAGCCCGAATGTTGCCACCATGATGGGTCCGATGTTTGTCCTTGAGAACATGGCTTCCTGTCGGAGTCGCATGACGCTCAGGGCGGGGATGATGTAGGCCAGGGGGGCTGCTGCAAGTACCCCCTGAAACAAACAGAATGAGCTGCGGTTTCATTCAGGGATGAGAATGGGGATGAGTGAAAAATAAAGAGGAAAATGAGACGGGGGTGTTTGGGGGCCATAGGTGCCCATGCCAGATCCAACGACCCCAGTGCGACCAATTCTGCTGAATTCTGTGGAAAAATCTCAACTCTGTTCATTACTGGGTCGGTTTGGTGGTTGTCTTGAATAAATCAGGAGTTAGCCCCCTTTCCACATTACCGCAGGGTTAAATCCCTTCCACATTGCCATAGAGTTACCTCCCTTTCCATCTACTGTAGGCAGCGGGTTGCATCACTTAAGTTTGTGTTTGTTTAGAGCTGCACTTGGCAATTTTCAAGTTGTATGACTAGCTTGTAATACCCAAGTCAGGACCAGACAAACCAGTGGCTGATATTGTGAGCATCGAAATATGCCTTCCAGGTACAACTGATGCACCAACTGACTAGCTGCCCTACTTGGTTGTCAAGCAAAACATAAAATTCTTCTGACAAAAATTCAAAGTGCAACAATATGCAAAGGGAATTAACAAGTGTCATTCAAAGTAGCAATACAGTTAGTGAGTATGGTTTTATGTCGCTTTTAGCAATATTCCAGCAATATCACAGTTGGGGACACCAGAAATGGGCTTCACAAATTGTACCTATTTGGGAATCGAACCCGGGCCTTTGGCGTAACGAGCGAACGCTTTAACCACTAGGCTACCCCACGACCCCAACAAGTAACAATAAGTCCTCTCGATGTTTTCACAAAGTTCAAGTTTACCTTTATTTGCTTTTTCATAAAAATGCAAACTAAGTCTTAATGACAGAGAGAAGAAATAGGCTCAAGATAAAGCATTGCGGTTACTCTTTGAAATTGTTTCTGGATCACTTACATTGAGCTCAAGAACAATTCCGAGGCAATCTGTTGCCATGGAGACAGCACCTGTGAGGAACACAATGATGACAGTGATGGTGATGTGTCTCCACAGCGGCGTGGGGGGGTTGGCCGGGAAGACAGCATTCTCTACAACCTGCCGACACAGAAACAGAGAGAGTGGAAGAGCGATCAGCGCAGCACTAATAGTTTGTTTGCTTGTTGTCTAATGCCGCACTCAGCAATATTCCAGCTATATGGTGTCAGTCTTTAAATCATTTAGCCTGGACCATACAATCCAGTGATCAACAGCATGAGCATCAATCTAAGTAATTGGGATACAATGACATGTATAAACAAAGTCAGTGAGCCTGACCTCCCGATCCCGTTAGTCGCCTCTTACGACAAGTATGGATTGTTGAAGACCCAAATGTAACCCTATCTTCACAGGTACAGCAAGCGTGTGACTCGTGGGTTAATGAGTCAGTTGTTTGGGGTTTGATTCTAACCCAGAAAACCCAGGTTCATCATCCATAAAAACCAAGGTAAACTGTGTGATAAGATTCTGAAGAGACAAATATTAAATATATATTTTGTGTCACTTGTACTGAACCATTTTCAACCATCAACCATACAACGATTGGCGGAAAAGGCCTCATGCTCAGACGGACAGGAAAAAAGCTGGACTGTCTGGAGTGAGTGCGTATTGTTTTATGCCACTTTAAGCCATTACAACAATAGAACAGAAGGCGACACCAGAAATGGGCTTCACACATTGTACCCATGAGGGGAATCGAACCCGGGTCTTTGTGACGAGTGAACAGATTAACCACTAGGCTACCCATCGCCCCTGGACCATCTAGAATGTAATGTCAGTGCAGACGATGTCATTGCAGGAAATATCCCTCCCTGACAAAATCTGATAAATCCAATATGCCCTGGCATCCACTACTGTATATGATGGATGAGAACATATTTCCTACCTCTCTCGTGACAAAGCACTCCACTGGGTAGGTGAGCATGATGGTGACGGCGAAGGCGATTCTCACAATGTTCATCAGAATATCATCATGACAGTAGTTCTCCAGCAGGTCACCTGGAACAGTTGGTCATAAACAGTCAGTGAGTTGCTTTTAGCAATATTCCAGCAATACGGTGGGGACACCAGAAATGGGCTTCACACATTGTACCCATGAGGCGTTAAAGTTGGAAGAAGCTAGAAGACACTGATGAAACACAAGCAAAGAAAAGTTTTCATTATCAAAAGAAATATGTGAGTGAATTTCATTTTACGTCGCGTTTTTAGCAATACTGCTGCAAAATAAGGGCAGGGGACACTACAAATGGCCTTCACACATTGCTCCCATGTAGGGAGTCGCACTCAGGTCTTCGGCTTGACAAGTGAGTGAGTATGGTTTTATGCTGCTTTTAGCAATATTCCAGCAATATCACGGCATGGGACACCAGAAATGGGCTTCAAACATTGTACCCTTGTGGGGAATCGAAAACCGGGCCTTTGGAAGTGACGAGCGAACACTTTAACCACTAGGATACCCCATCGCCCCCACACTAACATGAACATGAAGAACTGACCTTGTGTTAACCCAGTGAAGGACAGGTATCCCACAATTCCTAGAACGAGGCACATGAACATGGCAAAGATGACACTGAAGTGCGTTACGAAGCCCCATCTCTGAGTCGTCGGGTTCTCCAAGGACGAGTGAATCAGGAATGTGTTGTGATGACACATGTATGCTAGAACATATCAGACACGATACAGAACATTGTTGTGGGCATTTGAATATAAGAACATCTCCGAAAGATGAGTGTTTAATAAAGCGACAAGTCCTGGAACACCACACCCGTCACAAGAGACATCATTAAGTGATGAGTGGAGTATAACTATCCTGGAACCCGGTGGGATAAGTCATATGGCTAATAACACGTTGACTGCCACCACGAGTATACTCGTAGTATCAATGTCTGGCCCAATTTGCCACTACGAGTTATGTCAACGATGTCCGCCTCGTGACCAGTGAACAACTTATAATGTCATATGCTTTATGATTAACTCAATAAATAAATTGGCCTCATCATTGTTATATATACTACAAACAAAAAATATGGGGGCACCTTAAATTTTGACAGTCATATATAAACTTAAACATGGTGAGGTTATTTATACTCTCAGGTAAATGCAACTTTTTGTGTGCTTAATGGACACTTTAAACGACATGTTGGAACATGCAGCGAAGCAACTGATTCAATATTCATGGAGTTTATGTGAATGAGACATTGTAAAAAACAGTGAAAGACAGGGTTGCTGAAACGCACCAGCACCATGTTTGATTCAAACGCCCAAACACAACAGCCTAGTGCAGGAGGAAGATTATTTTCTTAGAATGACGCACTTTATTATTAATGCCAAAACTATTATACAAAATATGTATTAAACAACAGATGCTACCCATTTTGTCTGGTGAACAAGGTTATTACCCAAGGTTGCACCAGGTGCAAGTAGGTTTTCAGTTCCTTAAATTGAGCTCAGATATACCTATCAGATTGTATCTTAAACCTTATTATGCAGTATATTGTAACTTTGATGCTATATTATAAATCAGATAACGCAAGAGCAGCTGGAGTGAGTGAGTAAAACTTTACACCGATTTTAGCAATACTGCAGAATATCAAGGCTGAGGGACACCAGAAAATGTACCCATGTGGGGAATCGAACCGAGTCTTCAGCGTGATGAGTGAACGCTTTAACCATTAGGCTACGCCAACCCCCCACCAGCAACTTGACATTCATTAGTAATTTGATGACAACGAATGTTGAGAAACTTATCCATTATTTTAATTTTTATACAGACTAAACAAAGTGACAGTAAGTGTACCATTATGACAACCTCAGGTAGTGAGTGAGTGAGGGAGTTTAGGTTTACGCCGCACTCGGCAATATTCCAGCTATATGGCAGCGGTCTGTAAACTATCGAGTCTGGACCAGACAATCCAGTGATCAACAGCACGAGCATCGGTCTACGCAACTGGGATATGATGACATGTGTCAACCAAGTCAGCAAGCCTGACCACCCGATCCCGTTAGTCGCCTCATACGACGAGCATGGGTTACTGAAGATCAATTCTAACCCCGGATCTTCATGGGTCGACCTCAGGTACAGGTCCAAGTGGAGTAAATAAGTTTTTGACAAGTTGCGTCCAATATAATCCATTGAGACCAGCCACAATTACCATCAATCTGGTGTGGGCCACTGACTCACATTAATGAAAACCATCAGAGACCCAATTACTGTGAAAGTGGGCTCCTAATAAACAGTCTAGACAGGCCAGGGCAGTACGCAATCAATGGAGGGTCATAGGGTCCCATTGAGAAACCAATTCACATCATATTTAGCAGGGATTATCTAGACCTCAGTGGCCTATTCTGCCACAAATGTCATTGAATTTCCCAAATTGTAATTAACAATTTTAAAAATTCATGTTAATAAACAGACCTAATAAATAATGTAATGGCATTTTAGAGGTAGCCTATATTTCACATAATATTAAGCAGGGTTTTTATCATAATTTAGACCTTCGCAGGGGCCTAATTTTGGCTTTTATTCCGCAGCAAATGTCATTACAATTTCCCAAATTTTAATTAATAATTTATTAACTCATGTTAATAAATAGACCTAATAAATAATGTTATGGCATCTTAGAGGTAACCTATATTTCACATAATATTTTGCAGGGATTATCTGGACATTCTCTGGGGCATAATTTTGGTTTTTATTCTGCAGCAAGTGTCATTACAATTTCTAAATTTAAATCAATTTTTTTTATAAATCATAAACAGAACTAATAAATAATGTTATGGCATTTTTGAGGTAACCTATATTTCACATATAATTAACAGGGCCAATATATAGGATGAAGTTTTAAAGCTTAGTTTTGTATTAATGGTTGGAATACAGCCTCATAACGAAAATAATGTTAATAAACACAACTAATAAATAATTGTATCTGTTTTTAGAGGTAACCGATACTTCATTTATAACAGAGCCAATAAATAGGATGGTGTTTTTAAGCTTAGTTTTTGTATGACTGGTTGGAATACGGCCTCATAACGAAAATAATGTTAATAAACACAACTAATAAATAATTGTATCTCTTTTTACAGGTAACCGATACTTCATTTATAACAGAGCCAATAAATAGGATGGTGTTTTTAAGCTTAGTTTTGGTATTATTGGTTGAAATGCATAATGACAGAATTCACATAGCGTATCTCCTGAATCATGTCTATCTAGTAATATAGCCGAGCTCTTAACAGCAGAAATAGTCTTCAGGCTATACATTTTTCAAAATAGACATATACAATATATTAACAGAAACATAACTGTACCATGTGATATTAAAGAGGCCTACATTGTGGCTTTGTAGAGGTAGCCCATATTTCAATTACAACAGGCTGCTAAATAGGACGAGGTTTATATAAAACAAATTGTATCATTGTGTTATTATTAAATGCAATCTCACAATCCAATATACAACAGATAAGAGACCAATAATAACAGAATCTGCAGTGCATCTGTGTGTTCATACAGCTGGCCTTAATAACAGAAACACTGTGTTGCTATTCAACCATACAACACGGGAAATATATTTGTATATTTACCAAACGCCATAATTCCAATAGCTTGTGTTATATTATAGTTGGCAAACTGCCACGCTCCTTCTGTCGGTTCTCTGAAATATAGGAAAGACATGTCTTACAACAAAACTGATTACACGAGCATGACATGAGTACATGACATCAAGAAATAAATTAAATATTACGGATGTAAAACAGTATTGAATTCAATGGTACTTTACAGTAAACTTTATTCGGGATCACTAAGTGCTAAGCGATATATTGTGATATTTAAATGGATATTCCTTTTAATTTTTAACTGGTTTTGATCAACATTAGGGCTTTTCATATGTTACACACACTAAATAATAGACGAGGTTGGTTGGTTTGTTGCTAAACACTGTACTCGGCAATATTCCAGCTATATGGCGGCGGTCTGTAAATAATCGAGTTTGGACCAGACAATCCATTGATCAACAGCATGAGCATCGATCTATGCAATTGGGATATGATGACATGTGTCAATCAAGTCAGTGTCTCAACCTGACCACCAGATCCCGTCAGTCGCCTCTTACGACAAGCATGGGTTACTGAAGACCAATTCTAACCCAAGTTAATGAATGAGAGAGTGAGATAAGTCAACTGGATTGACACTACAGACCGAAACACTAAATCACTATGGCTGTTACGACTAACTCTCATATTTGGTGAACCGATTCGTAACTTTCATAATTTCAATTTGTTATTCATGATCACAAGAACAGAATATTCATGAAAGAGGAAGTGTCATAAAAGGAGTGTTTCTACCTCAATTTGGGTATTATTTGTCAAAGCAACAAATGGAAACTGGAATATATCCAAGCCAGGCAGGATTACAGTCTACTCTTATATAATCAGTTTGACAGTAATGTGGTCGCTGTTCCTTGTCGTGATAAATTTACACTGGCAACAAGGTCAAAACATGTCAAAGAAATAATTTTCAGGGCTCCAGATAACTTTTGGGGGCATGGGTGTACTTACACCTCATACTGCAAGAGAATTTTGAAGGAGTACTGACATGTTTTTGTGTGAGTGAGTGAGTTAGTGATGTGGTTTGGTTTTTTTATAAAATAAAACAACATTTCAGCTATTAAACTTTACACATGTTAGACGTACAAAGGTATTTATGTGCGTACATGATACCCTTGAAATCTTATATTATGTCGTACTTCATTGATTGTTAGGTGTACATTACGCCTGTATGCCCCTTATCTGTAGCCCTGATGTTGTAATTGTTTCACGGAATGTAGTGAATAATACATGAACTGCTGTCTTGGTCCTGTATTCACTTCCTAATATTGATATTTGTTGAACAATATTCATGATATGTAACATTATCGCCTCAAAGTGAATTTGTTGCTGCCCTACTTAACACCCAACAACCAGAGAGGGCTCAAGCCTGCCCAATCCACCAGCATCACTAAACACTACACCATGCCCTACCACACCATATTACAGCACAGCATGACATGCCATACTATACTAAATACTTTACTATACTAAATGATATGACATACTAAATACTATACTATACTATCTATACTAAACACTATACTGCTCTAAATACTATAATATACTATACTAAACTGCTCTAAATACTATACTATACTAAATGTTATAACATACTAAATACTATACTACATATACTAAACACTATACTGCTCTAAATGCTATACTATACTGTACTGTACTGTACTATATTATACTAAACAATATACTGCTCTAAATGCTATACAATACTAAATGTTATACTATACTGTACTGTACTGTACTGTACTGTACTATACTTACTATACTAAGGCACCATTCATAATTTATTGCTAGTGGGGGTGATGATGATTTTTATGGAGAAGCATGTACAATGTGAATGACACCCGGCCCCTAAAATTTATGTACAAAAGAAGTGACCCCCCTGCATGTCATGTACAAAATCAATCAACCCCCCACCCCACCCTTCCCATTATTTCTAAGCATAATTTTATGTACAAAATTGTTGAACACCCCCACCCCAGTATGTGTGTACAAAATTGCTGACCTCTTAGCTCCCCAGAACAAAATGGGTGGGCCCCCAATCATCATCACCCCCTAGCCATGAATTATGAACGGTCCCTCAGGGGTGGAAATAACTTTAAAATTGCTAGTGTACTCCGGTACAGTGGCACATGTAAAATCACTTGCCCTGATAATTTTTCCACTATACCGTCTGTTTTCTTGTTGATTTTTAAAATAAACAACAAAATTAACATTGGAAATCAACTGGACACCGGTAGAGTGTGATATAAAAATTTGCTTGCCCGACAGAAAAAAACACTGGACTCGGACGTAGGGCAATGGGTTATTTCCACCCCTGTCCCTAAATGCTTTTAATACAAAACACAACTCTTCACTACTCTACGTTACACAACGCAACGCCACACTACATTACACAAGGTCTTACATATTTTTGGCAAAGATGGCCAGCTTGATGACCACACTGACCATGATGAAGACTATCAGCAGTATAGACAGAAATGCCCACTGTGAAGAAAAATAGCAACAAACATTAGACATATCCTTACCTGAGAACCTCAAGCAAAATATCACTTTTATTTCCTAAGTTTTCATTTCTACAATGAATTAAACATGAACCATAAGAACATTGGTAGCATTTACAAAAAGTTGCAAGTTTCAGTTTTCAAAATACTTTTCCACGGTTCCTACTTTCTTTGTGAGCTGATATTTCCATGATATCTCAATGCTTCTCACAACTATCCTGAAACTATTCATGAACAGCTTTCAAATGATGGATGTTTCTGCAAGAATTGGAGACAAAAGTCATGGAAGGAAATTCATTGGCAGGTTTTCTTTAACATTGCCATTATAATAATTCTCTTGGAAATCCAGTAATGCCATTTACATCTAAGGCAAGTCATCTTTCAAACTTCTGTGAGTCAGGGGAGATAACTCACCTTTCCAAGTCGGGCAATATTCCTATAGAGTGACAGGGGTAGAGTTATGATCAGTGTTGAAATAAAGATGATAAACTGGCGGTTGCCCAGTACAGAGTGAATTAATGTCTCTTCTGAAACAACAACACAGCAACGATGCAACAGATAACATGATTTCAAAAGTTAGTGTTTATACTTGGAAAGAACTCTTTAAAGGCTAAAATGATAAATGCTTCTGGTTTTCAATGGTTTATTAAATTTCAGGTCAGGCAACACGTTGATGACTGTCACACATAAATATATCTACTAACATTTGTTTGTTGTTTAATGCCACACTCAGCAATATTCAGCTAAATGGTGGAGTCTGGACAATCCAGTGATCAACAGCATGAACACCAATCTACACAGCTGGGATACGTATATGATGTGTCAACCTTGTAAACGAGCCTGACCACCCGATCCTGTGAGTGGCCTGACCACCCAATCTCGTCTTATGACATGCATGGGTTGTTGAAGACCAAATTCGAACCCAGATCGTCATGGAGATATGGTGAAATGGGGTTGATGGTGAAAGTGAATAGGGTTTTACGCTGCTTTCAGCAATATTTCAGCAAAATTTCAGCAATGTCACATCACTGGACACCAGTAAAGGACTTAACACATTATGCTCAGATTTCAAATCAAACCTACGCCTTCTATGTTACGAGTGGATGCTTTAACTGCTAGGTTACCTCCCCACCCTGAAATGGGGCTCAACGTTGTTTGTGTGGCAGTCACACAGGTAGACAAGCAAGGGATACAGTGGACCTATTTTCTCCTCCAATAAGACAGGAATACTAGGAACCATTTCTGCCACAATCTCAAAGTATCAACAACATTTGTCCGAACAATAAGCATGAATTGTACAGAATGGAGTCCAAGGTATAGGCTGTAAAACATCCGATAATGTTACTTACCCTCTCCACCAAACCAAAGAACGATCTTGGTAAGTGTGTCGCCGATGATGACATTGTAGCTGACCATTGCTGAAAGAACAGATGGTTAGTTTAAAAACATCATCACATACCATGTACAAGCTTAAGTTTCCTGATCTCCATTGATGTGAATGTTGAAATTTACCAAATACAATTATACTCGAAACATAGCCATGGTAAGATATAGTCTTGGAAGACATGAAAGAATACAAGTGTAGACACCACAAGCAACGCAAAGATATGAGATATTGTCTTGTAATAGTAAGGATATTAAACAAAACTAGGGGAGAAACAATGTTAAGATTTAGTCTTGTAATCGTGAGGATATTAAACAAAACTAGGGGAGACACAATGTTAAGATTTAGTCTTGTAATAGTAAGAATATTAAACAAAACTGGGGGAGACACAATGTTAAGATTTAGTCTTGTAATCGTAAGAATATTAAACAAAACTAGGGGAGATACAATGTTAAGATTTAGTCTTGTAATAGTAAGAATATTAAACAAAACTGGGGGAGACACAATGTTAAGATTTAGTCTTGTAATCGTAAGAATATTAAACAAAACTGGGGAGACACAATGTTAAGATTTAGTCTTGTAATAGTAAGAATATTAAACAAAACTGGGGACACAATGTTAAGATTTAGTCTTGTAATAGTAAGAATATTAAACAAAACTGGGGAGACACAATGTTAAGATTTAGTCTTGTAATCGTAAGAATATTAAACAAAACTAGGGGAGATACAATGTTAAGATTTAGTCTTGTAATAGTAAGAATATTAAACAAAACTGGGGAGACACAATGTTAAGATTTAGTCTTGTAATCGTAAGGATATTAAACAAAACTAGGGGAGATACAATGTTAAGATTTAGTCTTGTAATAGTAAGAATATTAAACAAAACTGGGGGAGACACAATGTTAAGATTTAGTCTTGTAATCGTAAGAATATTAAACAAAACTAGGGGAGATACAATGTTAAGATTTAGTCTTGTAATAGTAAGAATATTAAACAAAACTGGGGGAGACACAATGTTAAGATTTAGTCTTGTAATCGTAAGAATATTAAACAAAACTAGGGGAGATACAATGTTAAGATTTAGTCTTGTAATAGTAAGAATATTAAACAAAACTGGGGGAGACACAATGTTAAGATTTAGTCTTGTAATCGTAAGAATATTAAACAAAACTAGGGGAGATACAATGTTAAGATTTAGTCTTGTAATAGTAAGAATATTAAACAAAACTGGGGAGACACAATGTTAAGATTTAGTCTTGTAATAGTAAGAATATTAAACAAAACTGGGGAGACACAATGTTAAGATTTAGTCTTGTAATCGTAAGAATATTAAACAAAACTGGGGGAGACACAATGTTAAGATTTAGTCTTGTAATAGTAAGAATATTAAACAAAACTGGGGGAGACACAATGTTAAGATTTAGTCTTGTAATAGTAAGAATATTAAACAAAACTGGGGAGACACAATGTTAAGATTTAGTCTTGTAATCGTAAGAATATTAAACAAAACTAGGGGAGATACAATGTTAAGATTTAGTCTTGTAATAGTAAGAATATTAAACAAAACTGGGGAGACACAATGTTAAGATTTAGTCTTGTAATCGTAAGGATATTAAACAAAACTAGGGGAGATACAATGTTAAGATTTAGTCTTGTAATAGTAAGAATATTAAACAAAACTGGGGAGACACAATGTTAAGATTTAGTCTTGTAATCGTAAGAATATTAAACAAAACTAGGGGAGATACAATGTTAAGATTTAGTCTTGTAATAGTAAGAATATTAAACAAAACTGGGGAGACACAATGTTAAGATTTAGTCTTGTAATCGTAAGAATATTAAACAAAACTAGGGGAGATACAATGTTAAGATTTAGTCTTGTAATAGTAAGAATATTAAACAAAACTGGGGGAGACACAATGTTAAGATTTAGTCTTGTAATCGTAAGAATATTAAACAAAACTAGGGGAGATACAATGTTAAGATTTAGTCTTGTAATAGTAAGAATATTAAACAAAACTGGGGGAGACACAATGTTAAGATTTAGTCTTGTAATAGTAAGAATATTAAACAAAACTGGGGGAGACACAATGTTAAGATTTAGTCTTGTAATCGTAAGAATATTAAACAAAACTAGGGGAGACACAATGTTAAGATTTAGTCTTGTAATAGTAAGAATATTAAACAAAACTGGGGGAGACACAATGTTAAGATTTAGTCTTGTAATCGTAAGAATATTAAACAAAACTAGGGGACATACAATGTTAAGATTTAGTCTTGTAATAGTAAGGATATTAAACAAAACTAGGGGAGACACAATGTTAAGATATAGTCTTGTAATAGTAAGAATATTAAACAAAACTGGGGGAGACACAATGTTAAGATTTAGTCTTGTAATAGTAAGAATATTAAACAAAACTGGGGGAGACACAATGTTAAGATTTAGTCTTGTAATAGTAAGAATATTAAACAAAACTGGGGGAGACACAAAGTTAAGATATTGTCTTGCAGGACATTAAATAACACCAGAGTCAACACCACAAGCAATGGTAAGATATAGAACGAGGACTAAGTTATACAACTTGTTTATTCTGTTATCAACCTCTTCTATTGTATAAACAACTCATATTCACCTCATCTATTGTTCAAACATATCTCATGTACATACATCATCCAAAATTACCTCTCACGTACACCTTGCTTGACAACGACATTAGAATCTATGTCAAACATCGCCTATACAGAATAAAGAGGCTGTATATCCATAAAAATAGTCCTCATTCTTCATCTACCTAACTTCTAGAATGCCAGTCAAAGAAGTCATGGTAAGATAAAGTCTTGTAGGACATTAAACAAAACTAGGGAAACACAATGGTAAGATAGAGTCTTGTAGGACATTAAACAAAACTAGGGAAACACAATGGTAAGATAGAGTCTTGTAGGACATTAAATATAACCAGTGGAGACACATGGTTTATACATAGTCTGATAGGACATTAGATCAAGGGTTTTAAAAAAAGATATCAAAACTGAATTATTTAATTATTTTTACATTATAGGCGATAAAGCGCAAGACATGATTTCCCAAAGGATCCACAAATCCAATCTACAAGTTCAATGTCTCAAAAATGGCACTTAATTGCCTTCTGAGCTTAGAATGCCTAACTCCTGGCCTCAATCGATCACAGAACCCATTTATAACACCACGTGCGCAGCAATTGCATTTGGTATGCCCCCGCACACTCTATCATACAAAACATACTATTCAATCAGCAAATAGCTTTGTTATACCCTAGCCACGTGTATATGGCTGTGTCATCTATTCTTCTGAAGGCTTGCACCAGTTGATACTATTCCCCTGAAACTGTAAGTTATTACCCTAAAAACTGATCATTCACGAGGAGGAGATTGCACCATTTTCAAACAGTGGAAATATAATGAGCATCAATTCCAGCTGGCTGGAACCGAGAAGACCGATAACGCTGATTCCAAGATTAATGGTAACATTTCCTCAATGAAGCGTTCACATCTGCCCCTAGAGAATTCTTTCAAAATCACATTCTTTAACTGATTGATGAATAAAAACATTTCTCTGCATTATGCAAATGCAAAAAAGTGATAATTTGGGACTTTCTGGAAGACGTGAATTCTGCGCAGGTTGCAGATTCTCTTTCCATGCTCAACAGATAAGATATAATGATACCATTTGTCGAATTCATGATTCCAATATTATGTCCAAAATTGCTTCACATGGGTGTAAAGAATCATATTAAATCATGATATAGTGAGTGAGTGAGTGAGTGATTTGGGTTTTACGCCGCTTTTAGCAATATTCTAGCAATATCACGGCAGGGAATACCAGAAATGGGCTCAACACATTGTGCCCATGTGAAGAATCAAACCCAAGCTTTCGGCATGACGAGCGAACACTCTAACCACAAGGCTACCCCACCGCCCCAAATTATGATATTCATATAGTAAATAATGATTCATATTGAATCAAATCACTCTCATGGACATATAACACAGAACTAGAATGTGTATCTGCTCATAAAAGACATTTGACTCTCACGTCCCTTTTTTGATACATCAATTCCTGTTGTTGCTATAAGTGTGTTTACAATGGAAAACACAATAATTGCCAAAAATACTGGTACAGATTCTGATTAATGAATGAGTGAGTTTAGTTTTACGCTGCACTTAGCCATATTCTAGTTATATGGCGGTGATCTGTAATCTGCAGAATTTGCGATCAACAGGATTGGCATAGATCTACCAATTGGGATTCAATGACAGGTGTCAACCAAGTCAGCGAGCCTTACCACCCGATCCCGTTAGTCGCCTCTTACAACAAAGTAAGGGTTGTTGAAGACCAATTCTAGCCCGGATCTTCACTGGTTTTGATCAATGCATTGATGAAGCTACATTTCACTTGATTACATGTAGATTCTTTACAGGAGATATGACAATGGAACATCCAGTTCGATGATGATGGATGTGTTGTGCAAGGAGACGTACCCACAATGAACAGTTTGTAGCCTAATGCTACTCAGAAAGACTTGAAAAATTCCAAATTGTTTCCATGGAAACACAAGAAATTAAAAATCTCAAAAATTGTAAAAACATAAAAGGAGGCCACATGGTCATTGCATCTGTAGTTGAGCATCATGGCTTAGAAATGAAGTCAAGCATTCCACACATGTTCAAAGTTCTTTCCACGGAAACAGGCAATAAATATTTACAAATATATCAAAATAGCAAAAGTTCGTTTAGCTCATCAGATATGCATGTTGAAAGTCATGAGTCAGAAACAAACACTGTCATTTTGAGACAAACTTGAAACTGTTTCAATGAAAATCTAAAAAAAAAAATGAAATGATTTTTGAATAGCAAAATACACCAGGTAAGTTGATGAGCAATGCACACACCAAGTTCATTTCAAAATATTGACATTATAGCCTTAAACTGGAAAGAAACATTAATGCAAACAAGAACTAAACCCAAAACAATATGTCTCCTGTCCCTTTAAGGGGGCAAACAGTTAGGTTATATTTTGTGATAAACATATAAGGCCATCAATCCCAACATAATATGTTTCAACCAAAATGTCTCTGACAGGTGTAGGACGCTGTGGTATAAACTCTGATCTTCTCAGTGTGACACAGTGATGACTGATACTCAATTACTTTTCATCTAAACCAAAGGAGGAACTTCAGAATGGCCGAAACAGATTGCATGCCTCTGGTCCATATGACCAGTATCTTCAACACTGACGAGCAAACTAGGCCACCCCAAAGCCTTGTGATTCTGATAATGGCCAAAAGACATTGTACTGAAGAGGTGAGAACTAACACTTCATTCATTGTCCACATACTGTTACTGCAACCAGGTGTCTTTGTACTTTCTTCTTGTTATAAACATAGAACAGTACTAAAATACGATCACTGGATTGTCTGGTAGAGACTTGATTACTTACGGTCTGCCGCCATATAGCTAGAATATTGCAGACACGCAACAAAGAGAACTAAAAATTGTCATTTTTTTTTAGTCAATCAATTACAAAGAATTCAGAATGTTTCAGAATTGATTGTTCTTATTATGTTTTGTCATTTTGGGGAAGGGGGAGGCAATCCAGTGATCAATATAGTGAGCAACAATCCCCACCATCAGGGTACATTACACACTGTCAACCAGGGCCTCGTTCCACATGGCAATCATAAGCACTACGACTATCGTACTCTCATGTTAGTGTTAAAATCGCTTTGTGGAATAGTGCGGTATGATCACATTGTGGAATGGTGAGCTAAGATCACATCGTGGAATGGTGTGCTAAGGTCGCATTGTGGAATGGTGCGCAAAGGTCGCATTGTGTAATGGTGCGCTAAGATCGCATTGTGTAATGGTGTGCTAAGATCGCATTGTGGAGTGGTGCGTTAAGATCACATTGTGGAGTGGTGCGTTAAAATCACATTGTGGAATGGTGCACTAAGATCACATTGTGGAATGGTGCGCTAAGATCACATTGTGGAATGGTGCGTTAAGATCACATTGTGGAATGGTGTGCTAAGATCACATTGTATAATGGTGCTCTAAGATTACATTGTGGACTGGTGCGTTAAGATCACATTGTGGAGTGGTGCGTTAAGATCACATTGTGGAATGGTGCACTAAGATCACATTGTGGAATGGTGCGCTAAGATGAAATTGTGGAATGGTGTGCTAAGATCGCATTGTGGAGTGGTGTGCTAAGATCACATTGTGGAATGGTGCGCCAAGATCGCATTGTGTGGAATAGTGTGCTAAGATCGCATTGTGGAGTGGTGTGCTTAGATCACATTGTGGAATAGTGTGCTAAGATCGCATTGAGTGGAATAGTGTGCTAAGATCGCATTGAGTGGAATAGTGCGCTAAGATCGCAGACACTATCTGCCTGCAGAAGCAATGACCTAGAACTGCTGTCACATACAAGTTTTCAGCAGCTGTTCACTAAACCGTCCAATTAGTAACAGTCTACTAATACACCCATCAGCAGATCATCTGTGTGCAACAATAGCATGACAGCTTAATCAGTGTCAGGAGTATCATCTGTGTGCAACAATAACATGACAGCTTAATCAGTGTCAGGAGTATCATCTGTGTGCAACAATAACATGACAGCTTAATCAGTGTCAGGAGTATCATCTGTGTGCAACAATAACATGACAGCTTAATCAGTGTCAGGAGTATCATCTGTGTGCAACAATAACATGACAGCTTAATCAGTGTCAGGAGTATCATCTGTGTGCAACAATAGCATGACAGCTTAATCAGTGTCAGGAGTATCATCTGTGTGCAACAATAGCATGACAGCTTAATCAGTGTCAGGAGTATCATCTGTGTGCAACAATAGCATGACAGCTTAATCAGTGTCAGGAGTATCATCTGTGTGCAACAATAACATGACAGCTTAATCAGTGTCAGGAGTATCATCTGTGTGCAACAATAACATGACAGCTTAATCAGTGTCAGGAGTATCATCTGTGTGCAACAATAGCATGACAGCTTAATCAGTGTCAGGAGTATCATCTGTGTGCAACAATAGCATGACAGCTTAATCAGTGTCAGGAGGATCATCTGACATGAAACGTGTCAAATTACATTACCATTTATATTGTACTGTATTTCTATCATTCTTTCAAACACCCTATCTAGCAAAATTTGTTTGTGGTTTAATGCCGTGTTCAGCAATATTCAAAGTATATTACCATTCTCTGCAAATCATCGAGTCTAGACCAGGCAATTCACTGTCATAACAAGCATCGATCTACACAATCAGGACACAATGACATGCACTGCTACAAGCATGCATTGCTGAAGGCTATTCTAATCCATGGGCCAGATCTTCACACGTCATTACATCATCAAGGTTAGGCAGAAATCTAGCATTGGCATTAGACTGACTGAGTTTGGTTTTACGCCGCTTTTAGCAATATTCCAGCAACATCACGGCGGGGGACACCAGAAATGGGCTTCACACATTGTGCCCATGTGGGGATTCGAACCCGGGTCTTCGGCGTGACGAGCCAACACTTTAACCATTAGGCTACCCCACCGCCCCATTGGAATTAGAAATGCAACTTGAAAGATGATTGGATGGTTTTATCAATAACAAAGAAATCAGTTGTGAAATCTGTGAGCCAATTATTTGTTCGTGTTCATCTTAATGAGTGTGTTGAGATGGTCACCAAATTTAGCATAAATGTTAAACAGAATAATGACACAATGCTTGTTATAGAACAGTTCCATGCTGATTTGAGCTAGAGTACCTATGAGTGATAGAGTGATAGAGTGAGTGAGTGAGTGAGTGAGTGAGTGAGTGAGTGAGTGAGTGAGTGATTGAGTGAGTGATTGAGTGATTGATTGATTGATTGATTGATTGAGTGAGTGAGTGAGTGAGTGAGTGAGTGAGTGAGTGAGTGAGTGAGTGAGTGAGTGAGTGAGTGAGTGAGTGAGGTTTTACGCCACTTTTAGCAATATTCCAGCAATGTCACGACGGGGGGAACCAGAAATGTGATTCACACATCGTACCAATGTGGGGAATAGAACCCGGACCTTTGGCTTGACGAGTGAACCCTTTAACCACTCGGTTACCCTACCACCCCAGAGGACCCATGACATTGAAGTAGTCACCATGAGCGATGAAGACCCTGTTTGACCACGGCCAGGCTTATGCAAGTTGTCATATGTTCCAGGTGGTTAATTAGGGGTCAGTGACAGAGAGCCCTTACCTATAAAGGGGTAGAGAAACTGCAGAACGGTGAGCACGTAGAACCCAGGGCGACCGAATGCCACCAGCACCATATCCTGGAAGAAGAATACAGATGTTGAAGAACAGATAGAGGAACATAAAAACATTGCCCGCAAAACAGGCGATCTACAGCATTTCCCACTATTATCAACGGTGTTTCCCCAAAGCATCGATAGTGCTTCATCATCATCGTCCCAAATATAATTAATGTTTATCCTAAATCAGCAGTGATTGCAATGACATCATCAATACCTTGATTTTGGTTTAAGAAAACATCAACAATGTTTCCTACATCATCAACAATGTTTCCTATATCATCAACAATGTTTCCTACATCATCAATAATGTTTCCTATATCATCAACAAGGTTTCCTACATCATCAATGTTTCCTATATCATCAACAATGTTTCCTACATCATCAACAGTGTTTCCTACATCATCAACCGTGTTTCCTATATCATCAACAGTGTTTCCTATATCATCAACAGTGTTTCCTATATCATCAACAAGGTTTCCTACATCATCAACAATGTTTCCTATATCATCAACAATGTTTCCTACATCATCAACAGTGTTTCCTATATCATCAACAGTGTTTCCTACATCATCAACAATGTTTCCTATATCAACAATGTTTCCTACATAATCAACAATGTTTCCTACATAATCAACAATGTTTCCTACATCATCAACCGTGTTTCCTATATCATCAACAGTGTTTCCTATATCATCAACAATGTTTCCTATATCATCAACAGTGTTTCCTATATCATCAACAGTGTTTCCTATATCATCAACAATGTTTTCTATATCATCAACAGTATTTCCTATATCATCAACAATGTTTTCTATATCATCAACAGTATTTCCTATATCATCAACAGTGTTTCCTGAATATCATCTACATACTGCCTAAACCTACATGACGCTGACAAATCATTGATCAGTATCTGGGTTGCTGATCCAGTTTTGACTAAGGGTGGCAACTCTGGATAATGCATCAGTGCCTGTGCCTCGCAAGTGGTGGTCAATCATCACATCATCACCCATGCGTGTAAACATTATTACACAGATACTGCAATCAGTACTCAATCCAAAGTCACATATAAACTCTCTGTCCACTTCAGGTAACACATGTGGCTCAGATGTCTAAGTTGATTCAAATATAAGCATCTCCTCGGCACTCTAGAAACTAATGATCATGGGTTCGAATCCTGCTTTGCCGGATCATGTTTCTAGATTTGTCACACCATACCTTCTGGGAATAACTAAACAGGTAAAGGTCTGAGACCTGCATTATTTGGGGCTTTTCTCCCCAGTTATGATGGCATGCCAAGAAGTGACGGCAATGCTATAAACAGCAGCATTTCACCATATTGTTTTACTCACCTAGCCACACACTTTCTCCAGCTATGAAATGGGTGTAGATAATTTGGCCTTTGTATGGTGCTAGACAGCACACCAAAATGTTTTCAAAGACCTAACAAGAGTAAAAGTATATAGATATTTCTGAGCATCGGTCTACGCTTAACATCTTGCTACGCAACTGGATTACAAAAACAGGCATCAATCCAGTCAGCGAGCCTGACCACCCAATCCCTTCAGTGGCCTCTTATGACAAACGTGGGTTGCTGTAGACAGGTCTAAGCCAGATCTTCATAGGTTCAAATATTTAAAAATCTACACAATGATCAGGTATGTCTTTGGCTGTTTGAATGGTATGAGCATAGAAAATGATCTCCCACCTACAAGAAGTGAAATCTACAAAACAACTGCAGAATGTCCAAAAGGTCTCTTGAAAGGGGGCAGTGGGTAGCCCAGTGGTTAAAGCGTTCGCTCGTCACGCCGAAGACCCAGGTTCGATTCCCCACATGGGTACAATGTGTGAAGTCCATTTCTGGTGTCCCTAGCAATGATATTGCAAGGCTTATAATTGATAAAAGCGGCGTAAAACCGTACTCACTCACTCACTCACTCTCTTGAAGAACAGTACAAATTTACAAGATCACACCAATAAGCTATGGCTGCTAACACCCTGATATATACCTGGGAGGATCTTGTTTGTCATCCTTGCTTAACTAGAGTGAGTGAGTGAGTGAGTGAGTGAGTTTAGTTTTACGCCGCACTCAGCAATATTCCAGCTATATGGCGGCGGTCTGTAAATAATCGAGTCTGGACTAGACAATCCAGTGATCAACAGTATGAGCATCGATCTGCGCAAATGGGAACCTATGACATGTGTCAACCAAGTCAGAGAGCCTGACAACCTGATCCCATTAGTCGCCTCTTACGACAAGCATAGTCGCCTTTTGTAGCAAGCATGGGTTGCTGAAGACCTATTTTACCCCGGATCTTCACGGGTCTGCTTAACTAGAAGTAGATAAACATCAAAGTCATTTTGCCAAAAGAGCATGCCATACAGAATTGCCTTGTCAACCCATTTTCCACAAATAATGATTGGGATTCAAATATAGCGGAAAATGACACAATGATTTATCACAATATGACACAATGATATATCACAATATAACACAGTGATCATCGCACGATATGACAAAATAATCAGAACACAATATGACACACCTGCCATTATCACATTGCCAATTTTGTAAATTGTCCATTGATTTCCAGCACTAAAACTATGCCTGAAGGCAGCACTGTACATCAGTGTCAGATTGGTCTGTTTTCTCGGCCTCGGAACACACTATAAAGAGATGTTGACACCATCAATTCAGTCTCTTTACCTGCTCTGACTTCCTGTGTTAATTCAGGACCACCATGAACACCATATTTCCTCTAATAATTGCCACCTTGAATAGTGGTGGGTATTGCAGACAATTTCTAATTGCGATGTGAAAGCATATATTGCCATATGTATTGCAATATATTGCAAGAAGTATTTTTAAACAAAAAAAACTACTTATAATAATATTGGGCACAAATGAAACAAGGAAATATCCGAAGATTTCCGAGTGTTACGAAGGCTCGCTGACTTGGTTGGCACATGTCATTGTGTCCTAAATGTGTAGATTGATGCTCATGCTGTTGATCACTGGATCATCTGGTCCAGACTCAATTATACTGAACAACAAAAGAAACGCAAGTTTCGAAAAAATGAAATCTCATAAAAGTAAGCGTTCATGTTGATGAAACGTTCATGGTAAAGTGACAAAAAGCCAGACTTGCATTTCTTTTGCTGTTCAGTATATTTCCAGACTTCCGCCATATGGCTGGAATATTGCTGAGTGTGGTGTTAAACAACAATCCAACCAGACAAATTCTAACCCCAATTGTCACGGGTGTCTTTGGTATGGTTTCAAGAATGAAGTCTTATGCTTCAGAGAGTGAGAGTTTAATGTTGCGTTCAGTCATCACCGTTGCCTCATGTCATTGTGGAGAATCAGTGAAGGTGAAACCATGAACACAGGTGGGGGGGCCTAATCAGCACGAATCAGACCCACAATGAGCAGATCCTGACATGGTTAAGGGGTATAACTCTGTATAACCATTTGCAATGTCCTAGACCACTGAACCGACTGTGTCCGTCGTTTCAGTCACATAAACCTGGGCTACACATTTTGTTTACACATTACATAATATTTACACCTAAATTACAGTAATGATTTGAATAAAATGGTCATGACCAGAAAAGGCAAAACATGTCACTGTGTCATGAGAGCTAGAACTGATACTTTACGAGTCTTAATTTACAAAAATCAATTTATACTCTTAGCCTCCAAAACTCCCCAATAACTTTTCTGGTCATGTTTATCCATACACAAGTGGAGGGGATTCATTGCTGTCTCCGTGCGAGTCTGCTAGAACTGTCTTTAAAGCAGCAGAAGATAAATAATGGACCATAGAATATTCACAACTTTATCAGACAGCCTAATAATAGCTGGGCGCCTATGTCCGGAATAATGATTGGTGTCTGTGATCGGACTCAATGTGCCCGAGCGAACATGACCCAACTTCCTCCATAACCCACAAATCTCCATCTGTTCGGATGACGCCTCAGCAGCTGAACTCTTTGATCTCGCCACCGCTGATAAGGACACGTTTCCAATCAGAGGCTTAGTTTCAGAATGACAGACCAGCAGTATTTTCTATTTTGTTTTTGTTCTCAGAAGACTGAAATCATGTCAGCTTCGCGTACAATTTTGGGAAGGAAAGGTGACTCACTTGTTAAAATTCAGATAAAAACTGGGGCAATAACACCATGCTGGAATTGTCACCTGCCACAATCTTTGTGTAATTGATTCCGTCGGAAATCTATTGGCCTATTGGCATCGTGTTGCAACTGTTTCTGAGCAATGGCTTTCAACTCAACCTGATGCAGCAAGGTTCACAGACATTCCATCAATAATGGTCACAAATTACAAGGTTAAAGGATTTGGCATCCTCTTTAAAGGATTACAGTCAGACCAAAATAGATCTGAGCCATGCTTGAGACGATGGCGCCATAGATTGGTACTGCAATGACTGTTAGTAAAATACGTAGTTGTCATCAGCATCATCTTATAGATACACAGAACTTATCAACCAGCTGACATGTGCTACTGTTATTGTTTGGTTATACTGAGTGAGTGAGTATGATTTTACACCACTTTAAGCAATATTCCAGCAAAATCATTTTGGGTTCACCGAAATTGAGCTTCACAACTGTACTCCATGTCGGGAATTGAACCCTGGTTTTTGCCATGATGAGGCCAACCACTAGGCTACCTCAGACACCACCCCTGTACACAACAAACTAACTAGATTTAACTTTACTGACTAGCAGGGTATCCTAGCTAAGTGTGTTTCCACACAAGCAGTGTTTATTGGTTAATAGGGTTTCTAGACTCACAGGGTTTCTAGACTAATAGAGTTTCCAGGTTAAGAGGGGCTACAGACTAGCAGTGCTTCCATATTGTTAAAGGGGTTTCCAGACTAGCAGGGTTTCCAGACTATAGCAAGGTTTCCTGACTATAGCTTGGTTTCCAGACTATGGCAAGGTTTCCAGACTATAGCAGTGTTTCCAGACAAACAAGGTTTCCAGACTGACAAGGTTTCCAGACTAGCAGGGTTTCCAGACTATAGCAAGGTTTCCATACTATAGTAAGGTTTCCATACTATAGTTTCCAGACTAACAAGGTTTCCTGACTATAGCAGACTAGGTTTAAAGGGTTTCCAGACTATAGCAAGGTTTCCAGTTTAAAGGGTTTCCAGACTAAAGGGTTTCCAGGTTTTCCTGTTTAAAGGGTTTCCAGACTAACAAGGTTTCCTGTTTAAAGGGTTTCCAGACTAGCAAGGTTTCCTGTTTAAAGGGTTTCCAGACTAGCAAGGTTTTCCTGTTTAAAGGGTTTCCAGACTAGCAAGGTTTCCTGTTTAAAGGGTTTCCAGACTAGCAAGGTTTCCTGTTTAAAGGGTTTCCAGACTAGCAAGGTTTCCTGTTTAAAGGGTTTCCAGACTAGCAAGGGTTTTCCTGTTTAAAGAGTTTCCAGACTAGCAAGGTTTCCTGTTTAAAGAGTTTCCAGACTAGCAAGGTTTCCTGTTTAAAGGGTTTCCAGACTAGCAAGGTTTCCTGTTTAAAGGGTTTCCAGACTAGCAAGGTTTCCTGTTTAAAGGGTTTCCAGACTAGCAAGGTTTCCTGTTTAAAGAGTTTCCAGACTAGCAAGGTTTCCTGTTTAAAGAGTTTCCAGACTAGCAAGGTTTCCTGTTTAAAGGGTTTCCAGACTAGCAAGGTTTCCTGTTTGAAAGGGTTTCCAGACTAGCAAGGTTTCCTGTTTAAAGGGTTTCCAGACTAGCAAGGTTTCCTGTTTAAAGGGTTTCCAGACTAGCAAGGTTTCCTGTTTAAAGGGTTTCCAGACTAGCAAGGTTTCCTGTTTAAAGGGTTTCCAGACTAGCAAGGTTTCTAAAAGAGTTTTAAAAAAAGACTAAAAGAGTTTCCAGACAACAACAATAATCAAACTGAAACAAAGACAATACAGTTTCTGTCCAATCCTGATCAAGATGAAATAAAACAGAAACACCATTCAGCAGTAATATAAAACACTTGTACTAAACAACCAAACAGAGTACTGAGTTTGATCAAGTTGTTTTTTCAGTGCCAGGATATTGAAGCGTACGTAAGCAGTAAGTCAAGTACGCCGCTTCGAGCAATATTCCAGCAATACCACGGCGGGGGACACCAGAAATGGACTTCACACATGGGGAATTGATCACAGGCCCTTGTGTCTTTGTGACGTTTATTTAAAAAAAAATATATATATAAACATTTGAGATGAACCCCGACTCGAAATGCTTCACAGTACAATACATCATGACATGTTATTCCTGCAAGTCGATTAAACCCGATTTTGACTCTCAACTAAACGACCTTGACACAAATGGAGGACGATATATCTGCACAAAACGGGGGTGTGGCCGAAGCAAGCTTGCTGACTTGGATGACACATGTCACGATATCCTAATTGCATAGATCGATGCTTATGATGTTGATCACTGGATTGTCTGGTCCTGACTCAATTATTTACAGGCCGCCGCCATATAGCTGGAATATTGCGACAGCCACCATATTGCTGGAATATTGTGACAGCCACCATACTGCTATTATTTCCACTCCTGACATCCACAACTCCATTGAAATCAAATATATCATTCATACATTCAAACTTAATATAAACTGTTTTGAGCTCAAGGAAAAACGCATATAATTCATATCCTTACTTTATCAGCCATTTATCATTCTAGTGTACCACTGTGTTTTACTGCATTAAGCTCCCTGATCTAATAAGCTCCCATCCAACTTCAAGACCAATTTGCAAATATTCTTCATATGCGCCCCTGAGTCTAAATATTAACATCACAGTCAGTCTTTATTTGCCTATATTACCGACATTTTTATATAGAAGGACAAGGGGTATAAAATTCAGTTTCATTGAGGCCCGAGATAAGATAATGCTTATTACAGTGAATGTGGTACCGGTAGTTATGTTGCACCCCCTCCACATTATGCCCAAGAAGAGTGAAGCCAAGAGCTGCAGTCTGGCTTCCATCAATGACACTTCCCCTTATCCCAACTGACAGGTTCCTCATATCACCAGGAGTAATCTGATCCAGAGGGAGGAAATGAGGTAGATAAATAGCCTCTCCCTGAAAGTAACCTGATAAACTATCGATACACACTTGGAAAATCTAACATTGAGTTTAAATAATGTTCAGTGTGATATCTGCAGTTGAGACAGCAAAGTCTGGACAAGATAATTTCCGGAAATCTTTGCCATTACTTTCTCGATCATATTGAAGTGTTTTATTATCTCTACTCGTTGATATCACGTGGCCAGATATTCTTTCTACGGGGTACATATCCTAAGGTCTTCTGATCCGTATGATATTCTGGATAGGGTTATTGTTGTTTTTTTGTTTTGAACACTCAGCAATATGGCGGTGGTCTGTGAATAATTAAGTCCGGACAAGACCATCCAGTGATCAACATTATGAGCATCGATCTACGCAACTGGGATACGATGACGTCAATCAAGACAGTGAGCCCGAATACCCAGTCCTGTTTGTTATACCCAGTCCCGTTTGTTGCCTCTTACAACAAGCATGGGTATTCCAAATAGGGACAATATCCTACAAGATTCAGTACCCAGCATCGTGCCCTTCTCCAATGTCCTTAAACCCCTTTACCCTTCCAAACAAGGAAAATACCCGGGTTAGAAGTAGTTGTCAGCAACCCATGCTTATCATGAGAGGCAACTAACAGGATTGGATGGTCAGACTTGTTGACTTTGTTGACATATGTTATCGTACACCAATTGCGTAGATGCTCATGCTGTTGATCACTGGATTGTCTGATCCAGACTCAATTAGTTACAGACAACCGCCATATAGCTGGAATATTGCTGAGTGCCGTGTTAAACAACAAACAAACAAAGAGGTCAGTTGTCATGTCATCCTCTACATCGTAGTGTGTCACACAGTCCCTGGAACAAATTAATTTCCCTTCATCCCAACTCCTACTGCAATTCCACAGAACTAATTACAGATAGTCCAGACATTCTACAGATTCAGGACAAAAGCCTTCATCTAACTGTGGGGCGGTGGGGTAGCCTAGTGGTTAAAGCATTCGCTCGTCACGCCGAAGACCCAAGTTCGATTCCCCACATGGGTACAATGTGTGAAGCCCATTTCTGTCCCTCATCGTGATATTGCTGGAATATTGCTAAAAGTGGCGTAAAACTATTCTCACTCATTCTTACTATGACTTCTATTCAACTGAAAGGCAGTTGTTTCTGTCAAAATTTTACATTTTCAGAGAATACATGCAAATCTGCCAATACAAGTAGGCTTGTCGAGTGAGAGTTGTATAACTTTTGTCCACTTGACAAGACTGCAGTGGAGGAGTGTCTGAGTGATAAGTTTTGTTTAGCTGCCTCCAAGAAGCCCTACAGGATGGAATCCATATAGGACGCTCACACGCAGGGAGAATATATCGAACACCTTTAGTTATTTATGTCTCCATATCCGGTTGACAAACGACTGCTTCTATTTCTGTCCTGCCGTTTCATTATTCCGATATGTCATCCTTCTCCAGTGAGACCATTCTCAAGAACAAAGAGTAGCTTTCTGCCTATTTCCTCTCCGCACAATGAGGTATATATACGGTTCAATACCTTGAAGTATAACACAATGGAGTCAATCTCGGAAGTGGGCTGAGACAAGGCTGTACTTTATGGACCCAGCTGTTTTCATAGTAAATTTTCGGGATTTTAATCAGCCGCTGACAAAAATAGCTGCTTTGCAAAGAAACCTGAATATTTTTTGGTATGAAACTAAAGCTTGATTACAGTGGAAGAATCAACATTGAAATGTCACCAAACATAATTACACCAGCTGTAGTTTCTGTACGTCACCAACTGTTAGAATGTGAATCAAACTTTTTTGGGTATTATTTGGATTACTGACAAGACTCGGCTGCTCGAAATAGATCTGACAAATAATTGCCAAGGAGCAACATCAAAAACACAACTGGCATCATTGATTAACAAGACACAAAGTGCAAAGAGACCTCTTTCAGAATCAGGTTCGGCCAGACCAATTTTATTTCTTGTTTTACGGATCCGCCTGTCATATTTTTTCAAGAATAAGAAAAAAATAATAATTAATTTTTCCCCCACAAAAAATAAAATGCTAATGTTTTTATTGGCCAAAAATGTTAAATTACAAGAAAATTACTTTTAGATTGTTTTTTGGCCCCATATACACATCATAACTTGCCAGAAGTAAAATAATTGTAGCATTAAGAAGGAATATTACTTTGATTATTTATTTTATATATATATTTTTTTTCCCTCCTGCCTTTAGGTTTTCTGAGGACAAATATCCGTAAAACAAGAAATAAACTTGGTCTGGACTTACTTTGTTTTTCAACCAAGAATATCAACCACTATGTCTCCGTGTTCACATTGTTGTACACCTACACAGGCGCCTGGATTCATTCCTGGGGGGCTGGGACTCCCTAATTACCTGCCTCCAAGTTCCACTTTTAAAGTTCTTCTGTTATTATGTCTATGTGAAGTATGCAACACATGATATATTTGGGATTACACTTTCTCAGGAAAGAACAGATTCTAGTACTATTGTTGGGTTGAGTCACATGGAAGCCAAGGTGGCTGAGCGGTCTAGGTGCCTGACTCTGAGAGTGTGGGTTCGAATCCCGGATGGGACTCAACCCAATGAAGGTACAAGAATCTGTACTTTACAAAGAAAGTGTAATCCCAAATATAACATGTGTTACATTTGACCACTTTCTAAATGGAATTGTGTATTTCATAGCTTTCGGCCATGGGAGCCGTGCCAATTAACTCTTATCAGAGGGGTACACAAAGTCCGCAGTCTAGACTACCAGTTGTCCGACTTCCATTTTGGACTCAACCCAATGAAATTACAAGAATCTGTACTTTACTGAGAAAGTGTAATCCCAAATATATCATGTGTTACATTTGCCACTTTCTAAATGACATTGTGTTTTTATGTGAAGTATATTTACATCTAACTATAAATAATATCAGTAATCGCATATGAGTCTGTACCAATATTTGAGGGAAAAATGGGAAACAAAATTTTGTTCTCTTTTATTAACCTTCAAGAGTGTGCACCACAACCATGTCTTGAATGGAAGCTACTACTTTCAGGAACCCTTCAACTGCTGGGTTCTGTAACAGATCTGCAATATATCTGCTGAACATAGAGAAATAATGTTTACGTACCTGGTAGGAATCAGTATTGGATAAGTGTCCAGCCTCAATCAGCAGGAATATAGAGTAATCTGAAAATATAACAAGCACACTACAGATATTTCTGTCACATATTTCTTTCTACAAAAATGTGTACCATTTTGAATGAGTTGGTTTTGATGGCACTTTTAACCATCTCTTCTAAAGTAATAACACATCATATTTTTGATATTTATTTAAAAAAATTATTTCTAGTTAAAGAGAAAAAAGTAACTGAGTCGCCAATCTGACTCTCTTCTGTCATTCCGTGGAGGTGGCCATGTTTCGGTCTCGCGAGGCAGCGAGAGCATGAGATCGCGAAATTATGACGTACGCTACACAACACAGAAGCACCAAATCGAAGCGTTTACCATTGCCGCGTTGGTAGCGGTCTGTATATAATCAAGTCTGGACCAGACAATCCAGTGATCAAGAGCATGAGCATCGATCTATGCAATTGGGATACGATTGCATGTTCCAAGCATGGGTTACAGAAGATCAAGTCTAACCCAGATCTTCACAGGTCAAGACAATTAGGACCATGGCTGACATTTGATAAATGTAAAACTTCATAGAAGTACATATTACAAGATATGACAGCCCCACATGAAGTAAGTAAGTGAGTGAGTGAGTGATATGAAATCTCATTAAATACATAACAGTGACCTGTAAACATAATATTGAGCAGTTTATCTTTTATTTGTTTTTAGTTGTAAAGTGTTTTTAATCTAAAAACATTTATTTTAAGGCAGGCTACATGGAACCAATACTCGTTTAAATCATTACATTTTCTGTAACTTGCGAATACATCAAACTTAATCATATTCATAAAAAATCAGCTTTTGAAATCAATAAACAGAAACACACTGAAAAGAAATAAATATGTGGAACAATTTTGTATTTATCTTATTTAGTTATTGATCCACTGAAAACGAATCTCACAAATATGGAGAAAAAACTTTGACATTTCAAGAAGATTTTCCTGTTTTCCCTGTCATGTCTGTTAATTGATTTCTCTGAAGGATGTGAACTCTTTTATTCATACACAATAACTTTTTTAAAGTGGTCAGATGTAACATGCGGTATGTGGGATAACACTTTCTCAGTAAGGTAAAGATAATATGGGACCTACTACAACCCATATTAAGGCTACAGGATCCACAAGAGTCCGCACCAAATCTACAGGACCTACCAGAGGCCACATCAAGACTACAGGACCTACCAGAGGCCACGTCAAGGCTACAGGATCCACAAGAGTCCGCACCAAATCTACAGGACCTACCAGAGGCCACATCAAGACTACAGGACCTACCAGAGGCCACATCAAGACTACAGGACCTACCAGAGGCCACATCAAGGCTACAGGACCTACCAGAGGCCACATCAAGGCTACAGGACCTACCAGAGGCCACATCAAGGCTACAGGACCTACCAGAGGCCACATCAAGGCTACAGGACCTACCAGGAGGCCACATCAAGGCTACAGGACCTCCACAGAGGCCACATCAAGGCTACAGGACCTACCAGAGGCCACATCAAGGCTACAGGACCTACCAGAGGCCACATCAAGGCTACAGGACCTACCAGAGGCCACATCAAGGCTACAGGACCTACCAGAGGCCACATCAAGTCTACAGGACCTACCAGAGGCCACATCAAGGCTACAGGACCTACCAGAGGCCACATCAAGTCTACATGAGCTACCAGAGGCCACACCAAGGCTACAGGACCTACCAGAGGCCACATCAAGTCTACAGGACCTACCAGAGGCCACGTCAAGTCTACAGGACCTACCAGAGGCCACGTCAAGAGCTACGGACCTACCCGGAGGCCACATCAAGGCTCTGGGACCTACCAGAGGCCACATCAAGGCTACAGGATCCACAAGTGTCTGCACCAAATCTACAGGACCTACCAGAGGCCACATCAAGGCTACAGGACCTACCAGAGGCCACGTCAAGGCTACAGGACCTACCAGAGGCCACATCAAGGCTACAGGACCTACCAGAGGCCACATCAAGGCTACAGGACCTACCAGAGGCCACATCAAGGCTACAGGACCTACCAGAGGCCACATCAAGGCTGGGACCTACCAGAGGCCACATCAGAGTCTACAGGACCTACCAGGAGGCCACATCAAGGCTACAGGACCTACCAGAGGCCTCATCAGAGTCTACAGGGACCTACCAGAGGCCACATCAAGGCTACAGGACCTACCAGAGGCCACATCAAGTCTACATGAGCTGCCAGAGGCCACACCAAGGCTCACGGGACCTACCAGAGGCCACATCAAGGCTACAGGATTCACAAGTGTCTGCACCAAATCTACAGAACCTACCAGAGGCCACGTCCAAGGCTACAGGACCTACCAGAGGCCACGTCAAGGCTACAGGACCTACCAGAGGCCACATCAAGTCTACAGGACCTACCAGAGGCCACATCAAGGCTACAGGACCTACCAGAGGCCACATCAAGGCTACAGGACCTACCAGAGGCCACATCAAGGCTACAGGACCTACCAGAGGCCACATCAAGTCTACAGGACCTACCAGAGGCCACATCAAGGCTACAGGACCTACCAGAGGCCACGTCAAGGCTACAGGACCTACCAGAGGCCACATCAAGGCTACGGGATCCACAAGTGTCTGCACCAAATCTACAGAACCTACCAGAGGCCACGTCAAGGCTACAGGACCTACCAGAGGCCACATCAAGTCTACAGGACCTACAGGAGGCCACATCAAGTCTACAGGACCTGCCGGAGGCCACATCAAGGCTACAGGACCTACCAGAGGCCACATCAAGGCTCACAGGACCTACCAGAGGCCACATCAAGGCTACAGGATCCACAAGTGTCTGCACCAAATCTACAGAACCTACCAGAGGCCACATCAAGGCTACAGGACCTACCAGAGGCCACATCAAGGCTACAGGACCTACCAGAGGCCACATCAAGGCTACAGGACCTACCAGAGGCCACGTCAAGGCTACAGGACCTACCAGAGGCCACATCAAGGCTACAGGACCTACCAGAGGCCACATCAAGGCTACAAACCCTATCAAAGCACAAGGCTTCTTCAGGTCATGCTAAAAGTACATCATGACCCAGGACAAAGTTTATTGCTGGCACAATTCCAGGACAGGCGAAGTAATCAATGTCATACGTCATTTTACTTAGTGGATGTCCTGGGATTACAACTGACCAACGAATGCAAATCTTTGTAATCTGTGCAAGTGGTGTGATACTCAGATGACAACCAACTGACATGTGGAGGCTGTATGGTAATAAGGATTCTCCTCATCTTGTAAAGGGTGACAGGTTTACTTAACTGCAGACGGACTATAATTTGAAATTTTCTCAGTGCTGATTGCAAACTACCAGGAGCAAGAACTGAGGTCAGGTCATGGATATTGAGAGTGAGAGCAGGATCTTACAGTTGGACACGATCAGGTCATCACCTTGTGTCAGATAGTGTTAGATACATGTACAGTTGGACACAATCAGGTCATCACCTTGTGTCAGATAGTGTTAGATATATGTACAGTTGGACACAATCAGGTCATCACCTTGTGTCAGATAGTGTTAGATATATGTACAGTTGGACACAATCAGGTCATCACCTTGTGTCAGATAGTGTTAGATATATGTACAGTTGGACACAATCAGGTCATCACCTTGTGTCAGATAGTGTTAGATATATGTACAGCTGGACACCATCAGGTCACCACCTTGTATCAGATAGTGTTAGATATATGTACAGTTGGACACAATCAGGTCATCACCTTGTATCAGATAGTGTTAGATACATGTACAGCTGGACATGATCAGGTCATCACCTTGTGTCAGATAGTGTTAGATATATGTACAGTTGGACACAATCAGGTCATCACCTTGTGTCAGATAGTGTTAGATATATGTACAGTTGGACACAATCAGGTCATCACCTTGTGTCAGATAGTGTTAGATATATGTACAGCTGGACACGATCAGGTCATCACCTTGTGTCAGATAGTGTTAGATATATGTACAGCTGGACACCATCAGGTAATCACCTTGTGTCAGATAGTGTTAGATATATGTACAGCTGGACACCATCAGGTCATCACCTTGTGTCAGATAGTGTTATATAGTACAGCTGGACACCATCAGGTCATCACCTTGTGTCAGATAATGTTAGATATATGTACAGTTGGACACAATCAGGTCATTACCTTGTGTCAGATAGTGTTAGATATATGTACAGTTGGACACAATCAGGTCATCACCGTGTGTCAGATAGTGGTAGATATATGTACAGCTGGACACCATCAGGTCATCACCTTGTGTCAGATGAGTGTTAGATATATGTACACCTGGACACCATCAGGTCATCACTTTGGTCAGATAGTGTTAGATATATGTACCCTTGGCCACCATCAATCATCACCTTGTGTCAGATAGTGTTAGATATATGTACAGCTGGAACATGGTTGATAGTGTAAAAGACATGTGTTAGCCTTAATGACCTGTTGGAAACTCAGGTCATCACAGCTGTGTCAGATAGTGTTGATATATGTACAGCTGGACACCATCAGTACCCTTGTGTCCTTAATGAGTGCTAGATATACAAACAGCTGGACACCATCAGGTCATCACTTTGTGTCAGATAGTGTTAGATATATGTACAGCTGGACACCATCAGGTCATCACCTTGTGTCAGATAGTGTTAGATATATGTACAGTTGGACACAATCAGGTCATCCAAACATAGTGCCAATGATATGTAAAAACTGGACACAAGGATTTAAAATCTTATGTTAGTTTCAACAATGGCTTTTGGCTTGTTGTTTTACACCACCCTCAGTAATATTCCAGCTATCTGGCAACAGTCTGTAAATAATCAAGTCTGGATCAGACAAATCCAGTGATCAACAGCATGAGCACTGATCTATCCCTTATGACATGTTTCAATGTCAGCCTGACTACTCTCATTAGTCACCTTTTACGACAAGCATGGGTTAAGACAAATTCTAATCCAGATCTTCACAGGTTAGACTCAACAATGATTGGCGT